TCAGTCATAATCGTATTGTAGGGATTTAAGTCCGGTCGTACTCCTTTCGCTTGAACCAATATTGTCCTAAACCTTTTAGAGAAAATGTAATCAAATTCTTGCTCAAGTTTCGACTGAAATTTCTAATATAGCATTCCAAATATTGGCAATTGATCTACGTATAGCAGCAACAGCGTGGGTGGATTGCCACATCAAATGTTTTGATCTTTTTGTTCTTTTTCTTTCCTTCTTTTCCACGACCTCCTAGCCGGTCGGGCCATGCTAGTCAAGCCCCTGCCGATCGCTTCTCCATCACCGTCGCAACTTGAAAGCCATCCCATCGACGTCGTGCTTCCGTGGCTGCCTCCTCGCTCCTCTCCTATGTCGGCAGCGGATCACGAAATCTTGGCAGGAGGTGGCTCGACAGTTGTGACCTCTGCCATGGCATCACCCGTTGCTGCCTAGGATCAAGCTACGCCAATGCTAGATTCGCCATCGCCCGATCTAGCATCGCGAGTCCTAACCTGACCCACGACGGGTCAGAGGGGAGTACAGCGAGATTGAGGAAGTGATCGAGGCTAAGGTCTCACGGGACAGTCGACGGCAAGCATGGCAAGTGGATGTTCGATGGCAACCGGGTGGTGGTGTCTTGCGGCGGAGGTTGCAAGCGGGAGGGGGTTGGTAGTGCTCCGCCTTCTTTTCGGCAAACAAAAACAAGCTTGGCAGGGGTAGGGATGAAATGTGAAGAGAAGAAATAGGGAAAAAAAAAAGAAAAGAAAATTCAAAAAATTAAGTAAACCAGCATCGTTGTTTCGAGTAAACTTGTCTAGTCAAGAGGCTAATCATGACATTTAGAACGGCCGGCGAAAACTGAACGTCACATCAAAATTTCAAGTAACGACTGGTCAGAAATACTTGATTTCATTTTCACTCCAAAATTTAAAAACTACATCGATTCAATCGAAAAATTATGACTAAATTTAAATTCATACAATAGGTTAAGGATTGAATTTTGCAATTCTCTCCTAGTAGATTTGCTGTTCGTAAGAAGAGACACTAATCAAAAGTGCCAATTAGATTGCAACCCAAGGAAAAATCAAGATGTGCCTTATGGAATGGGCTTTTCAACCGCCATCTTCCTTGCTAAAGGAGAGGGTGTGCCTTGTGAAATAGACAATTTTTTTCTACCACATCTTTTTGCTAAAGTTACCTCATCATAATGTAGAAAATGACCCAATATGTGATTTATTTTTGCTAATGATGTACAAAAAAAAAAAGCAATTCAAATAATCTCAATCCAAAGCCGAAATGACATTGTTCACGTTTCAACGACCACTCTTCATCTTCAATCAAAATCCCCTGCAGCTGCAACGTGATAAACTATTTTTTTTTAAGTGCTTTCGAAACACCGCGCCCCGTTCATCTACCCATGCGATCACCGATAACATCCGACCCAAAAAAAAAAAATCGCCGATAATAAATTTCACTAATTCCTTTCGCAATACATTCTCTTAACAATATTTCCAACTACACACCCTCATTAAAAAAAAAAAAAACTTTACATGTATCATCAACCCACAATTTTCTAGTTACTTGTTCATATGTTAAAAAAGCCCAAAAACAAATATCTTTCCATAGAAGCGTGGGTTCTTTATTGGGTAAAAGTACAAGTAAAATTAGCACAAAATTGTTCGTACGTAAGAGCATCAAGAAAACCCTCTCACTCATCAGATCCATAGGCTTCACTGATGGATGCAAGTGCAGGTTGCCAAGTTGGAGTGGGCTTGACCTTGCTCATCTCCCCACCGGATTGACTCGTCTTCTTCTTGAGCCCTTTCCTTGCGTTCTCCACCACCTTGCCATGCTTCCTATCTATCGGCGGCGGCGGCGGCGGCGGCGGCCCTTTCCTAGGCTTCTCGTCGATCCCTCGGACGCTGACATGCTTCTTAGCGGTTGAGGACTTCGTCTTGGAGACCTTGTAGTCGATTCTCGCGTCGCTCCCGTCGCTCGTGTCGCCTCGCCTGGTGAACGAACCGCTCGGGTCCCCGCCCTTCCTGCCGGTCGCCCTGCCGCCGTTGAAGGGCCGCGAGGCGGTGAAGTCGGCCGACCTGTCGTCCCTGCTGGGCCGCCGGGTCCTGCGGCGCAGCTTCTTCACGGTGTGGCGGGGGACGAGGTAGTACTTCTCCCCGAGGGCGAGGGTCTCGTCGGGCCCGACCACCGACTCCCACGGGTGACGGAACACCTCGGGCCTCGTCACGTAGAACGAGGGGTACCTCTCGACGATACGCGCCGCGGGGATCGGCATGAAGTAGCACTCGACGGCGCCCCCCGCATGGACGATCTTCAGGGCCGAGGAGGAGGACGCCGCCGCCGCCGCCTCCTCGCCGCCGGGGGCACGGAAGGCGGGCTTGGGCTTAGGGGGCTCGGGGCGGCCGAGCTTGTGGACCTTGAGCAGCTTGTGGAGCATGATGATGTCCAGGACTCCGGGCGGAAGAAGGTTGTGTGGCTTTTGGGGGATCGATCAATGAACGAGGTTTTGACCGAGCTGTTCTTTATTTATGGATCAGCGGAGGTCGATGAAGCCGAAGGGGGAATGGCCAAACAGCATTAGATAATGAAGACGACCTGCTGATGCCGACGTTGGAGGTATGTGCAGAACCATGCGAGGAATGCGAAAATGGAGACGTCAAAGCTGGCCCTTTGCTTAGGGGAGTACGAGGCAATATATATCTCTTGTTTGTCCGTCTCTTCTTGACCTATTTTGCCCTACCTCCAACGTTAGCTGTTCTCGGTGTGCGCCGGACTTCCCGGAAGACTCGCGGATTCCTCTCGCGCGCGCGCACAGAGATCTTCCTATGCGAGTCTTGAATCTTGACATTCGATGCCTCACAAAGTTTGGCGCTTGTTTGAGCGAAAGAATTTTCCGCGAATTCGTTCTCTGGAGTTTTGCAACATTTGGTTTGCTGAATATGATCGGTCGACGGAAAACTATTTACGATCAAAGTTAGGAAAATGAATTCCCTAACCTATAAAGCAGAAAACATTTTCCTGAGAAATGGTACCCTTGAAAGAATTTTCCTTCTTTTACAAAGTTTTTCCCCGAAATAAACGTAACTTTAAACTCGACCCAAACATAGATATGAGAAACCATGGTTCCCAATGACCAAAAGTGACCGACCTAACATGTTTAGGAGCTAGACAATGACAACTTTGAAAGACATAAAACTATTGTTCATGATTTTTATGTTGCGTGTTCAAAGGGTGAAAGTTCCAAATGTTGTCTTCTACTCAAGAAACACTTTTGAGTTTCCCTTTCCTTGGATGTCCTTTTCTTCGCCTTTGACATCAAGTTCTCCTACAGAACATGGAATCGAAGTTCGCCAAGCACTAGAAATCACATGTTCCTGACGTGAATAATAGCTTTAAAATTTTCAATTCGACGACCCTTTTACATAGTATTCTGCTCGAGAGACAAAGCCGTCACCCTCATATGCCATAGAGTGTATATGGCGATACGAGATCATTATGATAGCATCAGCCGTCCGAATCTCTTCCAAATTCGATATTACATTCTTTTTGGCAACGAATACTAAGTACATCATTCCAGCAAAAACTTATAACAGTACTCTGAAGAAGGGCCACATTTTTCCCCCATCAAATTACACAGCAGCAGCATCTATTTTAGCATTTGGCGAGGCACGAGGCACGCAATTTGGCGGGGCGGGGCGGGGGGGCGGGGACGGTCTTAGTCCCACCATGCTCGTCCATGTGTGTTAAAATAACATTAGCTTAATATTAATCAGTCACGAGAAATATACTACAATATAATTCATTATATCATGTACCACATTATAACTCATCCCACTTAATTTAAACTAAAGAATGTAAAAAGTATGCTATTAAGTGATTGATACAATATATATTTATATATATAAATAAGTAGAATCCAACTTGTGAGATTGTGATCTTTTTATTAACTAGATTTAAATTAGCATAGTTCACAATTCTCATGACAATTCTTATTAACTATATATTCCTACTATATAGTTTTCAACAAAACTAATAAAAAAATTTCTCCTTATGGGGCATGGAGTGGTGGCTGGGAAAAGCTCCTCACGGAGCAGGGAGAGGGAATGCAATTCCTGGCCCCGGCCCCGACCCCGCCCCCTCCCGTCCCATGCTCATCCCTACCGTAAGTAGTCAAGTGAAATCTAATACATGATATGGTGTGATCTGGGAAAACAGCTTGCTTTGCCAGTACAAACCATAGCATTTAAAAAGTGTCATGCAGAACAAAGTCTAAAACCCTCCAATTCAGCAACAAAGACAGACCAGCACTGAGACAGCAGGGAAACACCCAAAGCATAAGAGAACCACATTGCTTCTAGATACTACATTAAGGTAATGCGAATCTGTTATTTCACCTAAAAAACCAAATTTGCATGCCTCAATATTCTGGACCTGCAGAAACAAAATATTCGGGAAATCGTGTATAGTATTCGTCTCTCAAAGGACGTACAAGACCACTCATCACAACCGCATAAAGGTTGGAGTCCGATACAGAGAACAAAATAAGAAGTCATCAACCATGATTCATCATATCCACACAATGAACAGGGAGATGGTTCGTGAATTTCATGAGGACTCTTAGTCAATCGAGTTCACCTAAGGGATCAAGATCTGAATCATGCCCACTAGGTGTACCACATATTCAACGTTGACAGAGCACTGAATTGTGATCCGTCACTGTAAATGGCGAAAGCAGTCGTGCATAAATAGAGAACTTATCAGAATTATCTCAAATATTATGCAGTCCTGCTATGAGCACCAGAGGAAATTAATTAACAATGAGCAAGTCAGAGCATCGGTATGGGAATCCGATATAACATTGCTTACTCAAAGTTCAATCAAGAAATCCAACTGCTCAGGAAAAAGGGATGGCAATATTTCACAGATGGAAAGTCGGATTGCTACTGATGAATCAGATAAGACCACTAGTAGACAACATGTAAACTCAGAAATGCAGAAGTTAAAAACGCTATCCATTAATGTTGAATCAAATATTCCTTCAGTAAGCAGCTGAATCTACTCAAATGTTCACTTTGTTTATACCCAGTACAACAGTTGCATACACCCCTTTCCAGCTATCAAAATTCACTTTACAGGCAAGGCAACAAAAGACGTAATGGAATCGAAACTTGACCAACGATCTATATATCAACTTACCAAACCCTATAAACTTTGAAATGAAGAGGAAAACCCGAAAAATATTCTCACTACTCAACAATATCAGTGGTCCAAATTCTAGGGCAAGAGGGAAGAAAGAAAGGGTACAGGAAGAAATCAGGAAGAGTTAAAACCACAAAAATGAAGAACAATAACATCATAAAAAAGAGCTTAAAGAGAACCTGAACATCATGACCTCAACTTTACTTCAATGATTGACCAGCTACAGGTTAACTGCGCCTTTTATCTTCTCAGTGAACAACAAGAAGATACAATTGACTCCAGCCTCCTTTACATTGATCATGTACTTACTCCCAGAACCAACCAATGCCGTATCTTCAAGATGCTTACTCAACTCGCGGGAGCTCTCAAAAAATAAGAACCCTAGAGGTGGACTTCTTTCCGAGGTTTGTAGTCAAAAGGAAGAAGAAAGTATCATTTCTCAGTAGTTACTGGGCCAGGCCATCTGTGCATGCTGTGGCTGTTGATACACATTGGCTGCGGGTCCTGTCATATCGACTGCTCCACTCAAGTCTTGAACAGCTGTAGATGTTGGGACACGGTTAGAGCTCTCACTGCCACTCGAAGGTGGCAAATACTGGCAAACCTGCCATGCTTGTGTCGGAGGAAATGTAACATGCTGACCTTGCTGAGGAAGGTTGTAATATGAAGTGGTTGGTAAGCTAGGAATTTCACGGCCAGGTGCAGCAATCCAAACCCGTGACCCTTCGCTCTGCAGAGAAGTAAATCTGTCGAGGTTGGTGATAATGTCCCTCAGGAAAATATGACACTTTATAGTTAATTAATAAGATAGAGGACGCTTCTCGTCCTACAGTGCATTTACATCTTCCCACACTAATAGAACTCAGCCAACATGTCAAGATCATGGGATGTCCCTTACCCACAGTATCCAGACACCACATCTACGCAACACCATCTAAGAAAACCCTCAGCATTATTCATCTAGCACCAGTTCCTAGACAACAGATATCCACTAATAACACCAGCAAGAATACCAGATTAAACAACCTCATACTCTGCCAATCTTGCTGCACAACATCCAACTTAACATAACTAACACTTCCTTCTTAACATACATTGACTGAATCTGCCTGAAGCAACCAGAGTGAGAGGAGAGCCTTCAGTAAGTCTACTTTAATTACTCATGCTAAATAAATACCTTTCCAGATGAAGTTAACAGAAGAATTGAACCACGTTTACAAAAAAATAACTGGCAAATTACAGAAAAACAAAGCCAACCTGTTGTCCTGTGATGTACATATTATTTTCCTTGAACTGAGATGCACCAAGTTCCTCATTAGTATTGGAGTTCCCAGCCGTCGCAGCAGAGCCAGAATTATAACCAGCAGCAGATGAACCATACGGCCCATAACTAATTGGCACCCCCACATGGGTCGGATTACCAGTATTACCAGCTGTTTTATACTGAGTTAGTGGATATTTGACTGCTGGAGCAGCAGCAGCAGGTGGTGCAGGGAACAAACTAGCTGCCTGATGCTGCTGAGCAAATGCGCCGTTCAAGAACTGGGGAATGGCTGGAGGTGGAACATAAAATGGAGGGAAGTAGTGTCCGTAAGGAATGTAATTTGGAGGATAAGGAGCCATATGAACCCCCGTGGGGGTACGGAATACGGGGAGTGGTTGCTGAGTCATGGCGATTGAGCTTTGCATGAGCCCAGCAGCCTGAGTCACAAGGGGAGTTGGTCCAGCTGTAGACAGAACTAAGGAGTTCCCACCCTGGAGCACAACAAAAATGTGGAAGCATCAGTAATTGATAAAAATAGAGTTTTGTGGTTCAGAATCTTCAGATTAATAGGACAATGCTTCAATCAAAAAATTGCTTAAAACAACAATAACATGAGGATCTGCTTACACCATGACATGCTGAAATTACCAAATCGAGGGACATACATACATTCTTAAAACGTCAAATCCCTACTCAGAAGACAGAAAGCTGTTCAGAAGAAAACAGAACAAAGTCACTCTTCTTTCACAATAAAAGAAAATCCAAGCTCCAATGGTCCGTGTCCCTTCACCTTCAAGAAAGATGTTACACATTCCTCTTAAGGTTCGAACTTTAGCTACCAGGGGTTAGCTTACATTTGTTTGAATATGAAACTATGTTCTTAGAGACATGTAAAGAAAGAAAAGGCAGCAAGTCTGTTAGCTAGCACCTTGTCAACCACAAGCTACCAACAATTTTCATCAAAAAGAAAACTGAACCAAACAAGTTGCTTTCAACATGAACTAGGATGTTCTAGTTATCACATCGCTCAGGTCCGTCAGCGGATTCCATTCATTGTGATACAAGTTTATTATAGATGATAGAGATTATAAGGTCATTACAATTTAGCCATTCTTTAAAATATTGCACTGCACCAAGATGAAAAGGCAAGGCTCAAACAGGATGGTAATAACTAATAATAAAGTCTCGTCAATTTGTAAGGCCCAAATTGGTGGTGAGCTCACTGTTGTCATTGGACACTAAGTTGGAATATAACCTCCCACTGAACATTCAATTCTTACCTTGGCATTAATTGGATTTTTACAAAAATATTCTATTTCAAAGGAGTTATGCATCAGCAGTGCACATGCAGGAACAAAAGGAGAACATTAGTAGGAGTTTTGTGATCATTCTGAAAATCTGAGTTGATCACTGGCTTGAAATGGTGACAACCAAAGTAACCTGAAAATTCTCTTATTGCAATTTGTGTGGAATTACAGGCTTTATCTGAGCAGAATTCAGAAGGCTGGAGGCTGACACTTCAAAAGCTAACAGCTTATTTCTTAAGTCTGCTACTCAGTAAACTGCTATCTACTCAGAAGACAACATATAGGTGGTTAATTTCCATTCCTCTATCAGCAAGAGCTGATGTATACACGCTGAATGATTAGTCTATGACTCTATAACAGCAACGCCATGACACAGATTTATTTAGCTGGTATGAAATATTTTTTGCTCTTCAGAAGTTCTGACAAACAATTTTATGCAGGCTTCACAGATGAAAAAGCAGATTGGCAGCAGGCAATAAGCACTGATAAAGGAAAGCCAAATGAACTACCCCACTATAGGACATTTCAGTGGTAGAATAGTTTTTCAGCCTTAGTTATGTTCACAATTGGAAGGAGTAAGTTACAAGGGACAAAGCTGAGAAAGAAAAACATCAACCAGTTCATATGAGGGCCAAACTCATTATAATACATATTATAAGAAACAAAGCATCCCTACAAACCTCCTGGGAAGGCTGAGAAGTCTGTTGCTGCAAGACCCCAACACTGTCATTGTACTTAGTAGCAACTCCAGGTGAAGAAAAAGGTGAAAGGCGGCCATCAGTATCAACGCCCGACCGATAGAATTGAGCATAATAACTTGTTGGATCAAATGGTTGTTGAACCTGGATACAAGACCGTTTAAGAAAGATCATGAACCGAAGGCTCAAAGCTACAGCTAGAGTACTATAGCATAATGTAGCAATCTGCCTATAAAAGGATAGAAATAGGTGAAATTCTTACTACAAAGCTTGGAAGTCGAGAAGCATCCCGTGTTTGAGACTCAGTATTTTCAAAAGGAGCAATCTGACTTCCTACCACTGGAGGCCCAAACCCAAAATTATAGTTGGGAGAAGTACGAACTACTGAGTGCTGTTGGCCTAATGCACCTTCCTGCTTTAACTCTTTGTAATCAGGAGCTGCACTTGAGGAGACATCGTCCTCAGCAGGAGAAACACTCTGAGGCACGTGCTTTGGTGAATGTGGATAATCTGGATAATTTTCTTCGTCAGCAGTTGCTGGGGCAATTTGTCCACTGGAAAAACAGGATAAAAATAATATTTAATTCAACTTAAAGGCTCGGAACATCTACAACATCTAAATACTAATTATAGCAACACTCTGCGTCCAGATACAACCAAATCAGATGGGTTCCTCTATCAAACTGAAAGACATATGGATAAGGTACATATCCCACTCGGTTCCCATCTTTTGCCTTTCAAATAACAACTAGAACCTACAGCAGTATGAACTAAAGCCCTGAAACAATGCCCTTGAGCTTCCAATTATCCAGCCAAGTCAGCAATCACCAAAAATGACGCTAATTGAATTGGGTGCCTCTAGCTATTTGATGTTAGCATTAACTCTTGTCTTCCCTGAACTTCATTATCGTGCGTGGTAACCCGTAAATAACTACAGGCAGTAAATCAATCAATAGGTCACTAAATGTTCAACAAATTATTAAGGTTTACAGACGTTCAGATTAGCAGTCGCTAATAAATTTATTTTACAAAGCAATATGGGCAATAATGATCTCCGGTTGAAAACGTCAATATTTCATAAGAGCTCTAACAAATGTTTTACTGCTTACAAACCTTGAGTCCTCCATGGTTTCCTCGATGGCCAGAGACATTTCCGAGACAATAGTGGAGCTCTTATCACTCTCAGGAGCACTGATGGAGTTTGTAATTATGCCAAAACTTGCATCAAAACTTCCAAAGCTGAACTTGGTTCTTTCAGATTCAGGGACATGGATGTGGTTTGGGAGTATAACAGGTTGACGTTGTGAAAGACGTAAAGTTTCCAGCTTTTTCTGGAGATTTGAAGCCGCCTCTTCTGGATCAGGAATGCTTGGTGCTGACTGCGAGGGGGCAACTGGATTGACTTCAGGTGCAACTGTTTCAGCCCTTTGAGAAGCAGTAGGATTAGTTGGCTTTGGTTTCCACTCCTTAGTTGAACCCACTGTTAGAAAGACAAAGCTAATGGTTTAGGGAACTTAACCAACATTATCAATCAACAGACAAATTCACTTCAAACGGTATAGAGATAATGCCTTTCTGAGACCCAACAAGCTGCTGTGATCGATTGTTGTAATTGGATGATAGGCGACTAACAGAAGAGACACCGTGAGTCGAACCAAATGAATGCTGAGAGGGCTCCACAGTTCCAGTCTTCTCGGCTTCCTGAAATTGGTCAGGCATCTTTTCATGCTCGAGAGAGCCACCAACCTCAGAAGCTACAGCATTGATATTTAGCAAATGGATTACCTAAGGAGCACGAACAAATATGAACGTTTCTTAAAAATGGAAAAAAAAAATGTTCAGTTCCTACCAGTGGTTGCTTTGTTTTTGCTTACTGCATCTGGTTCAACAGGAGTTCGATGGATCCCAACTTCACGTATTATCGTACTCACAGAACTGGGTATCCGTGAGTCATTGGAGGACAGTCTGACAGGATCAGAAGATGAGAAACAGACTGAAGAAGATGGTGAAGTGTTAGGCATGGACTGCCCAGATGGAATGCCAGCTCCAACTGCCGTTTGGACACTTCCATTGGTATCAAGAGGGGTTGATCCACTGTCTAACTTACTGAGACCATGGCTAGATGGTGAAATCATTTCAGAATGGCCTCTACGATTTCCTCCAGCTGAGCTGACAGCATCAGGAACAGTAGTATTTGCAGAGGACCCGGCATTTGGATGATTGGTAGCACCAGCTAGAGAGCTGCAAAAAGTCATCATAGACATAACTCTAATAACTTCACTCCAAAGTAAAAATGCTTTGTATATTATGTAAATCAAATTGAATCCATGAAAATACTATCACCTTGCCGCTGAGATAGTCTCTTTATTTTTTATCCCGTGTGAAGTAGGCAGAGTTGAACCAACACCCTTATCAGCTGCTGGATTAATTCCATTCTCCTTGCCAGCAGCAGCATTCCTGCCATCACCAGCATCTGAGAAGAGGTGGAACAATATAATTAGATAGGGTTCATGAGACAGATAAATAAATAACTTTACTACATGGCCATTCGCAGATAACAGCCCACACAAGGCTTCTCACGAAATGATCAACCACCTGTCGTATAATGAGAGAGGCTACACATATTTGCCACCAATTTAAGAGGGTCAAGTATGTAACCATCAAACAAAAAGATTTTGGTCAAAAGACTATTCAAACAGTTAAAGAATACAATAGATGAAATAAATTGATCCCCAACAGTCATTTACCATTTGATACATGTCGAGGCAAATAATTGGAACGGCCACTCTTACTACCCCGTCCCTGCGAGCCAGACTGCCATAGGGACTCTGATGACTCTTTGTTCGAATTCTGTGCAAACAGAGAAAGAGGAATATTGACCACATGGCGAATTGAGAAGGTTTGACAAAATCACTAATCAGATTTTGCCAGGAATGATACAGGCAATTGGATGCTTGGCAGATATACATGCAGGATCATGCTAAAAAAGGCAGCAGACCAACAGAATAAAATGGAAAATATGGAGAACATCAATAAACTCATACCTCCTTTCTCCTGTCACGCTTCCTCTTAACCACATGAAATGTATCTGAGTATAAAAAGCACAGAGTTAGGAATTTCAAAACGATCATAAGTCACTGACAGTTAAGCAAAAATGCGACTCCAGCATATGCAACAAATGAGTTTCAGCGAGACCGTAGACAAAATATGAAGCAAAATGAAAGGAGTTCCCACAAAAAAATATAATTGCTTGAATAGCTGAAAAAAGAACATGGAACACCAGAAGTTAACGCATTGTACTTCTTCAATGCCTCACACCCTCTTGAAATTCAGATACCCCTACTTCCACAACATGGAAAAGACTGGAACCAATCATCTTCATTTTTTTGATGTAAAGGATCACACTCAAAGTCCATGAAGCCATAAAATCACGGTGGAAAATAAAAAAAAACTCTTGATACAACATACAAAGTAAGATGAGATAGACAAAGGCTACTTTATAGCTGCATAAGTTGATCTTCAGCACTAGATAAGACATTGTTTATATCCAAAACAACAGCAGCATAAGTATGATGGAAAGCTGACAGTTCACTTCCAGAGTGACCGGCAAATACGTGGAAGCAGAGACACCACTCACTCTGAATTTTGAAACAGAAGAATGTAGAACAGAATGTTTTGAATTTCAAACCCAACGATAGATAGCCCAAAAAATCATGGAAATCGCTTTTAGCGAGTTCATTTCGAAGATGCTTCTTCCTGCGGACAGAGAAGATATGTCTTGTCCTAATAGTTGTAGCAAGCTAAAGGACAGAAAAAGAATACGAGAAACTATTCCCATCAATAATTCCAAACAAGCGAAATCAGAAAGCCCAGTACTTCACTCGCAGTATGGTTACTAGTTAGTCAATCACCACTTTCTTCCACCCGCAAACAGAAATACCAAAGGAGTCTCGGCACACCGCCCACCAAAATTCATAACATCATTCAGACTGCACAAATCGCCACGTGCTTTTACCGTAAGTTCCATCATAACACTACTGGCAATCGAAGGGACGAGTCGCCGCACATAAAAAAAAAAAAAAATTAACACCGCTTTACAAGCCGGAGATCACAGGGCTCGAGAGTTGAGACAGCTAAGAAGTCATCGCACTCGCAACTTCTCACACAAACTCGACCTCACTACCAAATCCAAATCTTCAACAGAAAACCACAGCTCCAAGACTCAAACCCAGAAGACTAAAAAGCCTCCAGCGCAAAAGATTGAGCCGCGACGAACCCATCAAGACAGGAAGAAGAGAAAGAAAGAAGAGTACAGAAATCAAGATCAACCCCACCGGAGCGGCGGCGGCGGGAGGGGGGGGGGGAGGGGAACCGGAGCTGAGAAAGTGGGAAATACCCTGTAAAAGGAGCTTTTGGACGGTCTCGTTCGGATCCATGGAACATTCCTTGAGCATTGCGTAAATCTCCTCCTCGCTGTGGCTGCCCGTGACCTCCTTTATGTCCTGGATCGTCTTCCGCACGCCGCTCGGGATTGAGACCTTGGACCCACCACCGCTCATCTTCGATCGACACCTCCCAAGAGAAGAAAAAAGAAAAAGAAAGAAGAAGAAGAAGAAGAAGGAAAACCCCACCCCACCCCCCTGCCCTGCTCGTTCCTTCGCTCGACGGCGGAAGGAGCACCCCCGTGCGTGCGATGTTTCGGACGTGTGAAAGGACGGGAATTTGGGGGGGGCGGGAGGGGAAATGGCGATTCGGGGATTGTGGGGTATCGGGGAGAGATTTGAGGTGGCGGAGGCGACAGTCGATCGGAGGAGTGGTGCGTGCGGCGGGGCGGCGGCGGCGGCGGCCGCCGATTTGGGTTTGATGGGTGTCGGGGGTTTTCGAATTGATCTAGGTGAAGTGGAGAGAGAGAGAGAGACAGAGGCAGAGGCCGAGACAGAGACACACAGAAGAGAGAGAAAGAGAGACACAGAAGAGAGAGAGAGAGGGAGACACAGAAGGGAGGAAAGGAAGGAGAAGGAAGGGAGGCAAATGGAAAGAGTGTCCTGAGAGGGTAGGGCTGTTTTTCTCTATGCTTCGTTAAATTGGGGGATTTTTTTGCAAAATTTTTTTTTTTTTCCTCCTTCGAGCTAAATATATTTAAAAAGGGTTATTATTAAGAGATCGACACTTTATTATTTCTCTAAAAATTTAAATCGAAGCTTGATTTTGTTATTATTAAATTGGTATTTTAGATCGTGTTCGAATTGGGGGCACGCATGCCATCTGTTGCGTCGTCGCGTCGTCGAAAAGGAAATCGTTCTTTTAAGACCGTGCATTTGGGGGTGAGCACGACCGACCGATCGAATTAGGAATAGACCGGATCGAACCCAACCGGCCGGTTCGGTCCGGTTCCTGAAAATACCGATCCAGTTCTTAGTTCCTAAAAGTGGAACTGTTGTCCAAGACGGTCCAGCTCCCGATTATAAGAGGGAACCGGACCGAACCAAACTAAACCAAACAGCTCGGACCAATTGTTTTTTATTATTATTTTTTAAATGTAAACCTAATAGTTTAAAATCTTTCATGTATGCCTCCTCTTGCTCTCCTCTTTCGGTCTTTCCAAATTCACCCGCGATGTTCGTGCCTCCTCTCTAGTCTTTCCCTCTCCTCTCTTCTCTAATCGGTCTATTTCAAGTGAAACTCGGCATTCTTTGCTTAAATTTGTCTCTTACTAAACACAAAATCAACTGGGTATTTTCTATTCAATTTTTTTTGAAGAGTTGTTAGTCTTGAACTTTCCATTTAGCTTAATTGCTCAAATGGTGCCTATCTCGGTAGAACAGGAGCTTCTCATTAGCTCGACTATTTCTATCATCAATTCTGAATTCTGTAAAACCAAAGCGATAATATAGATATTTCATATTGATTTGTTTTTCCTTCCTAATGCATGCTTGCCCTTTTTTTTTTTTTCGGTTGGTGAAGCTCCGGGAACCAGCTAATATATATGAAATATTTCCACCTGACGATTGGAATCAAAGGTACTATTGATGATGCCAATTAAAATGAGCTCAAAATGACCGGTTCCACTGAACCACCCTGGAACTAGACCGGATTGGTCAGTTCGGTCCTGTTCCCGGTTCCAAACACTGAGAACCGATCCCTCCGGACCGGTTCTCGGGTGGGATCGGACCGGACCGGATCAGGAATTGATCACCCCTAAATGCATTTCATATTTCCTTCTGAAAAACGGTAAATATAGCCTGTGGTACCAAAAGGTGATTAGCGAGTATTTATTCGACTTCTATAGTTAAATCATTTTATCAAGGATATCGTTTTGTTTTGACGTGATTATTGCATAAAATATAAAACAGCATATCTTTCAAGACAAAATAAAATGTTTAGGTGAAGAGGAAACGTCCAGCAAACAAATTAGGAGAAAAGGTAGGAGAAATAAAGCAAGCGAGAAGGGGTGGCATTGCCGCCACGGGCCGGTGGCGAAGCTCTTGCCTACGGCAAACAAAGCCGACCTTCCTCATACGGCCCTAAGTTTGAGTAGATAAGGGTCGATCAGCCCTCGCCGTGTGATCATGATCGATGTGGTTACTTGCACGAGTCGGAGAGAGCACGAGAGAACCGTCGTTGGATTTGACAAAGGGTGACAGTGACCGATATGCCACGGGGGTAATCGACCCCTTAGCCTCACTTAGATACAATTTGGGCGGGTCGAGTAGGGGTTTACCATTTCCAATCAAGCATAATTAAAACAGATAAGAGCTCGTTTGTTTTCACCTAAAAATAAGTAAAGCGTAAATTTATTGCTTTCTCGTCAAAATTTAAAATGCTATCCAAATTCTAAAATTCTGTCAAAATGATCTATATGAATTTTCGTATCAACATTCGTATCTTTGTTAAAGTTCATAGTGTCTCGGCTTAAAAAAAATAATCTCTTTTTTATGTAAAAAATGGCGCCATCGCGCCATTTTTCAAATGTTGAACCAAAAATTGATTCCAAATGTTCCTCGCACTTTCTGTATTCTCTATATTAATCAATTACATCTGCAAGACAATTAAATTTTTAAATAAATTTCCTTTACTCCTTTTTTAAAGTTTGTTCCCTTTTTTCCTATAAAAATTATTATATGGAGTCACTTGTTTTGGAGGGAAGGGACTATGCGCCAAGAAGATTTGATGCCGGCTTCTAAACTCGGCCCCGTTTGTATATAGAAACGAGACAATCCGAATAAGATAAAAAGGAATCGGAACGAGAATTTTCGACATGCCCCTTTACGTTCCTATCCAATTATACGACACTTAAGCGATATACATCGCACTATATATCCAAATAACCGTCGTAAATCTAAAATGGGTTCGTTAAATTATCTATATGTCAATCGATAAAAAAAATTCTCCCCACGTCACGCCACCGACTCAATGGCAAGCTCCGGGAACAGTGTGATTTTTTCTTTCTCATCTGTCGATATATCGACCGGTGTAAAATATATGTATATATTTTCTCGCTCGAGCCGCTTTATTACCCATCGATTTAATTAGTTTTTTTTTTATTAATTATTAAAAACTATGTAATAAAACAAAATTAATGGTGGTGGTGGTGGTGGTGGGGGTGGCTCGTGCGCCATGATTGAATTTTCAGTAGAGACTATATATAGGGGGCTAGTAGTAGAGGCCAAGCACGTGACCCCCAGGCAGGAGCGGTCTGACGTGGCACTCTTCGTCTGTTTTTTTTTGGGCCCTCGAATATTCCTTTTGCTTTTTCATGTAAACCTTTTTTGATTACTCTTTTTGGTTTCGTCTTTTTATTTCGGGCTCAGACCGCGAAAAATACCAAATTAGTACATCCGTAACAAGTTCACCCAAAACTAATTTTTTGATCATAAAAAACCCCGAACCGGTACACCTGTGACGACAAATATACTTTGAACCGATTCTTTAATCATAATAAACCCTAAACTGGTATATTTATGATAAACTTACCCTGTGTTAATTTCCTTTGAATTGAATATATACCGCGAAAAAATCACAAATTAGTACACTTGCTGCCGATGGAGGGTAAAACCCCAAACCGGTGCGTCCGTAAACTGTCATGTGTCATCAAACTCAGCGATTTGACGATAAAATTTAACGGAAATTAACGGAGGGTAAATTTGTCATAGGAGTATCGGTTTAGGATTTTTTATGGTCAAAATATTAGTTCGAGGGTATATTTATCGTAGGTGTACCAGTTTGGAACTTTTCGTAGTATTAATCTTAGAGAAAAAGGGTACCGGGACAAAAACATTTTCTATTTATCAAAGTCAAAGTACCCTTTTTGTCTTAGCTCTTAAGTTTTCCATCTCGTCACCATTTTGCTTATTAATCCTATATCGTAATGCAATTTAATTTTAAAGAGAAATAACGTAAAATTAACCGGAGGAAAGGGATAAAAATGATAAAAGCAAAAAGTAAATTATATCCACTTCTTACTAAGGAATAGCTCACATTGAAAGATACGAAGGAGTAGGAGTGCAAGCTTAGCCATCGACATCAATCGCCGGCTGCGCCGAGACGCGCGGTCCCCGGCGGAGATCGCCGCACGGCACGGTCGAGACAGGAAACTGAAGACCGCCTTCGCGATCATCGAAGCGGCGCGGCGACACTGAAACCTAGGAAACTAGAGAAAAAAACTAGGAAAAGCTAGCCATGGCTATTGGCGACTTGTGTGTGTTGGAAGTTCAAGTCGGGCAGCCTCAGAAGACGGGGCACTTCTTGTGGACGACGCCCGGCGCGGTCGGGCACATAGACAACGGACAGAACTCGTCGAAGTCCCTGCCCCACCATTTCGGCCCCGCGATCTGGGATACCCCGAAGCTCAGGGCGAGGAGCACCCCGAAGAAGGCGCTCCCGAGGTCCAGCCCATTGGACACATCGTACACGTGCCGGGCCCACCACCCCCTTGCCGCCCTCCGCGCCACCAGGTGGTACGCCGCCGCCACTGCGAAGAACGTCCAGTAGTGCACCGGCCGGGCTGGCATCAGGAACGAGGCCGATGTGAAGATGACCGGGAAGTTGACGAGCCGGATCCATTCCTTCCCCGGGAAGGCGCGGGCCGCGAGCCACACCGCCAGGGGCCCGGCCACCCCCACCAGGAAGAAATAGTAGAGGCCCTCGTAGGCCCCCCGCCTGAACATCTGGGCCGGCCCGACCCCGCCCCATATCATGGTGTGGGTCAGGGATTGCTGGAGCCCGGGGCACGTCCACATGCTCCCCTTCGGCAGCTTGTCTCTGTCGCATATGTTCTCGACCGTCGTCAGGGCCCACCATGCGGTCCCGAGCTTGACGGAGCTGGAGAGAAGCGAGCCGAAGATCTAGGAGGCATACCGAAAGTTGGGCATAAGGATGCATTGAGATAAATCTGTTGATTAGATTAGAAAAATAGAGGATGAATGTGATGAACAATATTGCAGCTGGTCAGATAAAATGCAGGAATCAGGATCAACCAGAGTTCGAAGGACATTGTCATATAAGTCTCCTCAGCGCGTCTCACTCATTCCTTAAAGTCGGGTTACCTCGGTTAGCCCTATAATAGTTTCCTGATTCAGGATATGTTACCGTCCCGAGGTTTCGAAATGGGGCATCGAGTACCTGCACGAGAAACATGGATCTCGGCGGGATCTTCATGTAATGTCCTAGCTTGAACTCGGCTAAAAACGTGATGGCGTGTATCTTAGTGCTCTGAACGTAGGACGGAAAAGTGTCACTGGTTATAGGCCTTCCCGGGTATAAATAGCCGATGATCAAGTCGGCGAGAACCGATAAACCGAGGTACTGCAACCAAGAGAAAAGATAAACGAGACAAATTAAGACTCTAATCTCAGCCGGCGGTCCTAAATCGGACGAGGAAAACTGTGATGCAACAGCCCAAAATCGGACCAAATTTGAAGGTTGTGGCTTACAGTGCCGGTGGTAGCTTCAATGATGCCCAGGGGAAGAATGAGGATGAATGGTATAGCCAAGGAAAGAAGAAATGCCCAGGTGGGAAGTTGGAATTCTTTGCCAAAGAATTGGCAATTGACAATGCCGAGACCGACCATCGACACGATAATTGCGTAGAACCACCACCGAGGGATCGGCTCATACTTCTTCATGAGCTCATTGTGAATGTCGCTGGACTTGCTCTCGCTTTTCATCGACTGGTTCAGCTGCTGCCAGCTCTCCCTGAAAATTTCCGAAATTGCATTCTAATTATTGCAGATGACAATGACTGAAGAGTGTTTCTTCCTTCTAAGGTACTAGGAAAAGCGCCCAACCTTCCGTGGAACAGAAGAAAATAAGTTAATGTTCCGGTTAGGGCAGCGAATGTGAATCCCAGTTTGAAGACATATGCAATGCTCATGTACAACTGTGAGTACTCACTGTACGCCTGCTCGTTAAATTCCAGGTCTTTTCCAAAAACACGTTCCACATTGTACTTGTTTCCCGAATAATCATATGATTCTTGAGCGAAAATCGGGAACCTTTTTGCGTCAAACAAATTCATCCAATAAGCTACTGGTATGCACACGTAAGTTATACCCACGAACCCGACCAATGTGTTCACTATTGTGAACCTAGGCAAGATAAGAGGGTTGCCCACCCAAGCTGCAGCCGAGTCCCACTCGATGGCAAGAGAACCGAGCCCAAGACCATTGTAACCCGCGCCGAGTTGATGCGCTGTGCTCGAGTCTTTCCAGATCCAGCAGAGGACTGAGACCACAAGGATAGTTTGCATGAAGTAGGTGGGAACGATGGTATAGGTAAAGACAGAGACAGCACAGATGACGATAATTTGTAATCCGCTGAGCCGGCCACTAGCTCTCGGTTCTTTCTCATGGAGCGCTCTGCAATATGGTTAGCAGGAACAAGATCGAAAAGTTAGGTGCATATGTCGGTTGGAGGAATGTGCCCGGCTCAGATAAAACACATTCTTCGAAGTATAGAACTGACCTGTAGAAAGATACTTTCGGTACGGTTAAGGGGTACCACATGTAAGGATTGTCCACAAGAATCCTTCTGAACAGTCCAGCAAAACCATATCCAATCATCTGCAAATGGAAAGAATAAGTTGCTTTCTGCAATTACTGTTTATGGTGTCTTAGCAACTCAAATTTGATACTACAGAGGACAAGGCATGACTGTTTGCATAACCACAAGTTTGGTTACACTGTAACATGACATTCATGTTAAGTTCCACACTCGCCAAATTCGAACTGATTTTGCCCCAAGATTCTCCAGAATGAATGCAAACTATTTTTGGTCTCTTTTGTAATGCAAAGTGCAGGAAAATGAACTCACCTGAGATGTCACGATCATCAATATGGAAGCCCAAACACTTATATTCTTGTGATATACCACTTTGATGACATTGATGGTCCCTATGGACTTAGTGGATTCAAATCCTGTCGTGGAGAGGATGACCACCAGTACGTGCTCCTTGATGTTGAACGGTCCTGGATTGAGAGAAAACTTCCAGTTCGTCCCTGGGATCCCCACGATCTTGGCAGGAAGGGTGGAGGCCATTAGTCTCCCCAACACAAGCTGTAAAATTTGGGCGCATGACTCACTGACCCACATATGGCTCCTTCTATACGAGGATATCTGGTACATGAAAGACGTGACGACGCACACGACTGGCCCCAACACCCATGTCCTGATTGTTAGGACGGGCAGTGTCGAGTCGTCGGTGACAGGAACTGCGTTCCTCACCTCCTCAATTGGCGAGTCGCCAGGAATGTCAGCTGGAATCATCGTGAATAGATGCTTCAGAATGCGAATCGAACGGGGCGGATGTAAAACAAATGAATTGCTAAGGGGAAGCTCATCTTCATAATGACCAGAGGCATAGGCTATGTAGTTCCTAGTCATCAGAACAATTATTGTGGCAGATGGTTGGTCAATTTTGCTTCTTCTTTTCCGTGTCTTCCACATTGTTTCCACTTGTACGTAAGATTAAAACCTCGGACAATCCTTAAGTGGGAAGCAAGAGATTGTTCTCTAGGCTGAAAGGCTATCAAAATTTAGCCGGTCGCATTCGCAATTTATCATAGAGTTCATGCACCAAAGTCTGCATTAGCACAAAGTTGCCATCTTTTGCATGAATATCTCAGCCTATCCCGCCGAATCGCGAAATAGTACAGGGTAGGCAATATTTTCCGCAATAATGAAAGTTATTGTGGCTCTAAATTAGCAAAGATAAAACACAACCAAATTCAATTAATGAGAGAGAGAGAGAGAGAGAGAGAGAGAGAGAGAGAGAGAGAGAGAGAGAGAGAGAGAGGGAGAGAGAGAGAGATTACTGGGTTTTGTTCCTGAATCCTTGAGGCCAAAGTCACCATACTCTTTGCGTGGTTCCACATTAATGTCATGGTGTAAGATGGGTTTCTCCTCAGTTTTCATGGTGATTTCTGAAGCCAGAAACTTCTACTTTTTTTGTTTTGGTATTTCACACCACTCTGTCTCTTTCTCTCTGTCTGTCCGTGTGTCTCCCTCTCTCTACCCTGTGCTTTTTTTCAGGGGATTCTTGCCCTATCACTTGGATGAATTCAGGTTGCAAAAGTTCTCGCACAAGAACACACGTCCAGTTCTTAAACATCAGGCGTCAAAGAGATCAATTAACCGAATTCTCCACGTCCAAGTAGAAGAGGGTTTTAGCCAGATAGATCAAGGCCTACGACCTGGTTTCACGCGTGTTCCCAGCATCATTCAAAACGAAAGTTTTAACAAAAAAGCAAGGAGGTTTGTCAGTTGAAAGAATTCCTGTGGATCGTTGTGAATTGAGGTTCAAAGGTGATGCATGTTTGTAGGGGATAAAGAGAGAAAACTGGCTATGAGAAGAAGTAACTCCTTTTGGCTTTGGGGTCCCTGTGGTGTCATTTTCAGTTTCTTGTTGACCTGAAGGGCTTCAAGTTTGTTTTTCATGGCAGATATTCTAGAACAGAGCTTGTTCTTTCGTCTGCAACAGCTCATGAACTTCGAGCAAATGAAGCTGACGATACGATTTGTTTTGTCCCCCAAAAATAGAAAATCTAACATGGCCCGAAAACAATGTGGAAGATCGCATAAAAAGATGATTTGAATTCGAATTCGAACAGGACGGGCTAAGCTCGATGATTCGGCATGGAGAACAATCTCTTGATTCACATATGTAGATTTGTCCTAGGTTTTTAATCCTATGTACAATTTGGAAAACAGTATGGAAGACCCAGAAAGGAAGAAATGGAATTTGACCACCCAGCTGCCACCATAATTGTCCAGATGACTAAAAGAATGCTTGCTGCTAAAAATGCTGCATGGCCCACGCCTGTGGTCACTGTTGAGATGAGCTTCTGCTTAGCAATTCATTCTCCTTTTTCGGGATGATGACATTAAAAGCAATGGTGGTGGAGGGTGGCTCGTGCACCAAACGGATCAAATCGTAATCTCATGAATGATTTTAGCCTTTTGGGGTATTATTATTATTGCTGTGAGTACTTTGAAGGCGGTCTTCTGTGCACAAGCGTGTAATCGCGTCCCTCCTGTCCATGATTGAATTTGAGTAGACATAGGGCTGGAGGACAAGCACGTAAGATTAGCAGGGGAAAAGGGATAAAATGATAAAAGCAATGAGTGAACTATAGCCACTTTTCACTAAAAAGTATGCTCGGTGAAATTACTTAATTGTTCCTACAGCGCAATGATCGATTTATCTTATCTCTGTTTTTCTTTTCCTGAATTCGCGAATAAATATTTCCTAAGTTAATGAAAGTATAGCAACATGTCGATTCGTATTGCAATCGTTTAGCGCTCTCTCTCTCTCTCTCGCCACGAGCGCTAAGTCTTGATCGTCGTCATCGAACCATGTAAATGCTTCCAACACCCTCGAGCTCACACACTGAAAGATGTGAAGGAAAAGAATGCAGCTTAGCCAGCCATTGACATCGATCGTCTGGTGCCGAGACACGCGGTCCGAGGCGAAGATTGCCACATGGTCGAGACCGAAAACTAAAGACAGCCTTCGAGAACATCAAGGCAGCAACCTCCCTGCTGTAATGCAGGTGACACTGAAATCTACAAAACTAGAGAACAACAGCCACTTGAAACCTAAGAACAAAAGCTATGGCTATGACTTGTGTGCTGAGATTCAAGCCAGGCAGTCTCAGAAGACCGGGCAGTTCTCGTGGAGGACGCCCGGTGCGGTTGGACACTCGGACAATGGACAGAAGGAGTCGAAGTCCCTGCCCCACCAGTATGGCCCCTGTATTTCGGAAAACCCGAAGCTCAGAGCGAGGAGCACCCCGAAGAAGGCATACCCAAGGTCCAACCCGTTGGACACATCGTACACGTGCCGGGCCCACCACTCCTTTGCTGCCATCCGGGCCACCAGGTGGTACGCTGCCGCCACTGCGAAGAACGTCCAGTAGTGCACTGGCTGGGCCGGGATCACGAACGAGGCCGACATGAAGATGACCGGGAAGTTGATGAGCCGGATCCATTTCTTTCCAGGGAAGGCGCGGGCCACGAGCCACACCGCCAGGGGAGCAGCCGCCCCCACTAGGAAGAAGAAGTAGATGCCCGCGTAGGCCCCCGGCGTGAAAATCCGGGCCGGCCCGAGCCCGCCCCATATCATGGAGTCGGTCAGGGAGGACTGGATGCCGGGGCACGTCCACATGCTCCCCTTCGGCAGCTTGTCTCTGTCGCATATGTTCTCAACCGACGTCAGGGCCCACCACGCGGTCCCGAGCTTGACAGAGCTGGAGAGGAGCGAGCCAAAGATCTAGGAGGCACGTAGAAAGTCGGACATAAAGATGCGTCAAGATGAATGTGTTGATTAGATTAGCAAAATAGAGGATGAATGCGATGAACTATATTGCAGTTGGTCAGACAAAATGCAGGAATTAGGATCAACCAAAGTTCGAAGGACATTGTCATATAATTCCCCTAACACGTCTCGCTCATGCATTAGATTCGGGTTACCTCAGAGTTGATAAGCCTTTCACATTAGTTTCCTAATTCAGGATATGTTATTGTCTCGCAGGTTTCGAAATGGGCATTGAATACCTGAACAAGGAACATAGATTTCGGCGGGATCTTCATGTAATGCCCTAGCTTGAACTCGGCTAAAAACGTGATGGCGTGCATCTTAGTGCTTTGAACATAGGCCGGGAAAGTGAAGCTGGTTATAGGCCTCCCTGGGTATAAATAGCCGATGATCAATTCGGCGACAACTGATAATCCGAGGTACTGCACCCAAGAGAAAAGAAATATGAGACAAATTAAGACTCTAATCTCGGTCCAAATCGGATGGGGAAAACTGCGATGTAACGGTCTGAAACTGGACTCAAATTTGAGGACTAAAGCTTGGTTGGCGCTTACAGTGCCAGTGGTAGCTTCAATTATGCCCAGGGGAAGAATGAGGATGGATGGTATAGCCAAGGACAGTAGAAATGCCCAAGTCGGAAGTTGGAATTCTTGGCCAAAGAATTGGCAATTGGCAATGCCAAGACTGACCATCGACACGATAATCACGTAGAACCACCACCGAGGGATCGGCTCGTACTTCTTCATGAGCTCATTGTGAATGTCGCCGGACTTGCTCTCGTTTTTCATTGACTGGTTCAGCTGCTGCCAGCTCTCCCTGAAAATTTCCAAAATTGTACCCTTATTAGTACAGATAAAAATGACTGGAGAGTGTTTCTTTTCCTTCTAAGGTACTAGAAAAAGCGCCGAACCTTCCATGGAACAGAAGAAAATAAGTCAATGCTCCGGTTAAGGCAGCGAATGTGAACCCCAGTTTGAAGACATATCCGATGCTCATGTACATCTTTGAGTACTCGTTGTACGCCAGCTCATTAAGTTGTAACTCTTCTCCAAAAACCCGGGTAATATCGTACTGGTTCCCCGAATAATCATATGAGTCCGGAGTCAATATCGGGAACCTCTTTGCATCAAACAAATTCATCCAATAGGCCACCGGTATGCACACGTACATTATAACCACAAACCCGACCAGTGTGTTCACGATCGTGAACCTAGGCAATATCAAAGGGTTGCCCACCCAAGCAGTAGCCGAGTCCCAGTCAATGGCAAGAGAACCGATCCCAAGACCATAGTAACCTGCGCCGAGTTGATGCACCGTGACCGAGTCTTTCCAGATCCAGCAGAGGAATGAGAACACCATGATAATTTGCATGAAGTAGGCGGGAATGATGGAATAGGCAAAGACAAAGACAGCACAGATGACAAGAATTTGGAATCCGCTGAGCCGGCCTCTAGCTCTCGGTGCTTTCTCATGGAGCGCTCTGCCATATGGTTAGCAAGAGCAAGATCAAAAAGTTAGATGCATAGGTTGGTTGAAGGAATGTGCCGGGTTGAGACAAAGTAGACAGTTCGAAGTCTAGAACAGACCTGTAGAAAGATACCTTCGGTAAGGTTAAGGGGTACCACATGTAAGGATTGTCCACAAGAATCCTTCTGAACAGTCCAGCAAAACCAAATCCTATCATCTGCAAATTGAAAGAGTAAGTTGCTTTCAGCAATTAGTGTTTATGGTGTCCTAGCAACACAAATTTGATACTACAAAAGACAAGGCATGACTTTTTGCATAACCACTAGTTTGGTTACCCTCTAACATAACATTCATGTTATTGTTAAGTAAGTTCCACACTCGCCAAAGTCGAGCTAATTTTGCCCCGAGATTCTCCAGAACGAATGTGAACTATTTTGGTCTCCTTTGTAATGCAAAGTGCAGGAAAATGAACTCACCTGAGATGTCATGATCATCAAAATGGAAGCCCAAACACTTATATTCTTGTGGTATACCACCTTGATGGCATTGATGGTCGACATGGACTGTACTGTTTCAAATCCGGTCGTGGAGAGGATGACCACCAGTACGTGCTCCTTGACATTGAACGGTCCCGGATTGAGAGAAAACTTCCAATTTGTTCCTGGGATCCCCACGATCTTGGCAGGAAGAGTGGAGGCCAATAGTCTCCCCAGCACAAGCAGTAAAATTTGGGCGCATGACTCACTGACCCACATTTGGCTCCTCCTATACGTGGAAATCTGGTACATGAAAGACGTGATGGCGCACACGAGTGGCCCCAACACCCATGTCCTGATTGTTAGGACGGGCAGTGTCGAGTCGTCGGTGACAGGAACTGCGTTCCTCACCTCCTCAATTGGCGAGTCGCCAGAAATGTCAGCTGGAATCATTGTGAATAGAGGCTTCAGAAAGCGAATCAAATGGGGCGGATGTAAAACAAATGAATCGCTAAGGGGAAGCTCATCTTCATAATGACCAGAGGCATAGGCTATGTAGCATTTTAGCAGCAACCATTTATAGTCATTAGAACAATTATTGTGGCGGATGGTTGGTCAATTTTGTTTCTTCTTTCCCGTGTCTTCCACATTGTTTCCACTCGTACATTGGATTAAAACATCGGACAATCCTTAAGTGGGAAGCAAAAGATTGTTCTCTAGGCTGAAGGCTATCATAATTTAGCTGGTCGCATTCGCAATTTATCATAAAGTTCATGCACCGAAGTCTGCATAAGCACAAAGATGCCATCTTTTGCGTGAATATCTCAGTCTATCACGCCGAATTGCGAAATAGCACAGGGTAGGCGATATTTTCCGCAATAATGAAACTTATTAAGGCTCTAAACGGGCCAACATAAAACACAACCAGATTCAATTAACGAGAGAGAGAGAGAGAGAGAGAGAGAGAGAGAGAGAGAGAGAGAGAGAGAGAGAGAGAGAGAGAGAGATTACTGGGTTTTGTTCCTGAATCCTTGAGGCCAAAGTCACCACACTCTTTGCGTGGTCCCACATTAATATCATGGTGTAAGATGGGTTTCTCCTCTGTTTTCATGGGCATTTCTGGAGCCAGAGACTACTACTTTTCTTTTGGTATTTCACACCACCCTCTCTGTTTCTGTCTCTGTCTCTCTCTACCCTGTGCTTTTTCTCCAGAGGATTCTTGCCCCGTCACTTGGATGAATTCAGGTTGCAAAAGTTCTTACAGAAGAACACACGCCCAGCTCGTAAATATGAGGCGTCAAGGAATTCAATTAACCGAATTCTCCACGTCCAAGTAGAAGAGGGTTTTAGCCAGAGAGATCAAAGCCTACGACCTGGTTTCATGCGTGTTCCCAACATCATTCAAAACGAAAGTCAAAACAGAAAAAACAGAGGAGGTTAGTCAGTTGAAAGAATTCCTGATGATCGTTGCGAATTGAGGTTCGGAGGTAATGCATGTTCGTAGGGGACAAAGGAGGAAAGCTGGCTTTGAGAAGCAGGTAACTCCTGGGGTCGCTCTGGTACCGTTTTCAGTTTCTTGTTGACCTGAAGGGCTTCAAGTTTGTTTCTTCAGGGCAGCTCCACGCTGACAGGCATTCCAGGACAGAGCTCGTTTCTTCATCTGCAACAACCCATGGACTTTGAGCAAATGAAACTGACGATTTGTTTTTGTCCCCCAAAATAGAAATGATTTGGTTCTCACACGTTTCGCGCTTCGGCGCAATAGATAGATCGAGACAATCATCCGAAAGATGGCAAGTTTGCATCTTTTTTTATGCGGACTACTTTCGGTGCATGATGTTCAGTAACGGCGAATGCGACGGGCCGAGTTCGATGATTCGGCCTAGAGAACAATCTCTTGTTTCGCGTATAAAGATTTGTCCTAGGTTTCAATCCTATGAACAATTTGGAAAACATAATGGAAGACCCAGAACAGAAGAAGCGAAAATTGACCACCCAGCTGCACCCATAATTGTTCTAATCGCTAACAATGTTTGTTCCTAAAAATGCTGCATGGCCCATAATGCCTTTGGTCATTGTTAAGATGAGCTTCTGCTTAGCAATTCATTCCTTCTCGAGATAATGGCAACGTAAGTACTTGAATTTTTACCCATTTTACAAATCGAATGTCTAATTTTTATTATTTTTGGTTCAATCAAGTATCTCAATTTTTCAGATTTACTCAATGTAAAAGCTTCCATAGAATAAAATTACATGTCATGTGATTTTGCTGACGTGACCTGTTGCTTGGCAAAAGTAAGTCACTCGGCAAAAGTTAAGCCTATTTAGCGACGTGGCTTGCTTATTTGGCAATAAGTTCATGCCATCTTCATTAAGGTGTTGGGTGATGAGGAGAAAGGGAGAGTGCTGACTTGGACGGTTTTTAGCCGTCCGATGCATATCCACTCACGTGGCATCGTCTTAAAAGGCCACATCGGACACAATGTGAACAGTTAACTGCTACTTGAGGATGCTAAATGTTCACATTGATGTTTCGGTTCGTGATTTTAATGGAGGCACCGCGTTAATGCACACTCAAAAAGTGGAGATACTTGATTGAACGGAAAGAAAAATGAATTAGCGACTCAATTGTAAAAAGGAAAAAATCCTAGGTACTCGTGGTGTCATTATCTTTTTTCTTTGGGATAAGTGCGTTCAAAGTCCTAAAACTTGTCACGAAAGTACAATTGAGTCCTAAAACTTTCATAATGTGCAATTAAGTTCTAAAACTTGTTAGGAAAGTGCACTTCAGTCCTAAAACTTTCAAAAAGTGCAAACAAGTCCTAAAACTTATCACGAAGGTGCAATCAAGTTTTAAAACTTATCACAAAAGGGCAATCAAGTCCTAAAACTTTCAAAAAGTATAATAAATGGAAGGACTTGATTGAACCAATTTGACAAGTTTTAGGACTTGTTTGCACTTTCGTAACAAGTTTTAGGGCTTGTTTGCACTTTTTGAAAGTTTTAGGACTTGATTGCACTTTCGTGACAAGTTTTAGGACTTCTAGTGCACTTATTCTTTTTTTTTTGTCAATCCGCACCATTTGCGTCTAACCATGATGATTCCAGCTGACATCCCAGCAACTTACCGATTGCGGGAGCAAGGAACGCGATTCGGGTCACCGACGGCCCCCCGTCTCACGATCCGAACGCGGGCGCCGGGGCCGATCACGCATGTCATTACCTCTTCCATTAACCAAATTTCCACGTACAGAAAGATGCAGACGTGGGTTCGCGAGTCAGTGCGCTCGAGTTTTTACTGCTCGTGTTGGGGTCTCTAACGTCAGGCTCCAGACTTGCTCTTTCACTTTGCAGATGATATTGGATTTGGTTTTGCAGGACTGGTAGGGAAAGATTTCCATGTAGTTCTCTCCAGGTAAATCTTGTTCTTGCTAAACAAACTCGGGGCGCGCCACTCCACGAGAAAGACCCGAGAGCTAGAGGCCGGCTCAGCCGATTCCGAATTCTCGGCATCTGCACCGGTTTTGGTCCTTACCAATTCCGTCATTCCCTTCTTTATGTCACGCAAATAATCACCCGCGATCTCGTTCCTTTGCTGAATCTCAAAAGACTCGGTCACCGGTGCATCGCCTCGGGCACGGTTACAACCACGGACGTGCCCAAGGAGGAACCCACGAGCGAACCTAGAAAAGCCCGGACGCGAAGGGCTTACGCCTTTTTAGCTGCAAGAATCTTTCCCTCCTCAATTTGTGTCCATCTCCTGATTTCCAGGACCCCTCTCTCTCCGTCGAATTTGATCAATGTGCATGTAATACCGCCATCTTTATACTTGTCTCAAGTGTGGCCACTGTGCTAGTTCCATCTAGGAGAACCGGAAACGGAGAGCTTTTCAGACTTGGATCGGAGACCTCGCCCGTGAAGTGATATGACTGAGCAGTGGGATCCTAAACTAAGCCATTCTAGAGTAATATATACTTTTTCAAATTATTAAATCAAAACTCATGGAATCGTTGCGAATTAAGGTTCAGTGGTAATGCATGTTCCTAGGTAATAAAGAGAGAAAAACCGGCTTTGAGAATAATGTATCCTTTCAGTTTTCTTGTTCACCTGAACGGCTTCAAGTTTGTTTTCAGGGCAGCTCCACGCTGGCAGAGAGTGTAAAAACAGAGCTTGTTCTTTCATCAGCAACAACTCAGGAACTTCGAGCAAACGAAAGTGATGATTCGGTCTTGTCCCCCAAAGATAGAAAAGCTAACATGGCCCCTGAAAACAATATGGAAGATCACATAAAAAGATGATTCGAATTCGAACACGAGCACGACGGGCTAAGCTCGATGGTTCGGCACGGAGAACAATCTCTTGATTAGCATGTAAAGATCTGTCCTAGGTTTTTGATCCTATGTGCAATTTGGAAACACAGTATGGAAGACACAGGAAGGAAGAAATGGAATTGACCACCCAGCTACCACCATAATTGCTTGCTGCTAAAAATGCTGCATGGCCTATGCCTATGGTCATTGCTGAGATTGATCTTCTGGTTAGGAATTCTTCTTTTATTTATTTATTTATTTATTTTTCGGGGTGACGACATTAAAAGCGCCCTAACTTTTGCCCGATTTCTCATATATCTTGTTCTTGCTTATCGTACTCGAGAAAGGACCAAGAGCTGGAGGCCGGCTCAGCCAATTCCAAATTCCCCATCATCTACACCATCTTAGTTCTTGCCTATTTCCGGCATCCCTACTTCAATGTCAATTCGATATCACCATCTTCATACTTGTCGAGCCTGGCCTCTTAAAACTAATGTGGTAGGGTTACGTAATCATGAGGCGGCGAGCGCATACGTATCCTTAGACGAGTCTTTCCGGAGCAATTCGATAGAGCGAATACAGTAATACAGTCATAATAAACTCGAAAAAATTAATTTATCTTATGGTAAGCTCGCACACATTTCCTTTATTTTAGTAAAACAAAGCAAAGTGGGATGAAGTTCGATGGTATCCTTCGACGATAGATTTTAGGAAAAATTGCATCAGAGGTCCCTAAACTTTTCCAAAATTTTCAATCAAGTCCATCAACTACATTTTCACGTAAAATCTCGAGAGTTGTGCTGGGATATACAGAGGAAGAAAAACCCTTCCTTTTCCCTTCAGCTCATACGCCCGATCTCACCGACCACCACCACCACCCAAGGATATCGTCGGCCAGCCGCGCCGGCGCCGGCGCCGCCGGCGAAAAATCGCCCCTTCGCCACCACCCGCGAAGACCCACTTGAGTGAACGACGAAACAAGACCCCTCTCCTCTGGGTTTTGCCCTCTCATCTCACCGTCCCCAGATTCGCAAGCAGCGGCGAGCGCGCAGCGGCGACGGGACGGGCGCCGGAACACGCTCGGCCGCGCGCAGGTCTTCTTCCGGAGCCTTTTTTGTCGTAATTCTCTGCGTTTCGTTTCGAAATTACGGAAATTTGTTTCCCGAAACTTGATCGTGTGCTTCGAATTAGATAGTTGTGAGATTTTTTTTTTTGTCGAGGATTGTTGTGAGATTGAATGCACGGGAATTCGCTGGTTGTGTTTCGCATTGTTGATTGCTGCTCCTTTTACTGGAAAGAAAGAAAGAAAAGAGAGAAATTTCGGGCTGTGACCTGAAATGGGATGATCCCGTTCGGTCGGGTGAAAGTGTACAGTTTGGTTTTGATTCTCCTCGGAACGGGTTCGGGTCCAACCATAGCCTGCACGTTCCTCGCCCCGAGACCGGGGGAAGATGTACAAGAGGAGTTGCACAACAATGTCGAAAAGGTCGAAAAGGATGTTAGTTGTCTGCTTAATCTGTCGGAGACTCAAGATGGTTCAAGGGTTCATTAGGACTTGTGCTCTTGCATGTGGCTCGTGAGAACGGTCGCTGCAAAATCGTCTCGGAACGAAAATTTTCAGTGCTCATACCGAGTGATTTTCACTGACGACGAGCAAACATCATCTTCGTCATTACTGATAAGTTATCTTCAAATCTTCGCCATTTTGGATTATCTCCTGTGGGGGTGTTCAAGCTCGAATAGTAGGATCCTATAGGCTTGAAGTCTGTTCCTTTTTTTTTTTTGCTCTCTCTTTGATAGATTTAGGAAAAGATTGAAAAGGTGCTTGACGGTGAAGGTGGTGGAGAAATTTAAATGGGTGAGAGGATTCTGAGAAAGTGAACGAGAATAGGAGCTCGAATTCGTCATCTTTGGGCTTTTTGTGATTGTCAAGTGAGGTGCCAAAGGGGTCAATCATGTGAAATTACATGTCAAAGTTTGAAATTTTTTTGTTTTATTATTTGACTGCAGTTTCTGTAAGAACTTGTTTGTGATGTGATGTCATGTGATTGGTGTAGAATTTTCTTTTCCGACGATGTATGGGTTAAGCCGAAGGTTTTCGGCACTTGGAAGAGGGTTGCACACGGTGTCCAGTGATGGCCCATCCGACACCTTGAGGAGGAAGATTGCTGAGTTGGAGAAGATGAAGAAGAAGAGGAATCCTAGGAAAAATCAAGTATTTGTTGAGGTTCCGGAGCCAAAAACATTTCTTGATACGGCAACTTGGCCGATGATCCTTGCCAGTGTTGGAATTGCACTCTTTGCGAAGCTGCTCATGATGGTAAAAGAAAAAAACACATCATAGGATATTGCTTTTGATTGTAGAATAGTTGCATGCTTATTAATTTGAATGTTGCGCAAGCTTCTTTTCTATTTTCAATTTCATGTGGTAATTAAGCCAAGAAGCTGGATACTATGGTATAGTTTATCATGAGTATATAGTAGTTCCATTTTGACTTGTTTGTATCATTGCCTAATAATAATCCATTTTGTGAGCTCTGAGTTTCTACGTACTGAAACCTGACTTGCGAATCTTTAACCTGATATTCTCATCATTACAAGGATTGGTAGACAACCTCGTACTAATATTGGGGATCTTCAATCTGGTTTTTTTGGGTCCTTTTACACCCTGGGTCATCAAAATCTACAACTAAACTATCCCATGCTGACTTGGTACGAATAAACAACATAAAAGAAAATTTATGGTGTTGTTAGCTCATTATTGCACTGCCTATTGTACAAGTAGAAGCTTTCGATATTGTAGGAAGTAGTTGGGAATTGACTGTTCTATAAGCCATCTCTTTCTACTAAAGTGGTTTTGTATCAAAACAAAACTACTACGGAACAATTTCCCATGCTACACTATGAATGATCCAAATGAATAAGTGCGAGATGTTCCTATTTTTGTCAGCCAACTATACCCGGCACTCGCATACTGCAGTCTTGATAATTGACATACCTCGTTTTCGTATGGTGACTTTGTTTACCATCATCTAGCTAAAATAAGACTACATAAGATGTTTTATAAAATTGAGTATTATTGGGATGATTCACCTAATTGGGTGTCTATTGCCAACGCGCAAGACAATTGTCACAAAATTCTACCCTATGCCAATCTGAAGGTTTCTTCTATCGTATTGCTATTGTCAATGGATCTTTCATTTGTTTTCTTTTTCTTTTTGGGATATATTTTGGCGCCACCCAAGCAGAGGGTACCTCTCTGGTATTTCCAGAGGTTATCATGGCTGAATGTCTTCGTCCTGCTAGATTGATGTGTTTTCGTGACTTTCACTGCAGTATGATGATTCCAGATCCCAGGAAATTATTGAGCGGAAAATAAAGCATGCTCCTGCTGGTCAAGGCTCAGTTAGGATGCTCAGTCGTGAAGAGTGGGATGAAATACGAGAAGTGAGGCCCAGGACTCCATTTGAATCCAAGCTCGCTCGACCAAATGCTAGAATAAGAACTGGAGAACCCTTGCGCATGGTGAGATTAGAGCTATTGGCCAGTTTGAATTTTCTAGTATTGCCAATAGTTGATTAAAATCATGAAAGGCTTTAGTTAGTGTTTGTGTGATTAATAAAGTTATGCGGGTCTCTTCTTTTAACTGAGTTCTGAGTCCATTCAGCTGCTAGTGGTTTTGCATATTACTAATGGAGCATCTTCTCTACCCAAATTGAATTGTGTAAGTTTAGTCTTGTCTCCATTAGATAGAGTGTATGGTAATTCTAACTTTCGCATCACAGATTTAGATAAAATTTTGAACTGTCCAATTTCTCCTTTAATGTTAGCTGCAGTATTGCTCAGAAGTCCAACAATTTGTACTGAGGTCATGTATCCGTGTTAGTTAGATATGATACAGGTGGTGACAGTGGGTATAGCAGTTTACTTCTTTATGGTATGGTCCTTGCATTTCCAGCTTCCTTAATGTGGATTCAGTGGTTCTTCAATACTGGATCAGGATTGGACTAACCTTCAAATAAAGTTAATAGTAGTGTCCGTCAAAGTTATTTGGAGTGTCATTACTACCGAAGTGTAAGGTACAAAATATTCTTGGAGGGGAGAATCAGAACAACTCGAAATGAGCTGCTTGAACTATGACGATGAGATTCTAGGTTTGGAATGAAGCATCTAGGTGATAATTCTGTTCACCACTAGTGAAAGTGAAGATAACAATTTGTGCTGAGGTCATGTATCCGTGTTAGTTAGATATGATACAGGTGGTGACAGTGGGTATAGCAGTTTACTTCTTTATGGTATGGTCCTTGCATTTCCAGCCTCCTTAATGTGGATTCAGTGGCTCTTGAATGCTGGATCAGGATTGGACTAACCTTCAAATAAAGTTAATAGAAGTGTCCGTCAAAGTTATTTGGAGTGCCGTTGCTACCGAAGTGTAAGGTACAAAATATTCTTGGAGGGGAGAATCAGAACAACTCGAAATGAGCAGCTGCTTGAACTATGACGATGAGATTCTAGGTTTGGAATTAAGCATTTAGGTGATAATTCTGTTCATCACCAGTGAAAGTGAAGATACAACCCCTCTATGCAACTCTAGATTCTTGTGTAATCCTTGTAGATGCCAAATGCATCAGACAATTATCGTGTTAAACAGATCTTTAAACCATGAGGAGGGACTATTCATGTGATGTAGATTCTCCATTATTAGATAAGGAAACGCTCCCAAATAACCGTTGCTTTGTGGTTACCTGGTTTGTTTGCCTTATAGCTGAGTGCTCTGCATCTTGATATGTCTATTTGGCGTTAAATCAAAGTGCTTAGATTGAGGTGAAACTACAGTTTAGATGTTTTATAGTTTGGCCATTTAGTCACCTGTGTTATGGAAGGAAATTGTCTATTGTTTCACCTATGGCCTTAAAGAGAGCAATATTATAGATCACTTCTAACATGTCTTAAGTGAGTCTTGATCTTGGAATTTGTGTGCATGTTACTGCAAAAAGTAACTGTCTTTTAGCTTCAGTGATGTCTCTCTTTTGAGTTCTGTTATATAAGATTGCTTGCAACTTTTTCGTTAAGTTTAGAATCAGTTGTTTCACAGCTTCTCTGTTTGGTTTTGGTATGACGGAAGATTATCAACACCTAGTTGGTGTTTCTGCATGTTGCATGTGCGCTGCAATCTATTTTACCCTGGTTAATCCATGTTTCTTGTCTTGTTCTATTTGTAGGAGGACTTGAAGGACTGGACAATCGATGTGATTGCTGATGCGCTTGCCCGAGTCGAAGAAAGCGTTCACAACCCTAAGTGAATCGTGACTTTGGTTTAGTGTGTTTTCTGCATCCCCTTTCATTCATATATCATTTCTCACGAAAGTGGATCAACACCTTGTCCTATGCTTGATCCACAAGTTGTGAGCGGTCTTCTGCCTGTGTTAATACTATTGAAACTTGGGGTTCTCGGCACTGGAAACTGGACTGGAGCACGAACAGCGCCAAAGGTCGGGTACAAAAGGGTGACTGAAAAACCAGCCTGGATTTTTGTTTCACTTGGGTCACTTATCAATCCATAAAGTTCATGCATAAGCTGAATAAAGTACATGGCGCATTGCCCCTCGTTGCTGGGAGGCCGTTCTTCGTCTCAAGGATAGTTCTGGTCGATGGTTGGTTTTGTGTACGCGGTCTCGGAAGTCTTAAGAGAATGCGAATTTATGTTATGCATCTTCTAGTTCTTCTTCTGCAATGTTCAAGGCAACTACCCAATAGTCGGTCTGTAGTGGCTGAGAAGAACATGTCCAAAGGAATCTCTTTCTAGCTTTCATGGATCATCCTGTGATTGGAAACTTCATTCCAACTTGAATCTCGTGTAATTTGTTTTGGAGTAATTACTCTCGGGAAGTTAGCCGTTCATGGCCGTTTTTGGATGGGAATAATACATGAGACGGTCCAAAAGTAATCACTGCTTAAGTCTGATGAAGCTCCGCGGATCTTTAGATATGGTGATTCTTACTTGGGCGTGTTAGGGAATGCCTTCGGACACTGCTTTACGAGAGCTAATATTCAATTCTCAAAACAATGATCGTGCATATCGCACCAATAGTCTAAACAAGGGGTGAGCAAAAGAATTGGATCGGAAACCGTCCGAACCGGTTGGTTTGGGGCGGTTCTTGTTCTAGGTGTGGAACCATCCATTTGGACCGAATTGTTATGTATATACACATTAATTTGAATGTATCGAAACCCTGATGCTCGCTCCTCACGCTCTCTCTCAATCCTAATTCCTCTCACACATATAGCTAGGGGTGTAAACGGTTCGATTTGGTTCGGTTTTCTTGAAAAACGGAACCGAACTGAACCATTAAGGGCACCCCTTTGAACCGAACCGAAACTCGCTCGAACCGAACCAAAAAATTGATTTGGTTTGGTTTGATTCGGATCGGTTCGGATCAAATTTCTTTTCCTCTCCGTCGGAGCTGCCTCGCCTCCAGCGGGGGAAGAACAGCAGAAGTGCCAAAAGTTATGTATGGAGCTCACTTTGGTGCCAAAAGTTTCATTTGGATCATTTAAGTGTTAAAAGTTTACGCCGGCGATCACTTAAGTGCCAAATCGGAGAAAAAACGATCACTTAAGTGCCAACGGCGAGAAATTCCGATCAAATTTAATATGTGGCTTTTATATTTAAATTTTAATGACACGTGGCATTTCCCATGTGTATAATTCAATTTTTTAAATATTTTTTTCTGATTTTTTTTTCTTTCTTTTCTTTTCTTTTCTTTTTTCTTTTCTTTCTTCTTCTTCTTCTTCTACCATGGCCGGTTGCCGGAGGCCAACCACCGGCCATGGCCGGCGTCGCCGAGCGTCGCCTTCCTCCGGGCGAGGTAGTCGCGGCCTCGGCGAGGGCCACGGCGGCCTCGCCGGGCCTTGCCCTGCCCAGGCGAGGTCGACCCTCGCCTGGGCAGGGCGAGCTCCCGGCGAGGGCTTGCCCCCTCGCCGAGGCCACGACAGCCCTCGCCGAGGCCACGACGGCCTCGCCGGCCCTCGCCGAGGCCACGACGGCCTCGCCGGCCCTTGCTCGGAGAAAGGCGACGCCCGGTGAGGCCGGCCATGGCCGGTGGCCGGACGCCGGCCATCGGAAATAAGAAGAAAGAAAAGAAAAAAAAGAAAAGAAAAGAAATGCCACATCAGCCCTCGGCAAGCCACATCAGCCTCCGACGAGCCACATCAGCTTGAGAAATTAATAAAAAAATGCCACGTCGGATTTCCGGCGAAGTGGCACTTAAGTGATCGTTTTTCTCAACTTTTGGCACTTAAGTGATCCGATTGAAACTTTTGACACCAAAGTGAGCTCCGTACATAACTTTTGACACTTTTGCTAGTTCTTCCCCCCACCTCCAGCAATGGCGGCCACTGACACCTAGTTTGATCTCAGAGTAAGCCCACCCCCCTCTCCTCCATTTCCACTTTCCCTTTTCTTTCAGTGGCACTTTTGTCGCGCGTCAGTGGGCTTACTCTAAGATCAAACTAGGTGTCAGTGGCCGCCATTGCTGGAGGCGAGGCAGCTCCGACAGAGAGGAAAAGAAATTTGATCCGAACCGATCCGAACCAAACCGAACCAAATCAATTTTTTGGTTCGGTTCCAATTCGGTTCGAACGAGTTTCGGTTCGGTTCAAATGGGTGCCCTTAATGATTCGGTTCAGTTCGGTTTTTCAAGAAAACCGAATCAAATCGAACCGTTTACACCGCTACAGCTACTACGTGATGGAGTTTTAGGAGTTTTAAGTAAGGGGCTTTGAGATGCGTGACGGACCTCGGCCTTGTCAGGTGGCGCAAAAACAAAAGAATATTTACCCGAATTGGATAATCCCTCGAAAAAACGATTAAAGAAAATTCTTCACGCGACTGTGCACGGGCATGCGTGCTCTTTAAGGCTGGCATCAAGCTGCTTTTGCATTTCTTCTTCTTCTCTCTACTTTTCCCGATTGCACTCGGAGCAGCACGCGGCGAGCTTCCCGGCGCTTCCTCCGGCTTCCGACGCGCGATCGATCCTCTTCTCCTCCTTCGCCGCCGCCGCCGCCGCCGCCGCTCGTCGGAGTTGCTGCCGCGATCGCCGTCTTAACGGCGGTCGAATGTCCCGGGGTAACGGTGGAGAGCTCTCTACGCTTTTTCGTTTTCGTCTCTGGCCTGTGGTTTGCGGTTGAGATTCGCGATCGTTTGAGATCGCCGGTCGTGCTTGCGTTGTCGGTGAGTTGAGTGAGCTCTCCAGCAGCTGTTCTGCGTCGGTCGGTTTTGTTGTTGTTGTTGTTTGTGTGGCGTCCGAGTCGACGCAGGTCGATCGCGGGACTCTGATCTCGAGCAGAGTTTAGTAAGTTCCGAGAGCGATTGTCGGAAATAGGATTGAGCTTAAGTGTGGGGCGCCTCGAAACCAGCTTTCGTAGCTGGAGAGGTGACTGTGGAAGAGAGAGGTGTTTGCTTTTGCCTCTTCGGAGTGACCAGCAAGCTGTTCTTGGCTTCTCCGGTCGCGGCCTTTTACTTCGTGGTTTGCTCGATCTCCGTCTCTTGTTTGAGCAGAGTTGCTCGGATGGTTGGATAAAGTCTGAGTTCTTGGTGATTGTAGGTGTCGGAGTGAATGATCGAACCGCACTGTTGTCAGTCTCTTGTCCAAGCAAGTAGAAACTGCGCTCTAGGTTGTTCGGCTCGCTATGCTTGTGGCTATAATTGTTGTTGCACAAATGGAAGAGTTACAAACCTCTTTTTTTTCCTATATTTTCTTCGGCTTCTCGCTAGATTCCTTTTCCAGTTTAAGTGGAGTTGGGGCTGGTGATTTCTTGCTTCTAATTTTACTGGAATCCCCCAATTGGACATGTTTTTAGAAAGCACGAGTTTGTGTACTATCTCCTAGCTTCTACTTGGGTACTTCCTTTTTGCTTTATGATTGTTATGAGATTCTATGCAGATATATGCATTTTTGGATGTGTCAGTTTAATTTTAAGTGCAATATCTGGATATACAGTTTGTTGCGTAGCTCCACCAATCAGCATGTGTGCATTTATTGGTATGTGTTGCTTTGTTAAACGCAATGCCTGGTGGTTGCTCACTTGGCACTGTTTATATCTTTATTTATTTTTTCATTTAATTGTGCATGCAGATGCATTCATTGAGTATCGAGTTCGGGCCCTCTAGGACTCGATTTTACTTTCTGTTGGTGTACAATATCCGAGTTTTTGACGGTAGTTCTTAACAGGTAACTTTGCTCTCGATTTGAGGAAATGAAATAAGTGAATCAGTAATTTCAAGTGCTTTAAATTGGGAGACCCAGAAGAACGTTCATTGTCCTCACCAGTGATGGAAAAACTAGATGCTGATTACTTGTCAGTTTGGAAAAGCTATGGACCACGTGGTGCTTTGGGTGCTCTTCTTGTTGCCATAGCTATACCTATTCTTCTCTCCACTATGCTCTTGGGAAAGAAAAAAGTGAAACAAAGAGGAGTACCTGTAGTGGTGGGTGGTGAGGCTGGTTATGCCATACGCAATAGTAGATCGCCTGAATTGGTTGAAGTTCCTTGGAAGGGTGCAACAACCATGGCAGCTCTGTTTGAGCAATCTTGTAAGAAACATTCACGACAGAGATGTCTTGGGACAAGGAAACTTATTAGCAAGGAGATTGTCACAGCTGGTGATGGTAGGAATTTCGAAAAATTACACTTGGGAGATTATGAATGGATCACTTATCGAGAGGCTTTTGACCGTGCTTGCAACTTTGCATCTGGACTTGTTAGTTTGGGTCATAATGTGGATAGCCGTGCAGCCATATTTGCAGATACTCGAGCAGAATGGTTCATTGCCTTTCAGGCATGATTTTGTACTTACCTCCGTCAATTTCTCAGTACGGGTTTGTTGTATATGAAGATAACAATTGCAAAATAACTTTCATTTCCAGGGGTTCTTTCGGCAGGATATTACTGTTGTCACCATCTATGCTTCTCTAGGTGAGGATGCGCTAGTTCATTCCCTCAATGAGGTATGTAACTATTACTAAGGCGAGGCGATTATAGAAATTTAGCTCGTCATGAATTCAGTATAGTGACTGTTTATAGGCATATCTATGCAACATTTTCATTATTCTAAGATCTCTGCCTTTGACAGACCCAAGTTTCAACCCTGGTCTGCGATTTCAAACAGTTGAAGAAGTTGGCTGCAATAAGTTCAAAATTAACGACAATTCAGAATGTCATTTATTTTGATGATGGTGAACCAGAGAATGATTCTAAATTATCTGGAAGCATTAGCAATTGGATTGTGAAATCATTTTCTGAGATTGAGAAACTTGGCAAAGAAATGCCTTCCCCTCCTAGCCTACCATCTAAAAATGGGGTTGCTGTCATAATGTACACGAGCGGAAGTACTGGTCTGCCTAAGGTTTGTTCCTGCTTTCTGTTATTAAATTTGTGATTTTGTTATGCATAATGTCCCAATACTTTGAACATGTGATGATTGTCATCATATACATTTGCATAACCTGTTGGTCATAGCCAATGACAATGTAACTAAATAATAGTCCAATCATCCGCAAATCCTCTGGAATGTCTTTATATTGGAAAGTTTGCAGATAGTTTTGTAAGGAATGTATGGGTGACCCAAATATAGAATTGCTTGCACTTGGTGGTGTAGGTAAGTGGACTCTTTTTCTTTACTAGGCTGGGTAGAGCCAATCTTCCAAAGCATTGTATCTTGCACAGCATGATGCCTAATGTAAAGCACATTTCTTGAAACAGATTTCAGAACTAATGTGCGAGAGAGCTGTTCCTTGATCTCTCATTCCATTTGTGTGGTGTCCATAACATTTGTGCCCAAGTATGAGCCCTAATTTCTTTTAGCTTTATGAAACAGGGTGTCATGATTACTCATGGCAACATCGTGGCTACTGCTGCAGCAGTTACAACTGTGGTCCCAAAATTGGGTAGGGATGATGTTTACCTGGCGTACTTGCCCCTAGCCCATGTTTTTGAATTGGCAGCTGAGGTATCCGAGTATCTGCAGTCTACTTGTCTCTGTTAAGCCTCAAATATCATATTCTGATAACTATGGTTCTCTAGTCTGTGATGTTGGTTGCAGGTTGTGCCATCGGTTATGGGTCAACACTGACCATAACAGACACATCTAGCAAAATTAAGAAGGGTACAAAGGGAGATGCTTCTGCATTGAAGCCGACTGTCATGACTGCAGTTCCTGCCATCCTGGATCGTGTTCGAGATGGAGTTCTGAAAAAGGTGTTGAAATGTGCTACCCTTGTCTTATGTTTTTGTCAATAGTTGAGCTTACAGGTTCACAATTGTTGCGCTTGGAGGCTATAGGGAGCTGTCGATTCTATTGCAATCTTTTATTATTGCTCAAATGAACAAATGGATTAAAAAGAATGCATCAATTTATCTATTTTACTCACAATTATCGCCAAACCAGGTTGAAGAGAAAGGTGGTTTAGTCAAAAGTCTATTCGACATTGGATATAAGCGTCGACTGGCTGCTATAGAAGGAAGCTGGTTTGGAGCTCGGGGACTGGAAAGCATGTTGTGGGATCTCATAGTTTTTAAGAAGATTCGCACAGTACTAGGGGGTCATATCCGATTTATGCTTTGTGGTGGAGCTCCTTTATCCAGTGATACCCAGCGGTTTATCAACATCTGCATGGGGTATGGTTCTCTCGTTTTGAGACATGTTTATATTCATTTTTCATGCAGTTGCCGTTAATCTTGCTAGAAATTTGGATATATGGAGATGGGGGGAGGGGCACGTATCTCATAAATGCTAATTTTTAAGCACAATATAGATGCTAATTGCTTTGCTGTATGTATTTGTTGGTCCTACCATGTTGTAAGGTCTCTATTCTTATGTTACTTTGCTCAGGTTAAGCGGTTACATGACGATTTATCTGTAATCTATTGTTTTGTTGCATGCCATTCTTCTCATGCATGTCTTCATCCAATTATTACATTGCAATATCAAGATTTCTCTTCATTTCAATCATAAATTTGTTGGGAGAAGCGAAATACATGATAAAATAGGTGGAAGAATTCCTGCCCCCAAGTCAATGTAACATGAAAATCTTTCTCAGGATGTATTGGCAGATCATTACAGTACTTACATTCGGTAATGTCACTGCATGAATGTTCAATGATCGTTTTTTCCTAAACTATAGCATAATGAATATTCGGGAATCATTATTATCCAGCAGACAAGAAAAGGACGCTACCTTTTTCCTTCCAACTCCGACGAGTTCAATCCTAGAGAAATTTAACTCACTCATGTGCCATAGCAAGTTTATGGCGCTACATCTTGAGGTCATCTTAGATTATTTTGTTTTGTTTCAACTTTGTCGGATAGTTGGATGATCTTATGCTTTTCATTACTTATTTTGGTATTTATTATAAATCCTTAAGGTTTTCTCTTGATGTCAGGGCTCCTATTGGTCAAGGTTATGGCTTGACAGAAACCTGTGCTGGGGCTGCATTTACTGAGTTTGATGACGACAGTGTGGGCCGTGTTGGCCCACCGCTGCCGTGTGGCTATATCAAGGTACTCATTAATGAACTCCCGTTTTAGGAGCATGGTAGTCTTTGGCAAAAGTCGAAAAGGCTAAAATAACGTTGTTTGCAATTAGAGAAGCTCCAACTGGTGACCCCGTTTTTTGGCCTACTACCCTCCGTGATTTGTGACCATTAAGTTCATGTACTCTATAGTTACTTGGTACCCACATGTGCTTTCTCATTTCATTGGGATCTTACACTTTGATCTGCATCGCAGCTTGTTTCTTGGGAAGAAGGTGCGTATAGAATATCAGACAAACCAATGCCTCGAGGAGAAGTTGTAGTTGGTGGGACCAGCATCACTGCCGGTTACTTTAACAATGAGGAAAAAACTAAGGAGGTGTATCGGGTACTTATTCATCACCGGCATTCTGAACCTACGGTGAGATCTGATAAGGTCAACTGTGGTCTCATATGGCCCATCACATGTTTCAGGTTGACGAGACGGGCATGCGTTGGTTCTATACCGGCGATATCGGACAGTTTCATCCTGATGGCTGCCTTGAAATTATTGACCGGAAGAAAGATATTGTTAAACTTCAGCATGGGGAGTATATATCTCTTGGAAAGGTGTGGAGCATGATTAGTTTTTTCTTGTATAGCATAGCTTTTTTCAGGCTTGACCATGATTTTCTCTGTTGGCATTAAGGTTGTCGATTTACTTGGTGCAGGTCGAAGCTGCATTGATCTCAAGCAAGTATGTAGATAACATCATGGTATATGCAGATCCATTCCACAACTATTGTGTAGCTTTAGTTGTTCCTGCACGGCAGGTGCTGGAGAAATGGGCCAATGAAGCTGGTGTTAATTACAGTGATTATGTCGAGCTGTGCGACAAAACTGAGGCAGTGGCCGAGATTAAGAGATCATTTTCTGAGGTTAGTTTTTTGGCATTTTCTCCTGATGCATTATCACCTTTTAACCCAAAAGCGGTAATAATTATTTTTATTTTTTACTTAATGTTTGAGAGAGAATTTCCTCGTTTTCATGGGGGCTGAACAATCGATTTCACACTTGCAGGTAGCCAAGGCAGCAAAACTGGACAAGTTTGAAAATCCGGCAAAAATCAAATTGCTGCCAGAACCATGGACACCAGAATCGGGATTAGTCACTGCTGCGCTCAAAATAAAGAGAGAACAGCTAAAGGCCAGGTTCAAAGACGAGCTCCAAAAGCTGCACGAGTGAAATGTGCGTAGGCTTTGATGCTTACTTGCTTGCCATATCGTTCCAGCCATAGAGGTCTGTATAATTTAGCTCCTAATTCCATGAAATGCTATTTTCCTGAGCAACGGTTTCTCTACTATCAGGTGCTAGCTAGTAGGGTCACATGTATTAACTGATGTTAGACGGAACATTTCATGCGGCATCTCATGGTAAAAAGATAAGGAACTTCATATGGTTACTCGGTGATCAAATTTCGGTTACTTGGTCAGTAAAGCAAAATAAATGGACGTTCTTTTTCCTTCCCCCCCTTTTTTTTCAAGTCCAAGTTCCGAACTTTGATCCCTTTCTTTTCGAAGAAGGGAGATGCGACGCGATCGACGATCGTGTTGAACTTGCAATGAAGTAGAGATGTCTAATATCTTTCGGCAACTCCAGTTCTTTCATACAATCTACCTTGATAGGTCTACTAGCTTAATGATACCTGGAAGTCTAGGCCATTGTGAAATCTAAAGAGATAGTCAATTGACTCGGATTGACAGAGCTACCATATAAATTTAGACATAATTTGATCTTGAATGAACCCTCTTTTGATGCCTCTCCATGGACTCATTCTTTATCTTTCCTGTTTCATGATCATGCGTATGTTAACACGCAATGAACGATTCGCATGCAAGCAAGCAGTGATAATCACTCGAATCGTGATGATGAAATGTAACAAACTTCGGCTAATCTCGTTTGTCTTTTTTATCTTCGGTTGATAAATAAAGTGCCTGAATCGAAGTTTTCCATAATGATTGGAGGCGTCGATGTATTTTTGTTAAACAAAAAGTAAATAATAATGTAATAAAATTTCAGAGTTCGTAATCAGTTGATTCGGCTAATAATGGCTTATTATCTGGGTACTGGATGTCGGGCGAGTCGCTTGTTTGTCTAGATCTTTTGTTCGAAAGAGGTAATGAAACTGTGCTCGGCCCAACTTGCCACCTCCATGTTAAAAAATGAAAGAGGATCAATTTTGTGGTTCTGAGGATCCAGCCCGAGTTCCTTGAGCGAATTCAGCACTTCTCAGGTTCTTGAACATGACTAAGCAATTTTGTTTCGTCATCGCGGTAGCTCGAGCAAATTCCATTCACGATCTCACGGGTAATGAACAAGTGATTCTTTATAACCATCTAACCAAAGTTGTTCTTTTTTGATAACCTAGGGACAAGTTGTTCTTTTTTTTTTTTTTTTGATAATCTAGGGACATGGGCTTGAAGATCCAACCATGTGGAGAACCACCGAACATCATGCAAGTCCCCCCATAAACCAATTAAGTCCAAACCATTTACTTATATCAGTTTGCTCGCAGATAGTGACATTTGATCGGAAGACCTCCGATTCTTAAAATGGAAATCCCCCGACGTCGCCAGCCATCTGCGCCGATCCTAGATTGTCGAAAGCTGGTTTACTAAGTATCAGAGATGTCTTTTACAACTGCTTTTCTAGAGCCATCTCGGTTTGCATCAAACGTTGCAATGATTATGGATCATGTATCTCATCAATCAGCACCTTATAATGGAAACAAATCCAAAAAGAATAAAAGACCACAGGGAGAGAGACCTGAATTTTTCCACCTTTGGACCTTTGCATTACACAAGCTATTGCTTTCCTGATATCCTTATCTTTTAAGACTCGTCTATTCTCCCATCATCTCTCTATGGAATAATCTGAGCATCCAAATCCACCCTTATCTCCAGATATCTCAAAAGCTTCATTTCGTCGATGAATTTTTCCTCCCAAATCGAAGACAGTTGGCTCCATACACGTCTTTCTCAGGGAAAATACTGCATGATGATGAGGCAGTCGAAAAACTATTTTTGCTCGGATGTACTTGAAAGAAGCGCAACAGTTTTCACTGCAGGCCGTAGTATGAGATACAAAGCAGGGCCAAGAAAAGGCACCGCGGAAAGAGGGAGAAGCCAGGAACCTTTCTCATACCTGCAATCCAACAACTCTCTAATCATTTGAAACCCCCAGCATCAAACTCCCAGAATCTATTTAATACTGAACTACAGCCACGGGTCGTACTTGAAATGCCTTACCATTTCCGAGAGATCATGTCATTGTAAACCCAGAAAGGAGCAAATGCAGACAGTAGAGTGAAATCAAGGGATGTGACATGGATCTGCAAACAAGATTCCATTACCTAATCAGCTTTCCACCATTACTCCAAGCAGAGCAAACCTGAGAGTTTCCTAGAATGCTTTGAACTTAAGCATCTAGTCAGAATAAACAGAATGAAGGACCAAGTATTTTTTGCTGATAATCACATGCACATTAAGTTTAGCTTTCAGTTTAGGTTACTTGAAACGTCATAGTTGATAATGCAAATTTGATGGTGTTAAACTTTTTATGGAAGCATCAATGGCGTGAATTCAAGAAGAAAATAACAGTGTCATACTTAAGATGTGCCTCTAAACTCAGTTTTTCCTACTCATTGACCATCAAATAATATTTGTCTTGAGCATTAGATCACCTCGATATATGCATATAACAGAGAAGTGTGGATCAATTTCACATTCCTCAACCTCATAGGACAGAAGGCAACATTACATTTCTTTCGAGCAGTTAATGTTAATGCATGCTGGGGAGATGAGGATCGACTCACGAATTTGCTCTCTCTGAAGTACTGGAAGAACTCCCTCCAGTCATCTCCACCCGCAAAAGCCGCATAAGTGATCAATCCTAGTCCAGCAAGAAATACTATCTGACATGTATTTCAGTTAGTTGTCTTCTTATGCAAAATTAGATGATAATCAACTGGAAATAATGGCGTTCCCACTTAATAAAAGCTTCTACGCAAAACAGGGATACAAGGACATTCTACACGTCCAGAATCGCAATGACGTTCAAAGAAATGGTAGCAACTTTCTAGGGGACCGAACAATGGATTCACTTTTCTCTTTCACACTACTGAGAAAGCTGGCTCTTTGATTGCCTCATGTTAACCCTCAAACCATGTCCAGAATTTTCAAAGAATGTGATCAATATGGAAATTGCTTTATCGCGTTTTCTTATATGTGCTGATCTTTCAATGAGGGCTATGTCATTTCTTACCCCAGCAGTGAGCTTTGATTCTAGGAAATTCAGAGGCCATCTACTGAGCTCAGCTTCTTCAACGGGAGGTGGAGGTGGTTTCCAGAGTACAAAGTAAGGAATGAGAGCATAGATGCCGCCAAAGAAAGAAAGTACTGTGAAAGGCCAGACAGGGACACTGCCCTTTGAGCTGCGTGCATAATCAAGTTACGAGTCCATAAGCAATCAGATTCATAAAAACAAAAGTTTTGAACTTAGCTTTCTGTTTTTATAAAGCGGACACAAAATTGTACGCATGACATGCCGGTCAATATGGTTATTTGGCAAAGGAAGTAACAATTGTACGAAATGGGAAAACTCCCTTGTATCCCCAAAACCATAAAGGAATCCACCGAAAAAGGATCGGAACATGCTTTTCAAGAGATAAATGTTGAACAGGGTGATTTTCATAGGAAGCAAGATTATTGAATATCATTGCAAATATCTCAGGTACACAATAAAACGAAGAAATCTCAAGCAGGAAGTGTCGAAAATCAAGCTTAATGAATCAAAGGTTACCTTCGGCCTGTTGGAAGCAGCAGCATGCTATAAACCAAAGGCCACAGACCCATAATGTTCCACAAGGACACAAGCACTCCATTCATCCTGAAACCATCATCTCCTTTCAAATTCAACAGCTTTTGCAGAAAATACATGTCCCTCGACTGTAGATTTAGAAGCAAAAAGCATCACGAATCTATCAGAATATCAGGACTGATTACTTCAATGACTCGACAGAACCGATGTATCTATGCCAGACCAAAATCATTATCCATTTCATAAGCACATCTTTTGTGTAACCACACAACGTTCATCATCACCATTTGGGTCCACTAGAACTACTCATCTATTGAACAGCATAAAAAAAAATAAAAAAATACTCCACTCCTTATTTTTTTTCCAGAAAATTCAAACCTGTGGATTGATAATCTTCAAAGACTTGACAGAGCTGTGCCATAAGTATCTTAAATCATCATCCATATCAACAAGCACGTTTAATGTTCAAGCATGCGAGTTCTTGGTCATTCGGGTCCAATAGCATAACCAAAAGCCAAATTCTTGAACTCCATTTGTTGAGACATGAATATACAGAATCATCAGGCTATTACGTATAATTACCGGAGTCTGGTTCGGAGCTAGATTGAAGATGTAATACATAATCGCAACCCAGAGCAGAAGCAACAAGACCGATGTCGTCCAGTCCCTTCCACCCTCCCCATCACTCCGTAACGGGCTCTCCTCCTCCAGACCTGGGTCATCCGGCTTCTCGTTCTTGGTGAAGCTGCGACAAATTTGAAGGCCTCTGGGCTTACTGGGCAGAGAAATGGGGGGGCTACCATTGCAATGCCTGCGGATGACGCTACGAGCGAAAGGAGAGACCTTTGAGGGAAGCGAAGGGAATGGGATTCTGGGTTTTGGGATTTGAGCGCGGAGGAGCGAGTGCTCGAGAGGTGGGACGCGAGCGGAGTTGGTGGAGACGATGAGACTGGTACCGGCTAACATGTTTCAAGCAATGAAGCAGGAGGAGGAGGAGGAGGAGAGTGTTTTGTAGTCTGATGAGGCACCTGTGACTTTCCTTTTCTTTCAATTTTTTTTTCCTTCTTTTTAGTTTTTGTGAATACATTGTTTGTATCTTGATAATCAAATCTAAACGACCATTAGCATGTTTGTTTATGTTTTGGCAATAGAATAAAAGCAATATCTAACCAATGGAATCTCCCAAGTCTAGCAGGTGCTCTGCCTTTGACGTGGATTTCAATCAGTGCTCCCATCTTTTATATCGTGATGACGATGATTTACTTGTCTCGGACGGCAATAGCGACGATTTTTTCAATGTTAAGGAAGTTTACAAATTAATTTAACGGGACATCAATTGCCTACAAATAAACTTTAGAGTTTAGTGTGCAAATGAGATGGGTCGGAAAGGTTCAGAAGCTTCCTGTGATTAGTTTTTAATTAACGTCTATTCTCTAATTACGAATGATTTTTATGTAAAACAATAGGCAATAGCATATTCCTTTTATGCTTCTTGTCCTCAATCCTTCGAGACAATTTATACGTGCTTCGGGGTTGTAAGTATTCAAAAACTGTTGATGGCAAAACCCATGATATGCACAAGTGACTATTGGCAAACCTATCGGCTTCAACAACTATGGTAAATGAGACTGATTAGCCATTAGCTTTTGATGTGACTTTTGGGTATTCTTGGAATTTTAGGAACAAAATATTATTTCAGGTAGAAACTGATTAGCCACGTGCGCAACTTATTTTCTAGTTTTATCTTTTACTTATGATCTTTTTTACAAAATTGAAAGCTTTATAAAATCGTAAAATTAATATATGATTTTACCTATAAATATTTATGGACTTATTGAGTTTAAGAGATGTCAAATATTCATTGTGAAACTCAAAAAATTTGCAATAAAGAAAAAATTCGCAAACAAGTTGAAAATCTTATTTGAAACCTTATAAAATATCTATATATTTTAGTAATGCAGGTTGAGTTAGGTATGAGTCATCGAATTTATATTGCATATAAATAGGTCAAAACGGATTATATGGGTCATATCATTTTCGACTAGACTCAAACCTTTTCTAATCCATCCATTTGACGGCTTACCTTTAGGCCCTTAGATGTCATTTGTTCATGCCTTGGGCCTTTTATGCCTCACTCCTCATTAGAGGCGAGAAAATTGTCCAAAAGTTCTAAACCTACTGTACTTTTGCCAATTCAGTTTTAAACCTTTTAATTTTGCTAATTGAGTCCTAAACCTTTTCATCTTTTGCCAATTGAGTCAATGTGGCCAATTTTGACTAGAAATTGCTGACGTGGATGCCAGCTATGCCACGTAGGACGGTTGGCACTGATGTAGACAATTTTGTATAATATTTTAATATTTTTTGAATTTTTTATTTCTTTTCTTTTCTTTCTTTCCTTTTTTTTTTCCAAATCCTAGCCAGCGACCTTGCCAACCGTCCATCATTGGCCACAGGCGAGGGTGCCGAACCCTCGCCAAGATCCAATCAAGGGCGCGGGCCCTCGCCCAGATTTAGGCGAGGGTGTTGCAGCCCTTGCCCACACCAAGTGAGGGCCTTCGTGCCCTCGTCGGCCAATAGGTTGGGCCCTCGCCTATGGCCAACGAGGGCGCGGAGGCCCTTGCCTGTTGCCGGCGAGGGCTGCAATGCCCTCATCTAGCCTAGGCGAGGGTCGGCCGGCGACCTCGCCAGCCAGGATTTGGAAGAAAATAAAAGAAAATAAAAGAATAAAAAATATTAAAATTTGAAAAAATATTAAAATATTATTAAAAATTATCCACGTCACCGTCGCCCGTGCCGTGTGGACGATTGGTGTCCATATCAACGATTTTCGGCTAAAATCGGTCCTATGGACTCAATTGGTAAAATGTGAAAATGTTTAGAATTTAATTGGCAAAATTGAAAAGTTTAGAAATGAATTGGCATCCAACTCATCAAGATGTAGTATTCAAGTCAACAAACCAACGCTGCAAACTTGCACATATGAATATTTGATTGCCACCCCAATTTTTGTTAATTAATTTTGAGCTCTGTTAGTTAAAAAAAATTTCTGCATCTTTATAGCTTTGCTTCACTTCGAAGGAATCCAAACCCAAAGGTTTCCCTTTTATCCTCCTCCTTTTCTTTATCAGCCCCTGTTCTTTTTCTAAAAGCACAAGAGCGAACCTCCTTACCACTCCTGACCTCTTCATTTAGGCCCAAATTATACAGAAAGGCAAGGTTGCTGCTATTTCCAAAAACATTTTATAAGTTTAAGACGAAACTGGCCCTCCTAACTTCAAAGGTGCCATTGCAGCTTCAGATCACGTAAGTTCAAGGTAAACACAATTGCAAAAAAAAAAAAAAAACAGTACTCTGTAGAAATTTATATACAAATGTACGAAATTTGTATCAAGTTTTTCAACCAATTATTGTATAGCATCTCCAAATTTTATAAACTTTCTTGTTAAATTTATAGCATATCAAAATACAGTTATAGCACACAAGACACTTGTAACACAACCTCGGAAACGCCAAATCAACTTTATGTTCGGGAGAGCTGGGCAACAATTCACCAAGAACTTCACCTGTTCAGGATCAATTTCTTCCCCAAAACTAAACCAATTGAAATTCGACTTAACCCCAGCAACAACCAGCGGTATATTCCAACAATACAATCTCACAATACATAAGTATAATGCTGAAATATTAAAGATATAAGATAACAACGACACCAAGATTTTACGTAAAAAACCCAATATGGGAAAAATCACGGACCGCTCAGCAAACTTCCACTAATCACCAAGAATAACAGGATACACAAAATTTTCTTCTCTGGTCACACACGATAGACTCAACATCAATAATACAATAATATCTCGTCACCACGAAGGTGAATCAACATAAATGGAGCAAGAAGATCTAACCCGGTTGGAGAAAACAAGAGACAATATGGAGAAGGTTTTCAACGAACAGAACCGATCAACTCATAACCCTCGGTCTCACGAACTAGGAGTGAGCATGATTCCAAGGTAAAACCTGAAACCTGAGAACCCGATCGATAGGAACCTATAGGTTTTAGGTTTTAAGGTATGCAGGGTAGGTTTCAGGTTCCAAAAATTGGGAAACTTGTTTCTATGGATAGGTTCCAAGTTTTAGGTCGTGGAACCTGGAACCTGAAATCTAAACAAGTTTTTTTGCATTTTTTCTTAGTCTATGTCTTCGTGTGATCCTGTGGTGTTTCATGGCATTAGATAGGGATTGTATAATATGAAATCACTAGTCTAAGCTTTATTTTATGACTTGTTAATGTTTCATATTTTTCGTGTGTCTAAATATAAGTTATAATCAGTAGATTATAGTAGCAAGTGGTGGTCATTAAAGGTAATCATTCACTGCGATTGTTTAATTAATAATACAGGTGGAACCTTAGTAGACCCTAGACCCGACCCTGAAATCTATGATAGGGTAAGTTCCTGGTTCCAAAAAATAATGAACCTATTTTCATGAGTAGGTTCTAGGTGGTAGACATGGCCACGGTTCAGGAACTGTCGGTTCCGGTTCATGGTCATGTATGAACCGGAACCGGTTCTGGGCCGGTTCCGATTTCGAGCCGGTTCCGGTTCCGATTCCTGCCGGTTCCGGACCTGGAGTGTCCACTGCTCAAGAACCGATTGTACTGGTGCATCGAATCTGGCGGCGGGATGGCGCGTCGGATCTTCTTCTTCTTCTTCTTCTGCTGCTGCTCCTCCCTCGCGCGCTCTCTTTCCCGCTCGCCGGATCGTCACATCGCCGGTAGAGCTGCCGTGGATTCTCTGATGATGGCCCGATTTCGATTCTCTCGCGCTCGCGCGCTCCTGAGTTTCGATGCTTCGTTGTGGTTTGGAGAGAGAGAGAGGGGGAGGGAGGGAGGGACTTCCGGTTATCTTTTTATTTATTTATTTATTTTTATTTATTTTTATTTTTGCCCGTTTCCAAGGCTGCCTGCAAAGGCTGCCCTGGCAATGGGCCGCAGCAGGGCCTGCAGACGTGCAGGCCGTGCTGCAGTTTTTTTTTTTAATTTTTAATTTTTTTTTTGGAATTGGGCCCGGAACCGGTTCCAAAATTGCTGGAACCGGAACCGGCCCGTAGGCCACGGGCCGGTTCCGATTCCGAACCGCGGGCCCGGTCAACGAGCCGGGCCCGGGTTTGACCGGGCCGGTTCTGGGCCGAAACCGGCCCGTGGCCATGACTACCAGGTGGAACTTGGAACCTGTACGGAACATGAAATCGCTCACCCCTAGTATCGATTAACACAATAACTTCTCATTTTAATTATATTTATTTGAACAGTAATGCCAGGAAAACTAATCTTTTGTATTTTCTTTGGTGAATGACAAGCTTGTTTAGTATTGTTGCGTTCATTTTCGTTTTGTTTAATTAAAAATGAAATAAATAAAAAAATAAGCTGTTAGATTCTGGACCTATTAGGTTTCAGGTTCTAACGGAAAGGTTTCAGGTTCCAAAAAATGAAGAACTTGTATCCGAGGGTAGGTTCCAGATTCCAGATAAGAACCTGTAAGAAATTTGGAATCGCTCACCTCTATCACGAACAACATATTGAAATTTGAGTCAAATCCGACAATGTTTGGCCTCTAAAATTAAGCTGAGAAATCAGCTCTCTTCTCCCTCGCTCTGTGTTCTTCTCTGTAAGAACGCTCTCTGTCACTATTCACTCTCTGTTCTCTCACACTCGATTTCTTCTCTCTCTCTTAGCTAAATGCACTCTCTTTCTCTTCTTTCCACGGTCTGCCACTTCTTTTCTTCTTTGCTTTTGTGTCTATGACTCTCTCTCTCTCTTATTTGTTTATTGTGCCGGCCGGGCCTCGAGGCGGACCCAGCCAATACTTTTTTTTTTTTTTCTTCATGCTCTAACTCTCAACTTATTATTTTTATCTTGTCTCCTTACATAGCGTGAGAGTCGAAATTCACGTTTGAAACTAAACGTCTTTACTTTGCATACATACATATGAAGTGGTTATCTAACTTGGGCTCCATTTTTTTCAGGACAATCTACAAATCTATAAGATCTCGATCCATTTGCTTCTTATCATCGCACCACACTTAACATGGCTTCTTCTTCTTCTTCACTCGGCCGCCTCCCACAAGACATCATCACAAACATCCTCTTGAGACTCGCTGCTTGATCTCTGCTGTGTCTGTAAGTCGTGGAGCTCTCTCATCCTCGACTGGTCGTTCGCCACCAAGCACCTCTGTCTCCGCCTCCTCCGCTCCGAACCTCACCAGAACCTCCACCTCCTCCACTTGCCTAGCATCCTGCACGACTGGCCCCTTCACGCCCATGACGCCGACTTCTGCTCCGTCCTATGCTCCGACCCTCTCTCCGGCTCCTTCACCCTCCGTGCAAAGTTCACCATCCCCTTCGACCGGCACGCGTTCTCCTTCGAAATCGTTGTCTCGGTCGATGGGCTGGTCTGCATGTCGCAGCTCCACAAGAGGTCCGAGCTCCGGACCATCCAGAGCATGTATTTGTGGAACCCGGCCATGAGGAAGTTGAGGGACCTGGGGAACAGGGACGTGGTGGAGCGCATTGCCAGTATGAGCAGGTATCGGATTCACGGGTTCGGGCGCGATCGCGAGGGCGGCAATTATCGGGTTGTGAGGATCACTTACGGCCGCACGATAAAGGGGGAGAAGGGGAGTTCGAAGGAGGCCGTCCAAGTCGAGGTTTGCACAGTGGAGGGGGATTCGTGGAGAATGTTGGAACCGCACGGCGTGTCTTGCTTCGCAGGTAGCATATGAATTCGGTTTCTTTCGATTTTAGTTCGGTTCGAATTATTAGTTTTCTGTCGGAATAAGTAGAATTCCGTTGTTTCACGCTCAGAAATGCTTTTTTTTTTTCTGTATTAATATGTTTCGATAAGTGTTAATAAATGTCAAATAAATTGTTGATATATAAAAAATGGCCGGTGCTTCTTTCTAGGTAACTTGTTTATGAAACGACCGATATATTTTTTTTAATAATTTACAAATTAGTAATTTTTGTACTTACTCAGCGACTTTTATTTACATTACTTACCGACGCTTTGGATTTACTAAATCTTAAATGCAATTACCAATCTAAATTAGAGCGCCTTTCCAACTTTTCTCAAATTAAATGACCAACTAGTTATGTTTTACTAATTTTCATTTAACTTACTTACCAATCTTTATTTTTTTTTAATTTACCAACATTTTTTGTTGAGTTTCCAACATTTATTTGTCTTGATTAGTAACCCCTTACATTTGTTAACTTTTCTCAGAGAATACCAATCTAATTTAGCGTAACTAACCGACATTCTTCCAATTAAATTTTCACCTAGTATTGGGTTATCAACTTTTATTTAGTTACTCGCCGACAATTGCTTGTCCATTTTTTTTAAAAAATTGTCAATTTTCTTATTGTTTACAAAATTATATGTGCATATCTTAGCAACCCTTGAATTTAAAATTTTTTTTTTTGTTCTTAAAATTACCTAACTCTTAAATGAAATTGCTAATTTAAATTTAAGAAATTCATCAATTTTCTCTAATTATGTTATCAACTAGTTTTGAGTTACTGAGTTGGTTGCCAATGTCTATTTCATTTTTTTTAAATGTACTAATTTTTCCATAAAATTACTTAATTAGGAATAAAGTTGACGAGTCACCGAATAAAGGTCATTAATATCATATAAGAGTTGATAAATTTGAGGTATTAGTAAGAGAGAGAAATAAACATTGGTACGCAATAACGAGAGTTGATAAATTAAAAAAAACAAATTAACATTAATAATTAACTCAGATGAGAATTGGTAACCCAAAACTATTCGATAATCTAATTGGAAAAAAGTTGGTAACTTAATGGAAAATTTGGTAAATTAAGAAAAAACAAATAAACATGGGTATGCAACTAAAGTGAGATTTAGTAAACCAAAACTAGTTGGTAAAAAACTAGTAGATCACTCAAATAAAGGTTGGCCAATCTATATAAGAGTTTTATATATTTAAGGTGTTTGTAAGAAAGGCAAATTAATGTTGGTACGCGGTACTGAAAGCTGGTAAATTAAATAATAATAATAAAAATTGGTAAGTAACTAAATTGAGAATAGGTAACATTGTATTTGGTGGTCTTGAGCCTCTCACACCCCAAAAGCTAACTCAAAGGGTGAGACAGTTTTCCCTCACACTTATAAATCCCTTCCACAATCAATGTGGGACAACCTCAATAATCTCCCCTTCACACATCGGCAGTCTGGATCGGAGCCACAACAACCTGTAACTCACCCGTGTGACTATTGGATTCATACTTGTTGGTAAGTTGAGCTATGATAGCAGCATTGGGTGATCTTGGGTCTTTCTCACCCCAAAAGCTAACTCAAAGAATGAAGTTTTCCCTCACATTTATAAACTGATTATCAAACCATTCCACTACCGATGTGGGATAACCTCAACATGGTATTTAATCGGAAAAAGTTGATAAGCCACTTAAATAAAGATTGGTTTATTCTTACAGAAGTTGATGAATTTAAGGTGTCGGTAAGAAAGAAAAATAAAAATTAGTATAAGACAAGAAAAATTACTAATTTGTAAACTGTCAAAAGAAGTTAATGATTTCATAGAAGAATTGATAATTTATTAACAAGTTACTTGGAAGTTAGGTGATCAGTAACTTTTTCTATCAATATATTTTTTACCGTTACTAACTCTTCAGAAATTCGTCCAACTAGTAATGCTAGGGATGTCTTTTTCCAAGATTTGTAAACTAAATGATGTGCCATAAGACATGACAAGTTTTAATTAGTTACTTAAAGAGTGAGGCAATGTGAATGAATTTATTTCATTCACTATAAGTGGCTTGCCAAATTTACAAAGTTCAAAGGCTTATTTTAGTACATATCGTATATCTCCTTCAATTAATTAAGGTCTAACCTCCATAGGTTTTGTAGGCGATGACTCTCGAGCTTGCATCAACAGAGCTGTTCATTGGCCCGCATCAGTGACAAAAGACGCTCCATATAGTTCCATATTGTTGTTCGAAGTTGCCTCCTAGAAGTTTGACGAGCTCCTGATGCCGGAAAACTACCTTGACAAGTTCAAACTTCATGAAGAGACGCAGGTTTCCATTGCAGCTTTGAAAGAATCCCTCGCCACCTTGGCCTATTGCCCGGGAGCAGGAAATGTTGGGAGTGAAATACACATTTGAGTGATGAAATAGTACGGTGTCACAGATTCTTGGACAAAACATTACACAGTAGAGATGCAGCAATGGATAGACATGGCCACGGTTCGGAACTGGCCGGTTCCGGTTCGTGGCCATGCATGAAAAAAAGCAGCAGGTTTTGCACGTCTGTAGGCAGTAGGCCCAACTACAGTTTTTTTTTTTGGGTCTGCGTGCCCTGCTGCAGTTTTTTTTTTTTGGAACCGGGCTCGGAACCGGCAGTTCCGGGCCGGTTCCGATTCCGAACCACGGGCCCGGTCAACGGGCCAGTCCCGGGTTTGACCCGAGCCGGTTCCGGGCCGAAACCGGCCCGTGGTCATGTCTAGTAATGGATTGAAAGGCTTTTAGGATTAACCGAAAATGGAGAGATCTTCATTCACAGGAGTGACCATAAGGTGATGGGCTGTGATCTGGAGAATGATATGCGGTTCAAAGACGTTTGTGTGACTGGATTTCCTGACCTGTTTGATGTGGTTGATTATACAGAGAGCTTGGTTTGGCCTGACAAAGGAAATGCATATAGCTAACATGAAGATACTTATTCTCTAACTCATAGTCATACGTAAGAACTGGGCATTTTGGTTCTTGTGGGTCTCTTATGTAAGTACTAACATGGATTGTTTTGATCCCGGGGTTGGTTTTTAGCAATTGTCTATGTCAGGTGACAAGAGATATCATGCGTAAATTTCCGCTGAATTGAAGTAGAATCTGAATTGAATTGCCTTTGACAAGTTATTCTTAGCCGAGAAAAAGTGAGATATATGAAAAGTTGAAAGCAGAACCTAAATTGAAGCAGAAACAATGAGGATGATGAGTTATTCTTAGCCAACCAAGTCTCACTAAAGCGTGGGCAATTATAAAGGCTCCGCTTGTTTTGCTAAAGATGAATGATTTGGAAAATATTTTTCTAAAATTGATCACTTTTATCGCTTGAAATAACTAGTTAATAGAAAATATTTTAATTATCGATAACATTTCATGTCCAGACATTTTCGTAGACAATGAAAATATTATCCGTTCATCTAATTTTGTAAGTTAATACAAGTGATCAATTTTAGAAAAATATTTTTCAAATCATTCATTTTCTGCAAAATAAACAGAATCTAAGTATACACAAAAGTACGACAGAAGAGAACCTAACCTAGACGATTGGAAGTCAATAAAAGTCCATCACTTCAAAACATAGAAAGTTAACCGAGTGAATGCCAAAGCAAAAGCAGAGAGCAAAAGCAAAAGGAGGGAATGAAGAAATCTTGAACTCAAATGTCCAGTTACCAAAATCCTTACCAAGAAGTTGGCTTAATTACGAAGAAAGAAGAGTCAGAATATGGACGACAATCTATCTGTACTTCTAAAGGCGGGGGCAATGGCAGCTGCAAAAGTACATCATGAACGTGGGCAAGAAGCAGAGGCCCAGTTGAAGAAGGTAAGCCTTAGTCAAAAGTTGAGGTCAACTACCTTGTAAAAGAAGAAAAAGGGATTGATGTTGAGATGGCAGTAATGGCCTCCAGATCTGGTGGAATTGCTCTGTAAACAGAGCTTTAGAATCATTCGTGTAAGTTGTGAGGTTTAGACCTCCACCAAAGTGCGTGGGGAGCATTAAAATAAACTCCATATCCCTAAGCTCCTCCACCATTACTCCTCCAACTACATTTGCAATAGGGACAATGACACAAATAGTCTATGAACTTTGGCCCAGTGTACAATGTGGTCCATAAACTTTTAATCTATTCAATATAATCCTAAACTTTAGCCTATTGTTCAATTTGGTCCCTAAAATTTTAATTTGTTTAATGTCGTTCATGAACTTTTAATACATGTTCAATTTAATCATGAACTATATGAAAATGTTCAATGTAGTCTTCCGTTAACTCAAGTTCAGGGACTACATTGAATATTTTTATATAGTTCAAGAATTACATTGAACACGTACCAAAAGTCTAGGAACCATATTGAACATACTAAAGTTTAAGGATTGTATTAAACAATTTAAAAATTTAAAGACCACATTGCACATTGAGCCAAAATTTATGGACCGTTTGTGTCATTAGCCATTTGCAATACCATTTCCATAAATCAATTAAAATATCTTTCATTGCCTAGATCCCTTGAAGTTATCCTACCTTGTTCCCTTGTCCATCTTCTATAAATCATATCCTACAAATATACACTTGCGCATCACTAACAAAAAAAAAAAAACTGTAAGTGGTATCAAAGCCAAGCTTCCGCGCAATCAAATTTTCAATAGAAAACAAAAGGAAGAAAAGAAGAATGTGCTCCTGTGGGGCAAATCACCCGGTGTTCTCTCTGTTTTCTTCTTCTCCTCCTCCTCCCAAAAGAAAGAAGTCCATTGTTGCACACCGCATCAGTGTAGTAGAATACACAGATTCATCCAACTAAGGTTTGAAACTTAGGAGCAATCTCAATTATCAATGTCGATTTTTGTGGGGGCTCGATACTTTTTGTATGGAGATTCTTAGTTGTGAATTGCTTTTGAAGTACCAAAATATTATCTCCCTGTGAGGAATCCAATAATTACTCAAGAAGATAATCTTTTGGGTGATACATAAATGATTTGACATTTGATAAAAAAAATGATTTGACGACATCAGTTACCCATTTGTAGGATCTTTCCACACTTGGGATAGGTCTAGATTGACTTTTACTTTTTGCTTTTTTTTTTATTTAAATCTTGCGACTCGTGCATTTTAACGAAATACTTGACACTTTTTGTATACATAATTTTTGGAAATTTCAATATTTATTTTAAGTGTTTCAAATAACTTTCACTTTTATTTAAGCTAAAACAAACAAGCTTTTGATCAATGGGCGAGTGGTCCAACGGGCCAGATTTGGCTTGAAAGGCAAGACGGTTGGACCTAGGCAAGCGGTTTCCCTTTTAGGCCCGAACCTCTCGAAAACAATGGAATTTATGTAAAAATTTTAGAGAAAAAGTCACAAAAAACCCCAAATTATGCCCCTCATAACACATTTATCCTGAATTTTTTTTGTGATATCAAAAACCCCAAACTATACTCACTGTGACACATTTACTTTAAACTTTTTTTGTGATATAAAAAATCCAAACTTGTACCTATGTAATACATTTACCTTTCGTCAATGTTTCATTAAATAATTTTTCAGCCAAAATAAATTATTTTTATTTTACTTAAGTCACATGAGCGCCATGTTAGCAATGTTATTTCGATGAGTGCTATGTCATTCCTTACCCCAGCTGCGAGCTTTGATTCTAGGAAATTCAGAGGCCATCTACTGAGTTCGGCTTCTTCAACAGGAGGTGGAGGTGGTTTCCAGCGTGCAAAGTAAGGAATGAGAGCATAGACGCCGCCAAAGAAAGACAGTACTGTGAAAGGCCAGACAGGAACACTGCCCTTCGAGCTGCATGCATAATCATGTTACAAGTCCATAAGCAATCAGATAAGTTAAAACAACAGTAACGAAGTTAGCTTTCTGTACCGGACATAACATTGTACGAACGGCATGCAGGTAAATATGGTTATTTGGCGAAGGAAGGAACAATTGCACGAAATGGGAAAACTCCCTTGTATCCCCAAAACCACGAAGGAATCCACCGAAAAAGGATCGGAACATGCTTTGCAAGAGTTAAATGTTGAACAGGGTTATTTTCATAGGAAGTAGGATTATTGAATATCATTGCAAATATCTCAGTTATACATTAAAACGAACAAATCTTTAGCAGGAAGTGTCGAAAATCAAGCTAAATGAACGAAAGGTTAACTTCGGCCTGTTGGAAGCAGCAGCATGCTATAAACCAAAGGCTACAGACCCATAATGTTCCACAAGGACACAAGCACTCCATTCGTCCTGAAACCATCATCTCCTTTCAAATTCAACAGCTTTTGCAGAAAATACATGTCCCTCGACTGTAGATGTAGAAGCAAAAAGCATCACAAATCTATCAGAATATCAGGACTGACTACTTCAAAGACTTGACAGAACCGATGTAATCTATGCCAGAGCAAAATCATTATCCATTTCATAAGCATATCTTTTGTTTAACCACACAACATTCATCATCACCATTTGGGTCCACTAGAACTACTCTATTGAGCAGCACAACAAAAAAATCCTCCACTCATTTTTTTCTCCAGAAAATTCAGACCTGTGGATTAATAATCTTCAAAGACTTGACAGAGCTGTGCCACAAGTATCTAAAATCATCATTCATGTCAACAAGCACATCTAATGTCCAAGCATGTGAATTCTTGGTCATTTGGGTCCAACAGCGTAACCAAAAGCCAAATTCTTGAACTTCATTTGTCAAGGAATGAATATACAGAATCATCAGGCTGGTACGTGTAATTACTGGAGTCTGGTTGGAAGCTAGATTGAAGACATAATACATAATCCCTCCCCAGAGCAGAAACAGCAAGACCGACGTCGTCCAGTCCCTTCCTCCCTCCCCATCACTCCGCAACGGGCTCTCCTCCTTCAGAACTGCATCATCCGGCTTCTCGTTCTTGGTGAAGCTGCGACAAACTTGAAGGCTTCTGGGCTTACTGGACATCGAAATGGAGGTGTTGCCATCGTAATGCCTGCGGACGATGCCGCAAGCAAAAGGAGAGACCTTTGAGGGAAGCGAAGGGAACGGGATTCTGGGTTTTGGGATTTGAGCGCGGAGGAGCGAGTGCTCGAGAGGTGGGACGCGAGCGGAGTTGGTGCGGACGATGAGATTGGCACTGGGTAACATGTTTCAAGCGATGAAGAAGAAGAAGAAGGAGAGTGTTTCGTAGCCTGATGAGGCACCTCTGACTTTAATTCCTTTTCTTTCAATTTTTTGACTTTCCTTCTCTTTAGTTTGTATTTTAATAATCAAATCTAAACGATTATTAGCATGTTTGTTTATGTTTTAGCAGTAGAAATAAGCAATATTTAACCAATGGAATCTCACAAGTCTAGCATGTGTTCTGCCTCATTCGATTTTGATGCGGATTTTAGTCCATCCTCCCACTTTTCATGTTGTGTGGACGATGATTTGCTGGCAGCGATAGTGGTTTTCTCAATGGTAAAGAAGCTTACGAATGAATTTGACGGAAAATTAATTGCCTACCGATAAACTTTGGAGTTCAGTGTGCAAATGGGATCATAAGCTTCCAATGTCTAGTTTTTCATCAATGCCTCGAATGATTTTTTACGTAAAATTACAGCACATCCTTTTGTACTTCTTATCCATAATCCTCCAAGACAATTTCATATGTGCTTAGGGATTGTAAGTATGCGAAAAGCTTGTTTGGCAAAACCCATGACACGCACAAGTGGCTGTTGGTAAACCAATTGGCTTCAAAAAGTCCTGACTAGCCACAAGCTTTTGATGTGGCTTGTTGGCATATTTGGAATTGGAGGAACAAAATATTATTTCAAGTAGATTTTTTTTTCCTAGAAGCACTTGTGAGTCTGATTTTGGGAAATTCTTAGGGTATTCGTTTAGCTCGCACAATAGACGAAAAGAGATAAGTTTGTAGGTCATTTCGTCCCTCCTTTTAGTTGGATCAAGCTCAATTTCGATGGGGCCTTTAAAGACAACTCGGGTCCAATTTCAATAGGTGGGTTTCTTCATAATGAATCAGACAATTGGCTTGTTGGGTTTGCGTAAACCGTGGAAATATGCTCCTCGCTCAAAGTAGAATTTTATGTTTTTTTGGGTCTCAAAAATGGCCATCTCTTTGGGCATTTCCAAAATTATTGTGAAGGTGGACCTGCAAGCGACATTTCCCTTCTCAGAAATTAACTCATTCTCTCAATTTTGGCGATATTCTCATTTCTCATATTAGGAAATTGTTAGAGAATTTTCAACATGTCAAAACTGTGCATACTTCCAAGAATAATACTTATATGTAGATTGGTTAGCAAATTGAATTCTTGGGCTTTAGATAGGCCACCGAGAGGTTTACTTTCTTTATTGATAAGGGACGTGACTTGATCAGGTTTTGTTAGAAAAATAATCGTGTAACACTAGGCATTGCCCATTTTATGACCAGAAAAGCAATGTCTTATATTTCCATCAATAATAAAAATACTATTCAATTTTTTTTATGAAAAAGACTGTGTGTGAAAATTTGTATATTACGAAAATTTCATGCATCTCATTGTAAGAAAAAGTCAATGCATTCATCACAAGATTTGGCATTGATGAAAACAAAAAAAGTAAACCTACACAGGCTACCAGAATCACTCTCATTCTAAGCGCTAGTCACCCTTCCCGTCCTTTTTCACTTATTAAAAAAGAAGTCTAATCGAACTCTAATATCTTGATGTTATTATCATCGTAAAGTTGATGATCAGAGGTTGTGCTCCTTCCTGGATGGATCGAACACCGGTGCTATCTCCGGTGTGTGTGATGATCGGAGCATGTGCTCAATCGGTGAATGTCCGGCCAACGTTTCAGGCGGAAATCCTAGGAGTCCTCGAAGGCCTTCGTTTTGCTTCTTCACGTTATGAACTAAAAGTGGAGTCTTTGAGTCTGAGAATTTGTCCTTGGTTCAGACTCTACTTGCTGCAGATCAAACTGCATGGGATGAACCAGCTGCTTATCAAGGAATGCTTAAATTTGCTTATCAAAATGCTCGATCTTCAATTGGCCCCCATTGCTCTTTAGACCAAAATAGAGTAGCGGATTGGGTCGTCAAAGCCCACTTCCGCAAAACTCTCCCTCGAGCTGGGTTTCAACCGCCCCTCTACGTCTGTCTTACGGACTTATTACGTTCTGAAGCTCAAATGATGTTCTCATCTAGATTATCTCTTTGAAATGAGATGAGTTTAGCCAAACCAAAAAAAAAGAGGGTTAATACCACGAAAAACCCCAGACCGGTACACCTATGATAATTTTACGTCGAACTAATTTTTTGACTACAAAAAATCTCAAACTGATACACCTGTGATAAATTTACCCCGAACAAATTTTTTTACTACGAAAAATCCCAAACTGGTACACTGTGACAATTTTACCATGAACTAATTTTTTGATCACCAAAAACCCCAAACTTGTACATCTGTGATAAATTTTCCTCAAACTAATTTTTTGACAATAAAAAATCCCAAACTGGTACACTTGTGACAAATTTACCGTCTGTTAAATTGGATTAATATCATGAAAAACTACAAATTCGTAAACTTGTGACAAACAGAGGGGTAAAATCCCAACTGGTATACCCGTCAACTACCACGTGTCATCAAACTTAGCAATTTAACAGTAAAATTTAACAGAAACTAACATAGGGTAAATTTATCACATGTGTACCTGTTCAGAGATTTTGGTGGTCAAAAAATTTGTTCGGGGTAAAATTGTCACAGGTGTACCAGTTTATGGTTTTTCATGGTCAAAAAATTAGTTTTGGGTAAAATTGTCACAGGTGTACCAATTTAAGGTTTTTTGTGGTAAAAAAAATTAATTTAAGGTAAAACTTTCACAGATGTACCGGTTTGGGGTTTTTCATGATATTAACCCAAAAAAAGAAGAAGAAGTTCCAGTGGCATGACAGGCGTGCACATAAATTAGGATGAGGAAACATATGCAAATCATGTCGCACCATGTGTAGTGAGTTTAGCCATAGAGGATAGTGTCCTGATTTAACATAAACTCGAGAGATACGTAAATTAAGTAGAGAGATACATGAATCCAAGAGATACATGAACTGAAGAGACGTCTCGTTTTTGCTCATTCGTTGATCCATTAACCCGCCATAATTACAACGGAGGTGACATCTTCGAATCATGTCACCACATGTGTAGTGAGTTAGCCATAGAGGACATTGTCGTGGAAGACATGTACTAATTAATCTCTTGAATGATCTTAGCATAAATTAATTTGGCAAATCAATAGTGGTTTTTAATAATTCTTGCGAATTTGACAAGTTACTATTAGTTAATTAGTCCTTTAAGACATGGTAACGTTTTGACCGAAGCCTCAGCTTCCCGCTATATCAAAAAATGCTCATAAATGTTTCCATGTTAGTGTATAAACATTCCATATATGTCACCAGCCGTTTATTTTAAGAAAGAATCAAGGATCATAATCAACTACATCCCCGGCGGTAAATCAGATTGACTAGAAATTTGACTGTGATTAGCGATCAGTTAACTTTCGGTAGTGGAATCCTTAAATCAGCTGTCTTAATTTTTCATCACTCCCATGCATGCAAATTGCAATCTGTAAGGTAAGGAGGGATGGATTGCTATCATTGAGGGAGAGATCGCCCTTTATTCTCCAACTTATTACCAATTCAGAACGTCCCTCGTTTTGTATATAAATACATGCAAAATCCCTTCTCCATGTCATTACAATCCTCTCGGTTCATAGTCTTGTCAAACACCAATGTCTAGCAAGAACTTTTTGTCATGGCACTACCTGATCTCTCTGGTACTGCTGCTTTGGACCTCCGAGGTTGTTGCTATCGCTCCCGGCAACACGACGTATCCGGCGCTGTTCGCGTTCGGGGACTCAATCCTCGACACGGGCAATAATAATAACCTCAGGACGCTGAGCAAGTGCAATTACCCCCCTTACGGCAGGGATTTTCCCGGAGCGATACCCACTGGCCGATTCGGCGATGGGAAAGTCCTCTCGGACGTGATAAGTAAAGTTCCTTTTTTCTTTTTCGCTACAATGGAATTAGATGCAACCCAATTCGACATTGTACTTCCTTTTAATAATGAACACATTGAACTATAGTTCAATGCATGAGACATAATGCTGATTGAAACTCGAACCTGCACAAAATTCTTAAACAGCGGAAGGGCTAGGAATCAAAGAGCTATTACCAGCATATTTGGATCCTAATCTACAGGACAAGGATCTTCCGACAGGCGTTTGCTTTGCTTCGGGCGGCTCAGGCTTAGATCCGCTAACCGCTGGGTCACAGGTCATTCCTCGTCCTTCAATTCTTTGAAATATACGCGCACTCCAAACACTCACTCGAAAATAGTTGATCATGTGTCTTTCAATGCACAGGGCGTATTGACCATGGGAGATCAACTGAAGCGCTTCAACGAGTACGTGGGGAAGCTGAATGCGGTTGCCGGAGCTGAAAATGCCACCGCCATACTCAACAGCAGCCTTTATCTGATGTCTGCAGGCAACAACGACATTGCCTACACCTATTTATCCGCCCGCCTTAGTCCTATGCCCTTCCCTGCGTACGCCGATTTCTTGGTTAACTCCACTTCAACTTTCATCAGGGTAAATTCTTTTAGCCATGGATGTGCTTTATTTGAGTTGGCATGCGTCCTTGTATGTTTATCAACAGATCCATAGCATCCTCCCATCTTTTGTTCTTCTTCTTTCTTTCTGTACATTGTTTGCAGGACTTATATGCACTTGGTGGGCGTAAATTTGCGCTCCTGGGCGCTTTACCATTGGGATGCTTGCCATCAGGTAGAGCTTCGGCAGGGAGCATTCTGTGCTCGGTGTTGGCCAACGAATATGCACAATTGTTCAACACTAAACTCTCCTCCATGTCGAGTTCGCTCAGCAGTGAACTTGCGGATTCCCGGATAGTCTACATCGACGTCTATGAGCCTCTCCTCAATCTGATACAAAACCCTAATCAATTTGGTAATCAATTAAGCTCAAGTTCCATCCCCATTCAGCACCATGCACTCCCTCAATGCATGATGAGCATGCATTTCCTTTTCGTTGCAGTCTTAAAAGTTCGCATTGCAAACTTACACTGCATAAGTGGGCATGTCAATTTTTCAGGTTTTCGAGTTGCTAACATAGGATGCTGTCGCGTGCAAACGTTGCTATGCGATCCGCTGAATCCAATCACTTGTCTGGACATACCGGATTATGTTTTCTGGGACGCCGCTCATCCTTCTGAGAAAGCCTACCGCACTCTCGCTCCCGCTATTGTCCAGGCGTGTTCAAACATGTAGTGCGGCAACTCCACGAGCTGATTATTGTGATATTGTGTGAAGTCGCACCCTTCATGTCTACCATACAAAGAATCATTTGTCTCTTGGTTTAGTGCTGGTGATAGTACTTGATGGATGTTTTGCGAGTCATAGCCATCTGAATCATATACGTGCGTTAGGAGTATAACATTGCGCGTGAAGTTATTTTCAAAAATGCTGTCTTAGTTTGTTATGCATTATACAATAAAGCTGGCCATTATCTCTCATTTCCGACCCGACCTGTTTACGGTCACGGCGGGACATGTTTAATTAAATAGGTTTGCATGTTGCTTGCGTCCACACAATTCGAGGCAACGTATTTTTATTCATCTGTTCACGGATTTGGACCACTCATCGGCGATGACATTGGCAGCCGGCGCCGATGAGCGGCGAGTGAGAGGCTAAAGCGGCTGAAGGAGAAAGAAAGAGTCCAAGCTGTTTGTTTTCATATTGGGCGAAAGATGAATAGATAAGGCAAATCAAACGGCTTGAAAAACAGGGACTAGTATATATACTTTGAAAGTCTGCACTTGTGTGCTTTCTTTAAGAACCAAAGCCGTGTTTGGTCGTTTGGATTTCTAGCTAGAAAATTTAATTAGAATATGACTAGATAGAATAGGATACCGGGAATTTTACTGCAGTTGATCCAATGTTTGGTGAATCACGGTGATGAAGTCGGACATTTTTATATCCTAACAACTACAAATCAGTATAGAATAAATCCGAAAATGCACAAAAGGAAATGGTAAGAATCTCTCATGTTTCACAGCTAAAGGAACTGCACATTCACAAACATAAACAACATCCGGCAATCAATCCAATTTGATTGATTTAAACCTTAAAACTTCTAGAGCCACTCGTTTGACCATGACAAGAAATGTAAAACGTCGATGGATCAGCCAGCAAATATCAAATTTAGTAAGAGAGAGAAATTATAATCATTCACCTTTACAGTTCATAAAAGTATAGTCCTTTAACTCTTTTGGAGTTACAAAGAAGAATGAACTTCTATTCTCTTGCCGTTTTGTGCAGCTTTGATGTGAACAGAAGAGTTACAGAGGAGTCGTGAAGCTTTAACGTGAACCAGAGCCAAGAGGAAGAAGGAAGGGACGGGGTTTGTTTTAGAAATCTCCTCACTTTTATTAAATCTAGGTTCTTCTACTTCATTTTTATTTACTTATTTGTTTATTACTTTCCCTCTCTTTTTTTTTTATTTCTTTTTTCACTCCCTTCCATCGTTTCTTAATTAACATTTTATAAAATAATAAGTTGTACTAACACACCTAAAATATTTAAGAAACATAAATACTAAATATATATAGAATAGCAAGAAAATCAAATATATAAATAAAAATATTAATAAATAAGAAATCTTATCTACCTTTATCTCATCTCTCACCTGGGATTTTTTATCCGATTTATATTATTTTGTATTCAGCCTTATCTTACATTGTATACCGGTTACCAAATATAGTCTAAGAGGTTCACGGTGTGCTTTCCAAAGTTCGGCACCGGCATTTGGTGTAGTGGCTAGGGAGCTCTTAGTCGGCATCTTTTTCATTAGAAAGCGAACCAATTGGAACTCCGTTTGGCAAATCCGTGTTATTCGCTTATATTGAAACAACGCAAATTGTCGTCCCCATCATAGATTTGATAGATCTAATGTCCGCGAAAACTGCCTGATTCGAGGTCCACGACCTCGGATTTAGAATGGAGAGAGAGAGAGAGATGTAAATTATTATTTATTCATATGGGCGCTGTCAATAACAAACTCTATAAACGGGTCAAATTTTGGATTTGGTGACTGATGGGGTTTTGATGTTCTTACTCGGGCCCTTTTGCCCTTTAGATGTCATTTGTTCAACCCTTGGGCATGACGTGGCGTCCAACTCATCAGGATGTGGTATCCAAGTCAGCAAGTCAAGGCTGCAAACTTGCTTAGCAAGTTATAGTATCCCCAATTTTTGTAATGTCATTATGAGCTTTGCTAGTAAAATTTTTTCAGTATCTCTATGGCTTTGCTTCACTTTGAAGAAATGTCACCCCAAACGTTGCCTTTTTCTTCTCCTTTTCTTTGGGTTAGGATCACCTGTGGAAGAGTGACAGAGTCACCGCTACCAAGGATTTCCACTATCGCTCTTAAAAATACACCAATCTCTACCTTACATAAAGTAGCCATAGTACGATTATCTATTCATTAGAGTATTCCGCAGTCTTTGTAAGAGGAGGAAGGGCTAAGGATTTGCCAAATGTGAGCTATCACATTGTTCGAAAAACCCTAGATACGGAGAAAATTTTAGATAGCAAGTACCAAGTTCCGGTGCGACTTCATAAAAAGCAATCAAAGATAAGATCGAAGAAAATGAAACGCACATAGTCGTCATTATAGCGCTTCCTTATGATCAAAGAAAACGTTCGGAAAACCTACTATGAAACTACCGGGGATGGGCAAAAAGCTACACCTGTGCCCCATTTATCCAAATTAATTTCCGTATCACAAAAAACCTCCCTTAATTGGTACACTCATGCCACATTTTTCTCAAATCAATTTTCATGCCAAAGAAAATCTTAAATCTGCACTCCATACCACATTTACCCTAAACTGGTTTTCGTGTTACAAAGAATCTCAAAGTTTGGGGTAAATATGATACGGATATACCGGTTTGAGATTTTTTTGTAATAAGAAAATTATTTTGAAATAAATGTGATACGAGTGTACCAATTTATGATTAGCCCTTTTCTTTTTCTAAAAGCACAAGAGCGAACCTAGTTACCACTCTTCACGTAGTCCCAAATTATACAGAAAGGCAAGGTTGGTGCTATTTCCACAACCCGTGTATCCCAAGGTGCAACATTTTTGGTCATCCTAACTCCAGAGGTGGTACTGCAGCTTCAAATCACGTAAGTTCAAGGTAAAACACAATTGCAAAAAGAGAAAGAAAAAAACAGTAACCTGTAGAAATTCATGTACAAATGTATGAAATTTGTATCGAGTTTTTCAACCAATTATTATATAGCATCTCCAAATTTCATAAAACTTCTTATTAAGTTAACGCAGGGCTCATTAGACAGTTATGTACTTTTTGGAGCACATCAAAATACAGTTATACCGTACAAAACAGTTGTAGCACAACATCGGAAACGCCAAATTAACTTTACTTACATACGTAGTTATGTAGTGGTCACCTGACATGGACTCCATTTTTCAGGACATAGTCGAGAGATGATCTCAAGGTATAAGTACTTCGATCCATTCGCTTCTCATGACCGCTCAACACCGGCGGCTCAGGTGAGGGCGATCCTCCCCAGACATGGCTTCTTCTTCTTCTTCATCACTCGACCGCCTCCCACAAGACATCGTCACAGACGTACTCTTGAGGCTACCCGCCGAAACACTCCTTGACCTCCGCCGCGTCTGTAAGTCGTGGAGCTCTCTCGTCCTCGCCCCATCCGTCGCCGCCAAGCACCTCCGTCTCCACCGCCTCCTCCGCTCCAAACGACTGGCCCGTCCCTGCCCACGACACAGACTTCTGCTCTGTCCTATGCTCGGACCCTGTCTCGGGCTCCTACACCCTCCGCGCAAAGCTCGCCATCCCCTTCGATGAGCACGCACTCTCCTTCGAGGTCATAGGGTCAGTCGATGGGCTCGTCTGCGTGTCGATGCTCCACAAGAGGTCCGAGCTCTGGACCATCCAGAGCATGTATTTGTGGAACCCGGCCATGAGGAAGCTGAGGGACCTGGGGAACAGGGCCGAGCGCGTTGCCGGCATGAGCAGGTACCAGATTCACGGGTTCGGGCGGGACCGCGGGGGCCACATTTATCGGGTCGTGAGGATCACTTACGGCTGCACGAGAAAGGGGGAGAAGGAGAGTTCGATGGAGGCCGTCCAAGTCGAGGTTTGCACAGTGGGGAGGGATTCGTGGAGAATGTTGGAACCGCACGGCGTGTCTTGCTTCGCAGGTAGCATATGAATTCGGTTTCTTTCAATTTAGTTCGGTTCGAATTATTAGTTTTCTTTCGGAATATAAGTAGAATTCAGTTGTTTCATGCTCAAAAATACATATTTGTTTTTTTTTCTATATCAGTATATTTCAATAAGTGTTGATAAATGTCAAATACCCGTGCTTCTTACTAGGTAACTTGTATATGAAATGATCAATTTGTCTCGCAAATTACTATTTTTTGTTTTTATTTTACTAGTTTGGGATTTTTGATGGCTAAAAAATTCGTTTGAAGTAAATTTGTCATATGTATATCGGTTTGGAGTGTTTGGTAGTATTAACCCATATTTTTTTTATATTTACCGACTTTTATTGAGTTTCTAACGTACATTTATCTTGATTAACAACCCCTTACATTATTAACTTTTCTTAGAGAATACCAACCGAATTTATCATAACTAACCAACATTCTTCCTATTAAATTTTCACCATATTATTAGGTTATCAGCTTTTATTTGAGTTACTCAACGATATTTTTTTGTCTATTTTTTTTTAAATTGTCAACCTTTCTTATTGTTTACAAACTTTTATTTTCATTTCTTAGCAAGCCTTGAATTTAACAATATAGTTTTTCTTTTGTTGGAAAAATGAGAGTTACTAATCCAAAACTATTCGGTAGTTTAACTGGAAAAAAGTTGGTAACTTAATGGAAAATTTGGTAAATTAAGAAAAACAAATAAACATGGCTAAGCAACTTAAATAAGACTTAGTAAACCAAAGCTAGTTGGCAAAAAACTTATAGATCACTCACACAGAGGGTGACCGATTTATATAATAATTTAAGGTGTTTCTAAAAGAGATAAATAAACGTTGGCACATGATAACGAAAACTGGTAAATAAGAAAAAACAATAAATATTAGTAGGTAACTGACATAAGAGTTGATAATCTAAAACTAGTCGGTAATTTAATCGGGAAAAAGTTGATAAGTCACTAAATAAAGATTCGTTTATTCTTATGGCAGAGGGCAAATTTAAGGCGTCCGAAAAAGATACAAATAAAAGTTAGTAAAAGATAAGAAAGTTGCTAATCTGTAAACGGTTCAAAGGAGTTAATGATTTCATTGAAGTGTCGGTAATTTATTAACAAGTTATCAGGAAGTCAAGTGATTGGCACCTTTTTTATCAATATTTTTTTGAGCTAGAAAATGTTTGTTCTTTCTTTAACGAAATGGTCAAATCATCCTCCTATTAATGCCAGGGAAATTTATTTTTTTTCCAAGTTTTGTAAACTAAATGACGTGCCATCACGCATGACATGTTTTGATTAGTTACTTAAAGAGTGAGGCAATGTGAATTCATTTCAATCACTATTCATTGCTTGCCACATTTACAAAATTGAAAGGCTTATTCTTGTACATATTGTATTTATCTTACAATTAATTAGGGCCTAACCTCCATAAATTTGCAGGCGATGACTCTTGAGCTTGCATCAACGGTGTTGTTCATTGGCCCGCATCCGTGACAGAAGACGCTTCGTACAGTTCCATATTGTCGTTCGAAGTCGCCTCCCAGATGTTTGACAAGCTCCCGATGCCGGAAAACTACCTCGACAACTTCAAACTTCACGAAGAGACGCAAGTTTCCATCGCAGCTTTGAAAGAATCCCTCGCCACCTTGGTCTACTGCCCGGGAGCAGGAAACATCGGGAGCGAAATACACGTTTGGGTGATGAAACGGTATGGTTTCGCGGATTCTTGGACAAAACAGTACACTGCAGTGATGCAGCAGAGGATTGAGAGGGTCTTAGGATCGACCAGGAACGGAGAGATCTTGATTCATAGGAGTGACCATAAGGTGATGTGCTATGATCCGGAGAATGATATGCGGTTCAAAGACATCGGCGTGACTAGATTCCCTGACCAGTTCGATGTGGTTGATTATTCAGAGAGCTTGGTTTGGCCTGACGAAGGAAATGCAGATAGCTAACATGAAGATACTTATTTCTCTTCATACATAAGAAGAGGGCATTTCAGGTTCTTGTGGGTCTCTTATGTAAGGACTAACATGGATTGTTTTGATTCCAGGATTGGTTTTCATCGGTTGTCCAGGTGAGGTGACAAGAGATTTCATGCATAAATTTCTCATGAATTGAAGTAGAATCTGACTCGCCTTGCCTTGCATTTGATGGTCAAATGGAGTGACTGCTGCATCTTCTTAGCCGAGAAACAGTGAGATGTATAAGAATTGAAAGCTTGTCGCGACCTAAAATTTCTCAGACTAATGGATTATTAAGACTAAGCCTAACTCGGGCCCTCCCAAGCTCTATCAATTCGCAACTTAGGATTTAAGCTTTTAACATGCAAAAGTTTTCATGCTTGGAGTCGCTACTAATCTATTTGTGGTAGGTCGATTAGAAACCTAAATAAAATATAGGGAGATATGTTTTATTCCTACGAACCAGAGATTCTAAGCTCGGGGACTTGGTTACGCTAGATCTAGTTTAACGCCCTTTCGGTACCTTTTCTTTTCAAAAATGTTTATGTAGGCAGTCTGGATCCATTTTATTACCTAATCACTAACATGTGAGGTGTTCATGCGAGTGCGCAAATCACCAATTTAACACCCAAGAAAGCAATAAATAAATTGCAAGATTAGGAGAATAACGTACCTTAATGCAACGCAAGCATCTGCATTATTAGTAGAAAATCACACAGACAATCCTAATATGATTTCTAATTAACAAAGCAAGGCACTCAAGATATTCTTTAGGGTTTACGCTTTATTAAAATGCAAACTAACCTATATGCAATGACGTGCAAAAAAATGACATGCGATTAATGCAACTTAGTATGCGAACTATATGTCATGCGTCGACGTGACCTAATTCTAATGACGGACAAATTATTTATTTTTGTATTTTTCCAATAAAATTCGGAATTAAAAAATAACCTAAATAATCTATTAGGATTAGAATAACACCTAATTTAAACTAGGAAATAAATTATCTCAAGTTCTAATTTAAATTAAATAATCATCCTATCTTCTAGATACATTTAGGGTTCCCTAAACATGCAAAACTTCTAATTTAAATCATAACTAACATATTTTTGGATTTTCTTTATTAAAAAAAATCAAACAAAGATAACAACAGCATTCAAACAATCCACGCAATCCGCAAGATTCTTCTTATCAAATTTGAATTAGGAAAAGAAATCAAATTAACAGTCATATCTATAGAGTTATAGATATTGACGGAAAACTGATTATTCGAATTTAGAAAGCGAATAAAATCTATTATCGTATCCAAGTGATTATGGATAAGATAACGATTTTCCATATCGCCGCGTATCGTACCTTATGGATAAGGTCGGATAGTCGTCCAGATATGTTGCCAAATTAGGAATAATTCCTAATTTTTGGTATCTTAGAATATTGCGGATATCACAAATATTATCCTAAGGTATCTAGCAATCCACACAATATTCACGGAATATTCAAAATATTCAAACTAGGAATCTAAATATTTTGAAAATAGGTCGGATAGAGATCTTAACCTGATTTGCAGATTATTTTCCAAATTTGAATCACCGGCCGATTGGGATCGCGGAATGGGACGGTGGGTGACGGACGTGGCGGCGGCGGCAATGCGGTGCTTCACGGTGTCTCGCGGCCGATGGTGGTGCTTCTTTATGAGCTCAGCCAAGGAGGGACCGAGGGTGGTTTCTTGGCGTAGACTTGCGGTGTGGAGCTCTCAACCCGACTGATGGGAGCTGCTTCACGGTGGGGCCGAATTGATGAAGAACAAGCGAACGGTAGTTCTGTCGTAGGGAAATCTAGAGAGCGACTCAATTTGCCATTTGAGTAAGACCACTTGGCATGCCGAGACGATCACTAAAGAACCAGCCAAGTGGAGCAAAGCGACGATAGGAATAGCACGGGATTGATGTGGTGCAAAGCAGAGGGCAGCCAGGTCAACAAGGAGCTTCAGAACACTCGTGGGATGTTGGGCACGTTGCAGGGAGCAGAGAGAATTTGACTTTGAGGACTTCGTTGCGATGGGATGTTCAAACTCCAAGTGTAAGTCTCCTCCTTCACGTATTTTCTTCCTTTCACGTGCAGAACTCCCTTCGAGAACCTTTTCTATTAACCCAAAAAAAGAAGAAGAAGTTCCAGTGGCATGACAGGCGTGCACATAAATTAGGGAAAATTTCATTTTGGTATCTAAAGTGGGGGTCTTTTCTCAATTTGGTACCCAAAGTGCCCATTCAGTCTCAATTTGGTACCTGGGTTCGCCGGCCGGTCAAATGCTCACCGGCTGGCAAGAAATTTACTGTTCCGGCTACCAGAACAGTATTTTTTTTTCTTTTTTCCTTTTTCTATTTTTTTTCTTTTCCTTTTCCTTTTTTTCCTCTCTTCCCTCCGCCGGCCACCGTGGCCGGCGGAGGTCGCCGGTGTCGGGCGAGGGCCGCCCTCACCTGGGCGAGCGAGGGCCGACCCTTGCCGGATCTAGCGAGGGTCGCCCTCGCCTGCGTCGGGGGAGGGCCGACCCTTGCCGGATCTTCTTCCTCCGTTCCAAACCCTCGGAAGGAAACCGTTGTGCAGAAGGAGAAGTCATCGTTCCGATGCGGACATGGACTCGTACTTCGAACTTGAGGGGACCTCCTTACTACTCGGCGAAGATCGATGCGATGAAGGCCAGCGAGTCCAACACCATCTTCATCGACTTCTCCCTCGCCCTCGCCCGACGCAGCGGGCGGGCGACCCTCGCCCGGCCCGGGCGAGGGCCGCCCTCACCGGCGTCCGGCGAGGCGACCTCGCCCTCGCGGATCCGGCGAGGGCAACCCTCGCCCTCGCCGGATCTCGCGGCGAGGGTCGGCCTCGCTCGCCCAAAGCGGGCGGCCCTCGCCCGACGCAGCGAGTGGCGACCCTTGCCAGCCCAGGCGAGGACCGCCCTCGCCCGACACAAGCGAGGGCGACCCTCGCAAGATCCGGCAAGGGCAACCCTCGCCCTCGCCGGATCTGGCAAGGGTTGGCCCTCGCCTGGGCGGGCGAGAGCTGCCCTCGCCCGACGCCGGCCACGGCTATGGCCGGCGGAGGGAAGAGAGGAAAAAAAAAAAGAAAAGGAAAAGGAAAAGGAAAAGAAAAAAAACAGAAAAAGGAAAAAAGAAAAAAAACTTAAAAAGTAAAAAAAAATACTGTTCCGGTAGCCGGAACAGTAAATTTCTTGCCGGCCAGTAAGCATTTGACTGGCCGGCGAACTCAGGTACCAAATTGAGACTGAATGAGCACTTTGGGTACCAAATTGAGACTGAATGGGCACTTTGGATACTAATTTGAGACTATGTCCACTTTGGGTACCAAAATGAAATTTTCCCAATAAATTAGGACGAGGCAACATATGCAAATCATGTTGCACCATGTGTAGTGAGTTTACCCATAGAGGATAGTGTCCTGATTTAACATAAACTCGAGAGATACGTAAATTAAGTAGAGAGATACATGAATCCAAGAGATACATGAACTGAAGAGACGTCTCGTTTTTGCTCATTCGTTGATCCATTAACCTGCCATAATTGCAATAGAGGCGACATCTGCGAATCATGTCACACCATGTGTAGTGAGTTAGCCATAGAGGACATTGTCGTGGCAGACATGTACTAATTAATCTCTTGAATGATCTTAGCATAAATTAATTTGGCAAATCAATAGTAGATTTTAATAATTCTTGCTAATTTGACAAGTTACTATTAGTTAATTAGTCCTTTAAGACATGGTAACGTTTTGACCGAAGCCTCAGCTTCCCGCTATATCAAAAAATGCTCATAAAGGTGTCCATGTTAGTGTATAAGGTAGCGCGTGATAACCATTCTGGTTCTGTCCAGAACTGGTTTTTTGTTCCCAGAAATAGCTTTGGACCACAAACCCGTTTGGTAACGCAATTCCATTTTTCTATTTCTAGAACAACTTTTTGTTCCAGAACCGATTCTGAACCAGAAATCAGAACAAAAAAAAAGTAAGTTTTCTATTTCTAGACCAAAAATGAGAATCATTTCTGAGAGAACTCTTTCTTCAAAACACATGTTCATCTGAAAGTCACGATCTTTGAGGTGGGAAAAAAAAGCAAAAAATAAAAAATTTCAAAACTTCACCGAATGGTTTAGAATACCTATGGCCACCCACTTTGAGCGAAATTTAATTTTTTTTAGATGCCAAAAAAATAAAAAATAATCAAAAAATCAAAAATTTCAAAACTTCACATAATGGCTTAGAATACTTGTGGCCATCCACTTTGAGCGAAATTTAAATATTTTTAGGTGTCGATAAAAATATAAAAATAAAAAATTTCAAAACTTCGCAGTATGGCTTAGAATACCTGTGGCCACCCACTTTGAGCGAAATTTAATTTTTTTTAGATGCCAAAAAATATAAAAATAAGCAAAAAAGCAAAAATTTCAAAACTTCACAGAATGGCTTAAAATACCTGTGGCCACCCACTTTGAGCGAAATTTTATTTTTTTAGGTGCCTAAAAAAATAAAAAAAAGCAAAAAATCAAAAATTTTAAAACTTCACAGAATGGCTTAGAATACCTGTGGCCATCCACTTTGAGCGAAATTTAAATTTTTTTAGGTGCCGAAAAAAATAAAAAAATAAAAAATTTCAAAACTTCACAGAATTGCTTAGAATACCTGTGGCCACCCACTTTGAGCGAAATTTAATTTTTTTTAGGTGCCGGAAAAAAATAAAAATAAGCAAAAAAGAAAAAATTTCAAAACTTCACAGAATGGCTTAGAATACCTGTGGCCACCAACTTTGAATGTAATTTTATTTTTTTTAGGTGCCGAAAAAAAGAAAAAAAAATCAAAAAATCAAAAATTTCAAAACTTCATAGAATGGCTTAGAATACATGTGGCCATCCACTTTGAGTGAAATTTAATTTTCTTTAGGTGCCGAAAAAAAATTAAAAAATCAAAAATACCATTTGGGCACCTAAAAAAAATTAAATTTCTCTCAAAGTGGGTGGCTAGAGGCATTCTAAGTCATTCTGTGAAGTTTTAAAATTTTTTATTTTTTATGTTTTTATTTTTTTGGCACCTAAAAAAATTTAAATTTCACTCAAGTGGGTGGCCACAGATATTCTAAATCATTCTGTGAAGTTTTGAAATTTTTGATTTTTTGCTTTTTTTTTCACCTCAAAAAATTAAAATTTCACTCAAAGTGGGTGGCCACAAGTATTCTAAGCTATTTTGTGAAGTTTTGAATTTGATTGGGCACCTTAAAAAATTTAAATTTCACTCAAAGTGGGTGGCCACATATATTCTAAACTATTCTGTGAAGTTTTGAAATTTTTGATTTTTTGATTTTTTTTTTGGCACCTAAAAAAATTTAAATTTCACTAAAAGTGGGTGGCCACAGGTATTTTAAGCCATCCTATGAAGTTTTGAAATTTTTGATTTTTTGATTTTTTTTTAAAAATTCAACAAATTTCCTATTTTCCCGAAATCTGAATTTTTTTATTTTTTTTGGAAATTGCGATGAATTTTTCTAGAATTTTTCAATTTTTTTGGATTTTTTGAATATTTTTGAGATTTTTAGGAATTTTTTGGATTTTCTAATTATTTTTATTCCATTTTTAAAAAAATGGATTTTTGTTCCTGGAAATAGAATTTTGTGTTGTTTATCAAACGGGTTTTTGTTTCAGGAAATAGAAATTTTGTTCTGTTATCAAACGGGTTTCTGTTCCAGAAATAGAAATTTTTTGTTGTTATCAAACGGGTTTCTTTTCTCAGAAACTCATCCTGGAACCAGAAATAGAAAAATCTATTTCTGTTTCAGGAACTCATTTTGGAACAGAATGGTTATCATTCGCTACCTAAATATTTCATATATGTCATTACAAATTCAGAACGCCCTTTGTTCTCCAGCTTATTACCAATTCAGAACGCCCTTTGTTCTCCAGCTTATTACCAATTCAGAACGCCCTTTGTTCTCCAGCATATTACCAATTCAGAACGCCCTTTGTTCTCCAGCTTATTACCAATTCAAAACGCCCTTTGTTCTCCAGCATATTACCAATTCAGAATGCCCTTTGTTCTCCAGCATATTACCAATTTAGAACGCCCTTTGTTCTCCAGCTTATTACATTCTCCAGCATATTACCAATTCAGAACGCCCTTTCTTCTCTAGCTTATTACCAATTCAGAACGCCCTTTGTTCTCCAGCTTATTACCAATTCATAAAGTCCCTCGTTTTGTATATAAATACATGCAAAATCCCTTCTCCATGTCATTACAATCCTCTCGGTTCATAGTCTTGTCAAAACACCAATGTCTAGCAAGAAATTGTTGTCATGGCTCTACCTGATCTCTCTGGTACTGCTGCTTTGGACCTCCGAGGTTGTTGCTATCGCTCCCGGCAACACGAAGTATCCGGCGCTGTTCGCGTTCGGGGACTCAATCCTCGACACGGGCAATAACAATAACCTCAGGACGCTGAGCAAGTGCAATTACCCCCCTTACGGCAGGGATTTTCCCGGAGCGATACCCACCGGCCGATTTGGCGATGGGAAAGTCCTCTCGGACGTGATAAGTAAAGTTCCTTTTTTCTTTTTCGCTATAATGGAATTAGATGCAAACCAATTCGACATTGTACTTCCTTTTAATAATGAGCACATTGAACTATAGTTCAATGCATGAGACATAATGCTGATTGAAACTCGAACCTGCACAAAATTCTTAAACAGCGGAAGGGCTAGGAATCAAAGAGCAATTACAAGCATATTTGGATCCTAATCTACAGGACAAGGATCTTCCGACAGGCGTTTGCTTTGCTTCGGGCGGCTCAGGCTTAGATCCGCTAACCGCTGGGTCACAGGTTCATTCCTCGTCCTTCAATTCTTTGAAATATACGCTCATCTGCACTCCAAACACTCACTCGAAAATAGTTTATCATGTGTCTTTCAATGCACAGGGCGTATTGACCATGGGAGATCAATTGAAGCGCTTCAACGAGTACGTGGGGAAGCTGAATGCGGTCGCCGGAGCTGAAAATGCCACCGCCATACTCAACAGCAGCCTTTATCTGATGTCTGCAGGCAACAACGACATTGCCTACACCTACTTATCCGCCCGCCTCAGTCCTATGCCCTTCCCTGCGTACGCCGATTTCTTGGTTAACTCCACTTCGACTTTCATCAGGGTAAATCCTTTTTGCCATGGATGTGCTTTATTTGAGTTGGCATGCGTCCTTGTATGTTTATCATGCCATTCATGGCAACAGATCCATAGCATCCTCCCATCTTTTGTTCTTCTTTCTTTCTGTACATTGTTTGCAGGACTTATATGCACTTGGTGGGCGTAAATTTGCGCTCCTGGCCGCTTTACCATTGGGATGCTTGCCATCAGGTAGAGCTTCGGCAGGGGGCATTCTGTGCTCGGTGTTGGCCAACGAATATGCACAATTGTTCAACACTAAACTCTCCTCCATGTCGAGTTCGCTCAGCAGTGAACTTGCGGATTCCCGGATAGTCTACATCGATGTCTATGAGCCTCTCCTCAATCTGATACAAAACCCTAATCAATTTGGTAATCAATTAAGCTCAAGTTCCATCCCCATTCAGCACCATGCACTCCCTCAATGCATGATGAGCATGCATTTTCTTTTCGTTGCAGTCTTAAAAGTTCGCATTGCAAACTTACACTGCATAAGTGGGCATGTAAAATTTTCAGGTTTTCGAGTTGCTAACATAGGATGCTGTCGCGTGCAAACGTTGCTATGCAATCCGCTGAATCCAATCACTTGTCTGGACATACCGGATTATGTTTTCTGGGACGCCGCTCATCCTTCCGAGAAAGCCTACCGCACTCTCGCTCCCGCTATCGTCCAGGCGTGTTCAAACATGTAGCGCGGCAACTCCACGAGCTGATTAGTGCGATATTGTGTGAAGTCGCACCCTTCATGTCTACCATACAAAGAATCATTTGTCTCTTGGTTTAGTGCTGGTGATAGTACTTGATGGATGTTTTGCGAGTCATAGCCATCTGAATCATATACGTGCGTTAGGAGTATAACATTGCGCGTGAAGTTATTTTCAAAAATGCTGTCTCAGTTTGTTATGCATTATACAATAAAACTGGCCATTATCTCTCATTTCCGACCCGACCTGTTTACGGTCACGACAGGACATGTTTAATTAAATAGGTTTGCATGTTGCTTGCGTCCACACAATTCTAGGCAACGTATTTCTATTCATCTGTTCACGGATTTGGACCACTCATCGGCGATGACATTGGCAGCTGGCGCCGATGAGCGGCGAGTGAGAGGCTAGGGTGGCTGAAGGAGAAAGAAAGAGTCCAAGCTGTTTGTTTTCATATTGGGCGAAAGATGAATAGATAAGGCAAATCAAACGGCTTGAAAAACAGGGACTAGTATATATACTTTGAAAGTCTGCACTTGTGTGCTTTCTTTAAGAACCAAAGCCGTGTTTAGTCGTTTGGATTTCTAGCTAGAAAATTTAATTAGAATATGACTAGATAGGATATGATATCGGGAATTTTCCTGCGGTTGATCCAATGTTTGGTGAATCACGGTGATGAAGTCAGACATTTTTATATCCTAACAACTACAAATCAGTATAGAATAAATCCGAAAATGCACAAAAGGAAATGGTAAGAATCTCTCACCTTTCACTGCTAAAGGAACTGCACATTCACATACATAGACAACATCCAGCAATCAATCCAATTTGATTGATTTAAACCTTAAAACTTCTAGAGCCACTCGTTTGACCATGACAAGAAATGTAAAACGTCGATGGATCGGCTAGCAAATATCAAATTTAGTAAGAGAGAGAAATTATAATCATTCACCTTTATAGTTCAGAAAAGTATAGTCCTTTAACTCTTTTGGAGTTACAAAGGAGAATGAGCTTCTATTCTCTCGCTGTTTTGTGCAGCTTTGATGTGAACAAAAGAGTTACAGAGGAAGAAAGAAGGGACAGGGTTTGTTTTAGAAATCTCCTCACTTTTATTAAATCTAGGTTCTTCTACTTCATTTTTATTTACTTATTTGTTTATTACTTTCCCTCTCTTTTTTTTTATTTCTTTTTTCACTCCCTTCCATCGTTTCTTAATTAACATTTTATAAAATAATAAGTTGTACTAACACACCTAAAATATTTAAGAAACATAAATACTAAATCTATATAGAATAGCAAGAAAATCAAATATATAAATAAAAATAGTAATAAATAAGAAATCATATTTACCTTTATCTCATCTCTCACCTGAGATTTTTTATCCGATTTATATTATTTTGTATTCAGCCTTATCCGACATTTTATACTGGTTACCAAATATAGTCTAAGAGGTTCATGGTGTGCTTTCCAAAGTTCGGCACCGACATTTGGTATAGTGGCCAGGGAGCTCTTTGTCGGCATCTTTTTCATTAGAAAGCGAACCAATTGGAACTCCGTTTGGCAAATCCGTGTTATTCGCTTATATCGAAACAACGCAAATTGTCGCCCCCATCGTAGATTTGATAGATCTAATGTTCGTGAAAACTGCCTGATTCGATGTCCACGACCTCGGATTTAGAATGGAGAGAGAGAGATGCAAATTATTTTATTCATATGGGAGCTGTCAATAACAAATTCTATGAACGGGTCAAATTTTGGATTTGGTGACTGATGGGGTTTTGATGTTTTTACTCGGGCCCTTTTGCCCTTTGGATGTCATTTGTTCAACCCTTGGGCATGACGTGGCGTCCAACTCATCAGGATGTGGTATCCAAGTCAGCAAGTCAAGGCTGCAAACTTGCTTAGCAAGTTATAGTATCCCCAATTTTTGTAATGTCATTATGAGCTTTGCTAGTAAAATTTTTTCAGTATCTCTATGGCTTTGCTTCACTTTGAAGAAATGTCACCCCAAACGTTGCCTTTTTCTTCTCCTTTTCTTTGGGTTAGGATCACCTGTGGAAGAGTGACAGAGTCACCATTACCGAGGATTTCCACTATCGCTCTTAAAAAAACCAATCTCTATCTTACATAAAGTAGCCATAGTACGATTATCTATTCATAAGAGTATTCCGCAGCCTTTGTAAGAGGAGGAAGGGCTAAGGATTTGCCAAATGTGAGCTATCACATTGTTCGAAAAACCCTAGATACGGAGAAAATTTTAGATAGCAAGTACTAAGTTCCGGTGCGACATCATAAAAAGCAATCAAAGATAAGGTCGAAGAAAATGAAACACACATAGTTGTCATTATAGCGCTTCCTTATGATCAAAGAAAACGTTCGGAAAACCTACTATGAAACTACCGGGGATGGGCAAAAAGCTACACCTGTGCCCCATTTATCCAAATTAATTTCCGTATCACAAAAAACCTCCCTTAATTGGTGCATTCATGCCGCATTTTTCTCAAATCAATTTTCGTGTCATAGAAAATCTTAAATCGGCACTCCATGCCACATTTACCCTAAACTGATTTTCGTGTTACAAAAAATCTCAAAGTTTGGGGTAAATATGATACGGATGTACCGGTTTGAGATTTTTTTGTAATAGGAAAATTATTTTGGAATAAATGTGACACGAGTGTGCCTATTTATGATTAGCCTTTTTCTTTTTCTAAAAGCACAAGAGCGAACCTAGTTACCACTCTTCACGTAGTCCCAAATTATATAGAAAGGCAAGGTTGCTGCTATTTCCACAACCCGTTTATCCCAAGGCGCAACATTTTTGGTCATCCTAACTCCAGAGGTGCTACTGCAGCTTCAAATCATGTAAGTTCAAGGTAAAGCACAATTGCAAAAAGAGAAAGAAAGAAACGGTAACCTGTAGAAATTCATATACAAATGTATGAAATTTGAATCGAGTTTTTCAACCAATTATTATATAGCATGTCAAAATTTCATAAACCTTCTTATTAAGTTAATGCAGGGTTCATTAGACAGTTATGTACTTTTTGGAGCACATCAAAATACAGTTATACCGTACAAGACAGTTGTAGCACAACATCGGAAACGCCAAATTAACTTTACTTACATACGTAGTTATGTAGTGGTCATCTGACATGGACTCCATTTTTCAGGACTTAGTCGAGAGATGATCTCAAAGTATAAGTACTTCGATCCATTCGCTTCTCATCACCGCTCAACACCGGCGGCTCAGGTTAGGGCGATCCTCGCCGGACATGGCTTCTTCTTCTTCTTCATCACTCGACCGCCTCCCACAAGACATCGTCACAGACATACTCTTGAGGCTCCCCGCCGAAACACTCCTTGACCTCCGCCGCGTCTGTAAGTCGTGGAGCTCTCTCGTCCTCGCCCCATCCTTCGCCGCCAAGCACCTCCGTCTCCACCGCCTCCTCCGCTCCAAACCTCACCAGAACCTCCAGCTCCTCCACTTGCCTTGTGCCCAGAACGACCGGCCCGTCCGTGCCCACGACACAGACTTCTGCTCTGTCCTATGCTCCGACCCTGTCTCGGGCTCCTACACCCTCCGCGCAAAGCTCGCCATCCCCTTCGATGAGCACGCACTCTCCTTCGAGGTCATAGGGTCGGTCGATGGGCTCGTCTGCGTGTCGATGCTCCACAAGAGGTCCAAGCTCTGGACCATCCAGAGCATGTATTTGTGGAACCCGGCCATGAGGAAGCTGAGGGACCTGGGGAACAGGGCCGAGCGCGTTGCTGGCATGAGCAGGTACCAGATTCACGGGTTCGGGCGCGACCGCGGGGGCCACATTTATCGGGTCGTAAGGATTACTTACGGCTGCACGAGAAAGGGGGAGAAGGAGAGTTCGATGGAGGCCGTCCAAGTCGAGATTTGCACGGTGGGGAGGGATTCGTGGAGAATGTTGGAACCACACGGCGTGTCTTGCTTCGCAGGTGGCATATGAATTCGGTTTCTTTCAATTTAGTTCGGTTCGAATTATTAGTTTTCTTTCGGAATATAAGTAGAATTCCGTTGTTTCATGCTCAAAAATACATATTTGTTTTTTTTCTATATTAGTATATTTCAATAAGTGTTGATAAATGTCAAATACCCGTGCTTCTTACTAGGTAACTTGTATATGAAATGATCAATTTGTCTTGCAATTTACTATTTTTTGTTTTTATTTTACTAGTTTGAGGTTTTTGATGGTTAAAAAATTCGTTTGAAGTAAATTTGTCACAAGTATATTGATTTGGAGTTTTTGGTGGTATTAACCCATATATTTTTTTTTAAATATTTACCGACTTTTATTGAGTTTCTAACATATATTTATCTTGATTAACAACCCCTTGCATTATTAACTTTTCTTAGAGAATATCAACCGAATTTATCGTAACTAACCAACATTCTTCCTATTAAATTTTCACCATATTATTAGGTTATCTGCTTTTATTTGAGGTACTCAACGATATTTATTTGTCTATTTTTTTTTAAATTGTCAGCCTTTCTTATTGTTTACAAACTTTTATTTTCATTTCTTAGCAAGCCTTGAATTTAACAATATAAATTACCAATCTTAATTAGACCGACTAACCCAATTTTCTACGATTAAGTTGCTAACTAATTTCTTAAAATTACCAACTCTTGAATGAGATTGCTAATTTAAATTTAAGAAACTCATCGATTCTCTTTGATTATGTTATCAACTAGTTATGAGTTACCGAGTTAGTTGCTAATGTCTATTTCATCTTTTAAATGTACTAATTTTCTATTAAGTTACTAATTAGGAATAAAGTTGATGAGTCACCAAATAAAGTTCATTAATTTCATGTGAGTTGATAAATTTGAGGTGTTAGTAAGAGAACCAATAAACATTGGTAAGCAATAACAAGAGTTGATAAATTTAAAAGAAAACCAAATAAACTTTTATAATTAACTCAAATGAGAGTTTTTTTTTTGGTTGGAAAAATGAGAGTTAGTAATCCAAAACTATTCGGTAGTTTAACTGGAAAAAAGTTGGTAACTTAATGGAAAATTTGGTAAATTAATAAAAACAAATAAACATGGCTAAGCAACTTAAATAAGACTTAGTAAACCAAAGCTAGTTGGCAAAAAACTTATAAATCACTCACACATAGGGTGACCGATTTATATAATAATTTAAGGTGTTTGTAAAAGAGATAAATAAACGTTGGCGCACGATAACGAAAACCGGTAAATAAGAAAAAGCAATAAATATTAGTAGGTAACTGACATAAGAGTTGATAATCTAAAACTAGTCGGTAATGTAATCGGGAAAAAGTTGATAAGTCACTAAATAAAGATGCGTTTATTCTTATGGCAGAGGGCAAATTTAAGGCCTCCGAAAAAGATAAAAATAAAAGTTAGTAAAAGGTAAGAAAATTGCTAATCTGTTAACGGTTAAAAGGAGTTAATGATTTCATAGAAGCGTCGGTAATTTATTAACAAGTTACCAGGAAGTCAAGTGATTGGTACCTTTTTTATCAATATTTTTTTGAGCTAGAAAATGTTTGTTCTTTCTTTAAATGGTCAAATCATCCTCCTATTAATGCCAGGGAAATTTATTTTTTTTTCCAAGTTTTGTAAACTAAATGACGTGCCATCACGCATGACATGTTTTGATTAGTTACTTAAAGAGTGAGGCAATGTGAATTCATTTCAATCACTATTCATTGCTTGCCACATTTACAAAATTCAAAGGCTTATTCTTGTACATATTGTATTTATCTTACAATTAATTAAGGCCTAACCTCCATAAATTTGTAGGCGATGACTCTCAAGCTTGCATCAACGGAGTTGTTCATTGGCCCGCATCCGTGACAGAAGATGCTCCGTACAGTTCCATATTGTCATTCGAAGTCACCTCCCAGATGTTTGACAAGCTCCCGATGCCGGAAAACTACCTTGACAACTTCAAACTTCACAAAGAGACACAGGTTTCCATCGCAGCTTTGAAAAAATCCCTTGCCACCTTGGTCTACTGCCCGGGAGCAGGAAACTTCGGGAGCGAAATACATGTTTGGGTTATGAAACGGTACGGTGTCACAGATTCTTGGACAAAACAGTACACAGCAATGATGCAGCAGAGGATTGAGAGGGTCTTAGGATCGACCGAGAACGGAGAGATCTTGATTCACGGGAGTGACCATAAGGTGATGTGCTATGATCCGGAGAATGATATGCGGTTCAAAGACATCGGCGTGACTGGATTTCCTGACCAGTTCGATGTGGTTGATTATTCAGAGAGCTTGGTTTGGCCTGACGAAGGAAATGCAGATAGCTAACATGAAGATACTTATTTCTCTTCATACATAAGAACTGGGCATTTTAGGTTCTTGTGGGTCTCTTATGTAAGGACTAACATGGATTGTTTTGATCCCAGGATTGGTTTTCATCGGTTGTCTAGGTGAGGTGACAAGAGATACCATGCATAAATTCCTCATGAATTGAAGTAGAATCTAACTCGCCTTGCCTTGCATTTGATGGTCAAATGGAGTGACTGTTGCATCTTCTTAGCCGAGAAACAATGAGATGTATAAGAATTGAAAGTTATGAAATTGTAGTACTTAGGCTAATCAAATCTCACCGAAGTGCGGTACAAAAAGACGACAGAAGTAGAATCTAACCTAGTCAATTGGAAGTCAATACAAGTCCACTTTTCAAAAGATAGAAAGTTGACCTGGGAATGCCAAGCAAAAACAGAGAAAAAAGCAAAAGGAAGAAACCCACTTTCCTCTCTTTCGAGAAGATATTCTTTTGGGTTACACATAAATCGCTTGACGACGTACCCTTATGTCATAACTCATTCGTTGGATCTCCATAAATTTTATTTTTTTTTCTTAATTCAAATCTTGCGACTCGTGCACTTCACGTGGTTTTTAAAATCCAAAATACCCGATACTTTTTTGCATACGTAATTTTTCATAATTTTTTGGACATTTCAATATATTTTTTAATTGTTTCAAACAATATTTGCTTTTATTTAAGCCGAAACAAACAAGCCATTGATCACTGGGTGAATGGTCCAATGGGCTCGAAGGGCGAGATGGTCGAACCCTAGGCAAGCGGTGTCTTTTCTAGGCCCGAACCTCTCCAAAACAGTCGAATTTATATAAAAATTTTGTTACTTATTATGAGGGGTTTTGGATAGAGACTCTTAGGTCTGGTAACAAATATGCCCAATAATAGAGGCCAATGCAGAATTCAGCTACCAAAAGAGAAGTGAATAGTTTAGTACATAAAATTTCTACATAAAATTTCTTACTTCCAAATATCGTTGTAAAAGTGATGTGCGAGATAATGGAGTCGGCAAACAACTTTGGTAATCTAAAACTAGCTTGTAATTTAGGCGGGGAAATGTTAACAAATCACTTTTATCAAGGTTGATAATTTCCAAAAAGAGTTGACAAATTTCAGGTATTGCTAAGAAATGGAAATAAAACTTTGTAAACACATGCAAAATTTTAAAAAAAAATAGATAAATAGTTTGTAAGTAACTTAGATGAGAATTAGAAATGGTAATTCAATGGGGGAAAAGTTTCTGACCAAAAAAAATGGGAGAAAAGTTGGCAAGTCATACTAGTTTTGGTTGGTAATCTCCAAGATTTTTTTTTTTTGGTCGGTCCTACTCTATCTCTCACTCACGATACACACTCAGACTTGCGCCCCACCTCTTACAGGGCGTGGGCGTCAAAACCCACATCTTAAACTACGCGGCCCCACCCCTTCCCCCCTGCGAAGGTGGGGATTCGAACTCGCCACCTCCCCCTTCTCAAGTGAGAAAGGTGGCCACTGGGGTAAACCCCCAGTGGTTGGTAATCTCCAAGATGTGTTAGTAAATATAAGAGGTTGTTAACCGAGACAAATGAATGTTGAAAACTCAATAAAGAAGTTGGAAATGTTAAAAAAAAAAAAGCAATTAAAAGTTGGTAAGTAAACTTAAACGAGAGTTTATAAAATTAGTGGCAATTTAATCCGATAGAAGTTGGTGAGTTAGTCTAATTTAAGTTGGTAATTACATATAAGAATCAGTAAATTTAAAGCATTAGGAAGTCATGCAAACAAAGTCGGTAAGTCAGGACAAAAATTGCCGATGTGTAAATTATAAGGTAAGTTCATAAAATTGTTGATAAGTTACAGACAAATTTACACCGACTAATTTTTTTACAAACACTTTCAGCGCTTACCGGCACAGGAAAAAAAATCCGTGTTTTTGGATACGAAATGATAGGATTCTATTGATCTGAGATTTTCCTTGTCAATTTTGTTTAAACAAAGTGACTGAGATTCCCCTAAATATTTTTTTTCCCTAATTATTATAGTGTCCCGAAATTTGCCATATTTTTAAATAAGTGGAAACCAGCGAAAAACCGTCGTCGCATGCTTTGCTTAAGAACGTTCCTATTCATAAGCATCTGTCGGTTCGCACGTGTCGCCGCCAACCGGGCCGGGCTTGACTGATCGGGAACATATTACCCGACCCGACCCGACCCGACCCGACCCGACCCGATGGGCTTTATGCGATTCGCCTAAGCTGTCTGATCGATCCGGGTGGCCCCACGTGACGTGGAATATTCTTTTCAATTGAAATATTAAAATGGAGAGAAATCAACACCCGAATCGACGTGACCCGAGAAGGAAACATTAGAAAACTCGATCCTCCTTGATCCGAGGTCAAGAAATTTAAAGAAACCGTCCGATCGATCCAAAAGCGACCGATGCGGCGCAGGTCCGTTCGTATCGCGGTGACGATCACTTGGACCGATTTGATCCGGGGCATTTAATAAGTGCCTCAAGAGCATGGCGTCGCCCCAATCGAGAGCGAGTAGATTGATTGCCCGGTCTATGCTTGCAATGATAACGGAAGCGGCTAACACTCCTTGAAAGGTGATAGATATGATACTTTATCCGTAATTAGATTTGTTGCTTTTCCGATGATTTATTTCTAAATGAGGCCGTCCGTCATAAAATTCATTACTTATTTTTTTATATTAAGCTCCGTTTGTTTTGCGAGAAATGAACAATTTGAAAAATATTTTCTTAAAATTATAATAAAAATATTTGCCATTGACTAATTATTTCAAGGGGTTCAAGGGATTATTTTTAAAAAAAAATATTTGGTAAATTATTCGTTTTCTGCCGTACAAATAAAGTTTTAAACAATCATTTATTTCTAAATGAGGCAGTTCACAAAAAGTATGTAATTAAATACAATTTCAAGGGGGGGAGAAGAGAATTGCTTTTTACAAATTGTTTTACGTAGGATTTGCGTCCTTTTCTCTGTGTCGGCAAGCCCCATCATCTCCGGAACACTCTTCCTTCTTTTGAAACTTTTTGGTAGGGTTCTCAAGCTGAGAGCCACTTATTAGTCTTTCGTTTTCCTTTTTCTTTGCTTTGATTGTCCTTTCCATTCTCTCCTTTATCTATTTTGGAAGTTCGTGTGTATGAATAAGTTTCTGCGACCGATCTTAAGTGAACCTGGAGACAAGTTTGGCCATTCGGCAACCGAGGATGTTTGTGACGTGACTCCATAACTTCTCCGAGGATAGACTTGCTCTCCTCTCCCAATTTAGATTTAGGTCTAGATCCGAGGGTTTTACGTCCCCGAACCAGATTTAGATATCGATGTAGGAGTTCATTAGAGATATATGATGTGTTCTATTAACATATTAATGTTGATATTCCTTGCATGGCGACGGTGACAAAGACGTCGGACCTAGACGTGCGCTGCAAGCCGTTACAAATGCAGCATGAGGTCTCGGGGTTTGGTGATCGGCTGCCGGACGTTTACGGTGGCAGATCCGTTCTCGACGGACGAGGCCGTGCCTCTCGTCGTCATTTGCATTCCGGCATCTTGCTTCGTTTCGCAGTTATTTTGCATTCGCAAGGCTTGAAACCCTTCTACGCACCTCTCGAGCATCGACTAAGAAAAGAAAAAATCGTACCATCCCGAGAAACGAATCGAAATTTTCCTTTGGAAGAAGTAAAAAAAAAAGAGAGCGGGGAGGTATCCGACCAAAAAAAAAAGGAAAAAGGAGGAGGAGATAAAAAGCACAGGGGAAAATGACACAAACGGTCCGTGAAGTTTGGCCCAATTTACAATTTGGTCCATGAAATCTTAATTTGTTCAATGTAGTCTCTAAATTTTAACCTAATGTTTAATGCGGTCCCTGAACTTTTAATTTATTCAATGTGGTCCCTGAACTTTTGGTAAATATTCAATTTAGTCTTTGAACTATATGAACAAATTAAAAGTTTAGGGACCGCATTGAACATTAAGCTAAAGTCTAAATATTATATTGATTAAATTAAAATTATATGTTGGGCCAAAGTTTAGGGACTATTTGTATCATCTTCCCAAATCACAGTATATAAAAAAATGCTTACGTGTGACCCTGCCCTCGCTTTATGTCCGCCACTCTCATCCCTTCCCCCTCGCTCGATTTTTCTGTGGTCTTTACCTTACCGAGCTCTCCCCGCTCTCATCAATGGCGGCTACTCAGGGCCAGGTCATCACTTGCAAAGGTACACAGTCCTCTCTCTCTCTCTCTCTCTCGCTCTCTCTCGGATATGAAGCCCTTAACTTGTTGGAGCCCCTCTCGCGGCAGCCGCCGTCGCGTGGGAGGCGAACCAGCCGCTGTCGGTGGAGGACGTACAGGTGGCTCCTCCGCAGGCCGGGGAGGTCAGGGTCCAGATCCTCTTCGCCGCCCTCTGCCACACCGATGCTTACACTTGGAGCGGCAAGGTTACTCCCTGGTTTCCTTTTTTTTTTCTTTTTTTTCTTTTTTTTGTGTGCGCGCGCGTGTGCCCTGCGGTTCTGGTTTTTTTTGTCGATCAGTGTACGTGTGGGCGAAGTCGAGAATCGCTCGGTCGTGTTGATCTCCGGTGCTCTGCTCGCCGAAATGCATCGAATTCATGTGCTCGAACGGAGGATGACGCTTGTGGGATTTTATGTTGTTGATCTGAACTTGAGAGCGCGCGTTGAAATCTGTAATGGGATTGGGTGGTTCTCCTCGCGCTTAGAGTACGTGAAGGGCTTGTTCAATTCGTAAATTATGATCCTGCGAAGATGTGTTCGGACACAAACACAATTCGGATGCTTACAAGTTGTGATGTTCATCACTCGCCGGGGCCGTTTCGAAACCTCGGCGTACCAGAAAATTGGAGCGATCCAGCGCGATGTGCTTGTTTTGGGAGTCGCCTTGTTGCCAGTCTACTCGGGACTTATCGATGACTGGTGCCAACTTCGAAAGTCAGAGATAGTAATCGGATCCTTTTTGTTCGCAACGGTCCTTCCGATGCTTCGGTGGTTTGATGATTTGGCATAGCTTGCAACCCGGCTAGCTGTTGTTAATGAGGTGTTTGTTGTTATGTTGATACTCGATACCCAATCGCTACTTGCAGGATCCAGAAGGTCTGTTCCCTTGCATTCTTGGCCATGAAGCTGCAGGGTACGTAACATCCCATGTTTTCCTTTCATCATATATTTCTGGGTCGCAAATCTTGGATTGAATTAATATCGTTCCAAAATTTACCTGTAGGATTGTGGAGAGTGTCGGTGAAGGGGTTACTGAAGTCCAACCAGGAGATCATGTTATCCCCTGCTATCAGGCAGAATGCCGAGAATGTAAGTTCTGCAAGTCAGGGAAAACTAACCTCTGTGGCAAAGTTCGGGCGGCAACTGGCGTTGGAGTGATGATGAATGACCGCAAGAGCCGATTCTCTGTGAACGGAAAGCCTATCTACCATTTCATGGGAACTTCTACATTCAGCCAGTACACGGTCGTTCACGATGTCAGTGTTGCCAAGATCGATCCCAAAGCTCCCTTGGAGAAAGTTTGCCTTCTTGGCTGTGGTGTTCCCACAGGTAAGGAGCTCTTTATGATGTGCTTATGATTCAATTAGGACATGCTGGATTGTAGTTGATTTCCCTGGAGAAGATGAAGCATGTTGTGAAACTCTTGTGGCAACTCCTGGTTTCTACTATTGCAACAGATCTTGCTAGACTTTGAGTATCATGGAAGCTGTCGTATTTTCTAGGTCTTTTTTATGTACTTTGAAGAATTTTTTAGTCATTGACCTATATATGCTGATCCTTCAGCTATCTTGTGTTGCAACTTTCGATAATCCTCTGCTAACAAATAAAAAGAAAAGGTTGATCCGGACAATTTTGATTGTGCAGCACTCCCTTGTTTACTACTTTTGTGGTGGGATATGGCTTGGTTTAAAATTGTGGGTAGAAGATAAAAAATCAACATATACCAGAAGAACAAAAAGCAGAGCAGAAAGTTTTAAAGCATCCTTGCATTGCAATTCTTAAATACTACAATTGCTCCTGGACAAGATTTTGGAACATTTAAAGAGTTCATCTTTCTCTAAGTTGCTGGTTCATTGATGCACGGTTAAGGGAACATAGTATTGTCGATGTTTTCATTGTAGTACTAGAATCATCCCACATCTAGATGTTCCTTTAAGGTCCACAGGTTCTTAAAGGTTTGAGGCACTCATAAATTCCGAATACTTGAATTCAATTAGTTACTCTGCTTTTCCATCTTTCGGTAGTTCTCTTCTCATGTCTGGTGTTGAGTCTGTAGTAGATTTTATCTTGCTATGCATTCTATTCTACACAACCATCTGTCAACGGAATTTTGATTTGATCTGTTGGTCCTTCTCTTTGATTTTAGACTTTGTTGTTGTGTGGTTTCCATGGACATGAAAATTGGCCTAGCTCCTGCGCTTGTGCTAGAAAATCATAGAAGTTCTATCATATTGTCATCACGAAGAAATTCTCTCATGATAATTGAACAACCTATCAAATTCGTTTATGATGGTTGATTATTTCTTCATATTCTAATTTCGTGATTGACCTTTTAATAAATTTCCTCGCCATTTAGGACTTGGAGCAGTATGGAACACAGCAAAAGTGGAATCAGGGTCTATTGTTGCTGTCTTTGGCCTGGGAACAGTTGGCCTTGCTGTAAGTCGAACATAGTTTTTTATTTTATTTTATTTCCTTTTTGCTTGCCAGGTGACACCATATTACTTTATCGACGAATACTGCTGACAATATATTAGGTTGCTGAGGGTGCAAAAGCAGCTGGTGCTTCCCGAATAATTGGTGTAGACATTGACAGCAAAAAGTTTGATAGAGGTAAGTCTTATTCTTCTGACATCTACCATCGTTGTCCTACATGTATGCTTTTAGGCAGTTCTTTTGTATTTTAGTGCCCATGTCAAAGCATACCATCCAGGGCAACCACCTCCCATGAGGGAGCATCCTATAACCTTTTATATTGTGGCCAAAAGTAAGACTTTCTTGTCATGTCTCGATTATTGCCTGGCTACTCAACTTGCAGGCAAGTAGATATGAGCCTACGAGTATTGCTCTAGGAAGTTACGCAATTTTTTTTCTCAAATATGGGATGGTTATGTTTTGATGCTCTCGTTGCTAAACCATAGATTGTCAAAGTGCATTTTATGGATTACAAAACATTCTTATTCTATTTCACTGGTTTCTGACTCCAAAAAATTGATTGGCCGGATCGTCAGAAAGCTCACGGTTTATATGCACTTTGACAAATCTGAAAGTTAGGAATAATCTGAACTTAGCCTTTGCAAGAAATAGGAACAGGAGGAAAGTTAATTTCCAAATTATTGATACAGCATCGGCGACACGTACTATCCTATAAAAAGCTAAATACTTCCAAAGGTGAACCTCACTGAGTTAGCCTAAAATTTGGCAACCGTCAATTTGAACTATCTAGACTGACATACAGGTAAATGAGATAGTTCATTGTGTGCTTTGGTTATTCAGTTCCGAGTCGGTACTTTCATCAATGTAGAAAGCTGCAGGCATGATGCTCATGCATTTGAAAATGTCTGCTTGCTTTGGGGCTTTGTACTTAGGTCAGTAAGCGTGTTTAGTTCAGTTTGTGGAAATTGATATTCATGTATATGACGACGTTCTGCAGCAAAGGATTTTGGGGTGACTGAGTTTGTGAATCCGAAGGAACATGACAAGCCAATCCAACAGGTTATTGTTGATCTCACTGATGGTGGTGTTGACTACAGTTTTGAATGCATTGGGAATGTCTCGGTAATGAGAGCTGCTTTGGAATGCTGTCATAAGGTGAGTTTTTGCTTTTCATTGTTGACTCTATTTGAGAGACGGAATATGCACCTAATTTGCTCGAATTACTTCCAGGGCTGGGGAACATCAGTAATTGTTGGTGTGGCAGCTTCAGGGCAGGAGATCTCCACACGTCCTTTCCAATTGGTAACTGGTCGTGTTTGGAAAGGAACAGCTTTTGGTGGTTTCAAGAGCCGTTCGCAAGTGCCGTGGCTGGTTGACAAATATATGAAAAAGGTGTGCCGTCTGTCGCTTCTACGAAATTTGAATTGCGTCAGAGCTGATGATTTTATGTCCTGACATTTATTTGCCCGCAGGAAATCAAGGTTGATGAATATATTACTCACAATTTGACTCTTGGGGATATCAACGAGGCTTTCCATCTACTGCATGGAGGTGATTGCCTCCGTTGTGTGCTTACAATGGATTAAAGAGGCTCTGGTTCACAGGCCAGTTTGTTGTGCAATGCCCGAAGTGTTTGCTGCATATGTAAGAATCCCATCCGTATTGTTCACCGCTTAGAGTGCCACCCGAATAAGATGCATAATAGTCTGTTGCCTCTTTGCTGTTGTTATTGGTGGAGATTTTCTCTAAATATGAGAGATTTCATCTCTAATTTTGGCACGTCTTGTGGCTTTTTTGGTTTTTTCGCTCTTGGGACGTTGCATTTTGGCTGAAAATGTGGGGAATTATCAAAGTAAGTTTTAAACTTATTGCACATGTGTCAATTCATTGCTAAACTTTTTAATTGTGCCGATTCAGTCTTAAACCTCGTGACGATTTGCCAATTTAGTCAAATTTTTTGACAGTTTGCCAATTTAGTCCATACGATCAATTTTGGCCAAAAAACACTGACGTGGCAATCTGGTCAGCAAAGACTGTCCTAGGCGGCGGCATGGCTGGCGCTAAAGTGAATATATTTTTTTTTCTCATTTTTTAATTTTTTTCCAACTCTTGGTCGACGAGGTTGACGGGCGCAGGCGAGGGCGTCAGGCCTTGGCCTGGAACTAGGCGGGCCAATGCCCTTGCTGGCGAGAGCGCGGAGACCCTCGCTTGTGGCCGTCAACCTCCGCGCCCTTGCCGGCCAAGAGTGTAGTTTACTATTTAATAAATTTTTATCAAAGAATGATGGAAGGGAAAATAATAAATAAAAAATAAAAGAAATAAAAAAAAGGAGAGGGATAATTAATAAAAAATAAGCAAATAAAAATGAAGTAGCCAAGAGTATTGTGAGAGATTCTTACCATCTATGTTTGTGCAATTTTTAGGTTAATTTAGATTATATGCCATTCTTATCAAATAATGGGCATGATAGGATGTGAAAATATCCGGCTTTATTACTGCGATTCACCAAACAGTGGATTGGATATAGTAAAATCTCTTGATTTCATATCTTATTCTATTCAGTTTTATTATGTCTAGAAATCCAAACGACCAAACGCAGTTTAAGGGTGTGTTTGCTACGGCATTTGGGATAAGCCTTTAGCCAAATGCAAAGGCTTTTAGCCTAAAGGGATTTGGGAAAATGTAAGACTGTATAGTAAACTGTAAATGGAATTGAAAAGTGCTTTGGAGAAATGCAAGATTGTTCGGTAAAATTTGGAAAGCCCTTTGATATGACCAAATTAAGTTTTTTAATTCTAATTTGTTTAAAATGAAAAATAAAACAATACCCGTAACTTTTATATTTTCGCGTTGAAAGTAATGTAAAAGAAACATATTAACAAAATTATAAAAAAAAATCACATCAATGAATAATCCATGACTACTTAAAGTAACAAAATATATAGGAGTAAGAGAAACATTGAATAATGTTGATCATCCATCAAGGGAAACAATATATCAACCATCGTATACATGCAAAACTCAAATTGGAGTAGCGTGTGCTTAGTCCAGTATTCTGCTTTTCTTGCTGTGCTGATCATGTATGGGCCTGTTCTCATGGCTCATGTGCGGCCTCGTTGTTGTATTTCTGGTTTTCTGCAGTTGTTCCTCTGCCGCTTTCCATGCCGATTATTGAGCTGGGAAGTTGGTACTTTGAATAAACCCTTTGTTTGCATTGTGAAATTGTTACACATAAAGATCCACAATTTGGTTTCCAAGATCTGTCTAAAGGCACATAGTTTCTCTATTTCGTGGCCTTTGGACAACAGCTACACACTGCTTACTGGTTCGTTTGTGCCTAACTAGTGATCAATTATCGATTGGAATATAAAGATTAAATTTAGTTATTTGTGTGATAAGAAATGCATGTGTTCATTCGAATTGGTTCATGGTTAGTTTCGTTTGTTTGTGCCTCTCAAATTTGTTCTTGTCACTTTACTAGTAAATGGTAAGTTCATCAAAGGAAAATGCACTTTGGAGCTCGGAAGATGTAGAAACCTTTTGTAAGTTGTGCGTTGAACAAATTGAAAAGGGCAATCGTCTTGCAAACAACAAAATAAATGGATAGAGAGTCATAATTAGCAAGTTTGAGTTTGCATATATATGATAGTTGATATATTATTTTCTTGATAAATGATCAAGATTATTCATTGTTTCTCTTACTCCTCTATATTCTGTTACATTAAGCAATCATGGATTATTCATTGATGTGATTTTTTTTATAAATTTGTTACTGTTTGTTTTACATTACTCTCGATGTGAAAATATAAAAATTATAATCATTGTTTTATTTTTCATATTAAACAAATTAAATCACACCAAAGGGCTTTCCAATATTTGCCGAACACTCTTGCATTTCGCTAAAGTAATTGCAATTACAGTTTATCAAATAGTCTTTGATTTTTCCAAAACCCTTTAGGCTAAAGGCCTTTGCATATGCCCCCAAATGCCGAGCCAAAGGCACCCTTTCACTTGTTATGAACTGTGGGAACCTTTGGACACCACGGAACATACAAGCAAAGTCTGTATTACATCGTAAGATGCGTATCCACATCCAACATTAACAAATACTCTGCGCGAACCACGACTAACAGAGACCCTTTAGAAGCCTCTTTGTAGTTGCAGCTTTAGAAGGAAGATTAATACTTTCATCGACTATGACACAACTATTTGATCACGCAGGATGCTCTGGCTTGTGAGCTACTTGTTTGTTCGGTGCTGCGCTTTTCCCTCCTCCGCTGGAGTTTCTTTCTTTGTCTCTATGTTTGAACCTGCAATGGATGCGTCAAATGAATACTTTTGTATGACCGTGCAGGAAATCTCATGGTTTGAAACAGAGAGAAGGCTATGATGTAACAGATAAATTCTAATGACGAAGGGGACGGGGAAAAACAATGATTGTTGGTGCAACTATGGTTATGATGTCATGTAATAACGGGTACAAGAATTACCCAGTTGACTCTCATGAGTATGATCTTTCTCAGATTGCTTAGTCGAATGGATCACGCTGAATCCTTCGTCCTCACATCTCGTTGCGTATTCGTGTCTGAATGAGTGGTACATCACATCCCTTCAGTCATACGAAACACCCACTGTTTGAATCACGAAAAGATGGTCGAAATGGTCGGCACAGCACAACAATTACATTTACCCACAACCCCGGTAATCTCATCTATTTAGGCACTCGATGCGCTTTACTTAGTAATCAAGTTCTAACGAAATGTTGCACTACACGTATCATTGTTCATGCTACTTACCCGGTCTCCAGGTTCTCTGCCTTGTCCATGATGTGTGCACTCCTGCTGGCTGGACAGAGAAGCGAACCCCTTGAATCTGAAGCTGCGAGCTCTCTTGCTGATGACAGGAGCAGCGATGGGGGATGATGAGAATGTGTGCGGAATTGGATGGTTTCTCACCGATCTGATCGCGTGGATCATCTTCATGGGACTTCATGGTGAAGCCCCGGAGCTGTATTTATACATGACAACATGATGTGATTGAAGATCCATCAGATAAAAACTGGTACATCCTGACGATAAGAGATGAGGTTAGCAATCTGACTTTTACCTGTTGGAAAGTTGCGTTTAAAAGAATCGAGAACACACGCGCACGTCAGAGACTGGAGAGTGAAAGAATGCGTTGGGAGCTTCTGGTGCTTTGCCTGGTGCGAAGTCAAAATAACTGAGACCCACGAAGCGAAAGCTCCAGAAAAGCATCCTGGAGTTCATCAAATGAAGAAATTCTTGATGCCGATCATAACGAATGGTTTCTTCTGTGTAATACTAATCGATAGGGCCTTGTTTCGTACGCTTCGCTCAATGAGAAAATGGGCAATGAGAAAACGGGTCGGACTATAACTTGGTGAGATCTTGTTATGAGAGTGCTTTAATACTATGGAAATCACCTGCTCATAGATAGAAAAGTTTAACATGTAGAGCACTTGAGGAGCTTTAACAAATGTCTTGAGAGCACTGTCATTACGAACGTGATCTATTATGCCACGGAATTGCTGTCGGCCAGTGTCCTTAGAGTACTATTATTTCTCTTTAATTTTTTCTTTTCTTTTTATAGATTAAATGGAGGAAAGCCTTTCTCTTTTTGTGAAAAATTCAGCCTAATTCAAAATACAATATAGATTTATACATAAAAATTATTTGAAACATTTATTACCAATATATGTCTGATCATGACATATAACTGTTTTCATCTAATTATATATAGATATTGCAAAGCGAAAGAGAATCTATATATCCATAAATGATATGAGCAGAAGAATTATGCTTTTAATGGTCACTTGCCAAATCTGTGATTCTTTTGCATATATTATTTATTGATATATGGGTATGTACTTTTTTGATAAATTAAATATTATTTCACTAGCATATAAATAAGGGAAAAAACCACAAAAAATCCCGAACTTTGTTATCTGTGACACATTTACCCCGAACTTTTTTTTGTGATATCAAAAATCCCGAACTTTGCTTTTTGTGACACATTTACCCCAATGTATTTAGTCCATGGGCATTTTCGTCTTTTTTGCTTTTTCTTTTTTTTTTTCTTTTTTTTTCCTTTCCGGCGAGGGGGGCCCTCGCCGGCGTCGAGCGAGGGCGGCCCTCGCCAGATCCGGCGAGGGCGGCCCTCGCCGGCGTCGGGCGGCCCTCGCCCGACTCAAGCGAGGTCGACCCTCGCCGGCGTCGGGCGAGGGTCGACCTCGCCTGAGTCGGGCGAGGGCCGCCCTCGCTCGCCCAGGCGAGGGCGACCCCTCGCCGGCGTCGGGCGAGGTCCGCCCTCGCCTGGGCGAGCGAGGGCGGCCCTCGCCCGATCTGGCGAGGGCGACCCTCGCCGGCGTCGGGCGAGGGTCGCCCTCGCCTGGGCGAGCGAGGGCGGCCCTCGCCCGACGCCGGCGAGGGCGGCCCTCGCCAGATCGGGCGAGGGCGACCCTCGCCGGCGTCGGGCGAGGGTCGCCCTCGCCCGATCTGGCGAGGGCCGCCCTCGCCGGCGTCGGGCGAGGGCCGCCCTCGCTCGCCCAGGGAGGGCGACCCTCGCCCGACGTCGGCGAGGGCCGCCCTCGCTCGCCCAGGCGAGGGCGGACCTCGCCCGACGCCGGCGAGGGCGGCCCTCGCCTGGGCGAGCGAGGGCGGCCCTCGCCCGACTCAGGCGAGGTCGACCCTCGCCCGACTCAGGCGAGGTCGACCCTCGCCCGACGCCGGCGAGGGTCGACCTCGCCTGAGTCGGGCGAGGGCCGCCCTCGCTCGCCCAGGCGAGGGCGAACCTCGCCCGACGCCGGCGAGGGCCGCCCTCGCCGGATCTGGCGAGGGCCGCCCTCGCTCGACGCCGGCGAGGGCCCCCCTCGCCGGATCCGGCGATGGGCAGCCCTCGCCGGAAAGGAAAAAAAAAGAAAAAGCAAAAAAGACGAAAATGCCCATGGACTAAATACATTGGGGTAAATGTGTCACAAAAAGCAAAGTTCGGGGTTTTTGGTGTCACAAAAAAAAATTCGGGGTAAATGTGTCACAGATGGCAAAGTTTGGGGTTTTTGGTGGTTTTTTCCCTATAAATAATCAATAACCTTACCAAATTTACTAAGGTAAATTATTTCTATTATAGAACACTGAATCTATGTTATCCCAATTGCGTTTTTATTGCTGGAAATAAAAAAGGGAAAGATTAATATATATTGCAAATACTCTTGTGTATCAGTTTATGATAATATATAGAAAATCACGCGTGAAATGATACTAGGAACTTGTTCGTATTTTAAGATGCTTACACTTCATACTGAATAGGAATAACATTTTAATTAGATGACATCGCGACATTATCACAAAACAGTTGTAAGTATTAAGAATGAAAATTTGTCTAGGGTAAATTTCTCTTCAATAACTGAAAATAAATAATAAGTAGGGATACATAAGATCACATTTTCGTTGTGGAAGACAAAAACTACACTAAGGCTTCGTTTGTTTCGCAGACAGCGAGTGATTTGAAAAATACTTTCCTAAAAATGATCGTTTGTATCGTTTTAAGGAAAATATAAGCAATCATTTTTTTCGTTCATTCATTTTTATAAGTGATATAAGTGATCGTTTTTAGGAAAATATTTTTTAAATCATTTATTTTTCGCTAAACAAGCGGGCCCAAGCGAAACATGTTTTGACTTCGACAACTTAAGTAAGAGGAGGTACCCCTTGACTGTTCTTCTTTTTTTGTCCCTTGTTTGTTGGATTTGACTTATCATCATCTTCATATATTTGTTTCTTGGGACATTTAAGTTGCTGTTTTGCTTAGGCTACTATTCATGTGTGAACTAAGTTAAGGCCCCCTCAGAGAAAAACTTTCATTACATCTGTAAAGAAAAATACAAAGAGATCTTTGTTGATCTTTAATGTGAAAAGTCCAACCTATAGCCGAAAATCATAATAGACTTGATCATGATCATCACTTAACAGCAACGTTGGCAGTCATCACTTAGCAGTCATCACTTAGGGTGAGCATGATCCGGATGTGCGGTTCCCACCCTAGAACCGGGAACCGCCCACTAAGGACCGGTTCCGAAAAATTGGAATCGGGAACCGCTCATTGGTTCCATGGATCCACCTGAGAATCGGACTGCCGGTCCGGTCCGGTTCCTGAGTGGATCCATAGAACTGGTCCCACTAGCCAATGACAGAGACAAAAAGACAAAGACGGAGACGTAGATGGAGAGTCGGAGACGGTGAGGTGAGCATCGATCGAGAAGAGTGAGCCTAAGACGAAAGCGAAAGAAGGTATTTCTCAGCTCAATGTGAGGCTGTGAGCGTCGAGCGAGTTTGATTTAGTTTAGTGATTTAGGATTTTTCTTTTCTTATAAAAATTAAATAAATATATTATATTTATTATTATATTACCGGTCCGGTCCAGATGGACCGGCGGTCGGTTCCATTTCTGGAAGCAGGAACTGGACCGGTACCGGTACCCACCGGTTCCCAAAAATTGGAACCGGGAGCCGGACCAGTTCCGAGCAGTCCCGGGCAGTCCGGCCAGTTTCCGATTCTTTTGCACACCCCTTGCTCGTCAGCTAATGAAAAATCCATGAAGACTTGCCACGCAGGTCGGTATTATTGATCACAAGCCTCAAGAACGATCACAACACAATCATAAGAAAGCAACATCACTTGCGGAATGTGAAGACCGAAGTCCCCTATCTCTGCCTAAGAGTGATTCAAGAATGCGAAAGCCAAGGCGGAGAGGGCGAAGGACAGGGCGTGGACGGCGAGCGACGAGGCGGACCCGATGCTGAGGGTGACCTTCTGGCCGCGGCCGCAGTGGTCACCGATGGTGCAGATGAAGTAGCGAGAGCTGTTCGTGTTCAGCACGACGTTGTATGGGCTCACCGTCTGGACCGTCCCGATGAGGCTCGTGCTCGTGCAGTTGTCGTAGTCCGTCTTCGACACTTCGGCGACGTCATGATTCCCCGTCCAGTTGAACACTGCAACAGTAAAAAGGGAAGAAACAAGAATGAACGAATGCACACAAAGCCTGAATTAACCGAGGTTGTGTAGCAAGGGGACATTTCAATGGACAACGACAGATACAGAGTAATTTACGTGAGGGTCCCCCTCTTTGACTTGACTACTTGTTGTTGTTAGAGGGAAATATAGTCATTTCATAAAAAGCTGTATATGCAGCAAGATTAGTATTTAACGCAGCAATTAACCCAATCGTTTAGAATACTTTTGCAGTATTTGCATACAAAGCCAAAACATGAAACCTGATAAAATCTTTTCCTGATCATATCAATGCGATCTATCTATCGAATCGAATGTTTATCGAAAACTTGCTAACATTTCAGATTCTCCAATCAAATCCGGTCGTAACCCTTTTACTAGCGATGCACTATTTTGGGTAGGAGCATCATGTTTTTCGAGCTCACCGACGGTGTCGCCGAAGTTGAAGCTCTTCTCGGCGGCCCAGGTCTTGTAGGCAATGTCACCGAGCGGAGGGACTTTCCACATCAGTTCATCTCCGACGTTGTACGTGCTCGCATTCGCACCCACCGCCGCGACGATCAGCACGAGCCCGACCAAACCCACGACTCGACTCGCCATGATCGTGTACAAACTCTCTCCGTGTTCCTCAGGTCGTCCCCTTAAACGATCTCTCTCTCTCTCTCTCTCTCTCTCTCTCTGTGGCGGTGCTGCTGTGTTCACCCTTGGTTCAGTGATGGCTCATTTCCAAGCTCGGGGGGCTTGAGAAACTTATATGGAGACTTCTGATGGTGGAGGAGGGTGTGAATTTGACTGAGATGCAGGTCAGTTCCTTGCACATGAAGCCCGGTCTTTCTGGCCTTTTCTCCGCCAACGCATAGCTTTTTCGATCGATTCTCAGTTTGGCATTAAGTGCTAAGTTTCCAAACAGTACGCCAACTTTGAATATCTAGAAACGCTGACCTCGACTTGGCCTTCTGGTACGGCAGCTTCCGAGATGCATCTCCTCTGCTGAGATCCGGTGGAATTCCATTCCACGCGGAGCCTGCTGAAACTCAACAAGTGAACGTCGAGGAGAAAAAACGCTTTTTGTTCATGACTTTTGAGGGAAACTTTTGCGTGGTTTTTACTCACGCCCCCACAGCGACATCATCGCGAGGACTTCCTGACTTTTGAGGGAAGCTTCGAAGCTTCCACGGACGCCTCATTTCGTGGAACAAGTCGAGGAGGTGAGGAATGAAAAGATGATGGAATAATGAACTTGGGAATTTCTTTGTTATAGAGTCGAGAAATGTTTGCACTTGTAATACTTTCGGCAAGACAGCAGCCCCCCAACCTCCCCCCCAAAAAAAAGGCATATGTATATATGCACACACAACAAAAGTATCCTTACATTTCAAATTTTGTTTTCGAGTCGAACAAAAGAAAGCGTGTTTAATATATACTGTCGGCGAGGTCGACCTTGTTGGCCTCGCCTCTGGCCAGTCGCCAAGGTGGAAGGAGGGAAGAGAAAACAAGAAAGAGAAAGAAAAGAAAAAAAAGGAAAAAAGGAAAAAATAATTCGAAATATCATTAAAAAAATTTAAAAAAAAAATTCGCGTCAGCGTTGGCCGCCCCACGCAGCACAGTTGGGGTCTATGTCAGCGATTTCCTGTCAAAATTAGTCAGATGGATTGAACTAGCACAAATACAAAAGGTTTAGAGCTCTATTGGCAAAAAAAAAAGGGTTTAGGATTGAATAGGTACAATTGCAATAGACTTAGGTTTTTTTTTTCTGTAATAATATCCTTACTCTTCAAACGAACTTTTAGTTAAGGGTTAAGTTTCCATCCTTGCAAACGGATAAAGTTGCTTGAAATCGATGATTTGAAACACACTAATTTTTGGTTCGGGGCAAAAAGAACTCGATTCACTGAACTTAGCCTTTCAATTTAGGGCTGCTCATTTTTTTTCTATCGTTCTCGCTGAAACAGTCAACTTCTTAATTGAAAAGAAAATCAACTTCGTTTTTTTATACGTGATAAATGACATCGTCTTGCCTTGGGCGGATGCGTCTATCGTATCCATCAGTCACGTTTTGGTATCAGCTTGCATGAATGAAAATCTTAACGGCGAGTGTTTCTGTTTCTTAAGTAAATTTTCGTGCATTTTTTGAGATCCTCCGCCCGAAAAATCAGGGAATTTACATTAAAATCCCAAAAGATACATACAATATTATCATATCCACATTTTTATTACTTACTTTATCTTCTTCTTTTTTTTTGTCTTGCTATTCTGTACTTTAATTATTTTGGCCAAAATGTTTGTTTTTTTTTTTTAAATTTAAACTTTGCCACTTTGAAAGTCCCATCGAATGAAAACTTTTTAGCGACAATATTAATTAGAGCGTTACATTTAAAATATGTTTTACCTATGCGAAATTGGACACACGGATTAGCTGATTTCGGGGGGAAGAAAACCAAAGGTGGAGAGTGGTCCGTCGGATTGGCGAGATTGACGGAGCCAGTGTCTTGTCTTCTCATTTTTCATATATTTTTAGTAAATATAACTATATGTACTTAAGATCTATAGATTTGCTTGAATGACCATTAAAAACAGATTATTGGGTAAAGCTCGCATATGAACATGCCCCGTGAACCTGGTCATGCGCATTGGGCATTACATGGGATCTATTCGAGACAAAGTCCTAGATTATGCTAAATTGGCGGGAAAAGTTGTTCAAGAAATCCTAAATCTAATACACTTTTTGCTAATTCAGTTCTAAACCTTTTAATTTTGCCAATTGAATCATAAACATTTTCACGTTTTGCTAATTGAGTGCATCCGGTCAATTTTAACCTGAAATCTCTGATGTGGATTCTGGTTGTTCCACAGTGATAGGGCCGATACTAACGCGGACAATTTTTAATAGTATTTTAAATTTTTTTTTTTAATTATTATTATTTTCTTTTCTTCGAGACCCTAGCGAGGGCCACTGGCTAACCCTCACCAGTACAGGCGAGGGCCGGTCGACCCTCGCCGATCACAGGCAAGGGCCTAACGGCCCTCGCTCATGACCGGTCGCAGCCCTCGCAAGGCTGGGGCGAGGGTCTCAACCCTCGCTTGTGATCGACAAGGGCTTCCGGCCCTCGTCGAACTTGATAAAAGAAAGAAAGAAAGAAGAAAGAATAAAAAAATTGCAAAAAAAATTCAAATATTTTTAATAAAATATCCACATCAGCGTCGGCCGTCTTATGTGACGCTACTAGTGTCCACGTTAGCGATTTCAAGTTAAAATTGACCAGATGGATTTAATTAGTAAAAAGTGAAAATGTTTAGGACCTAATTGACAAAGTTAAAAAGTTTAAAACTGAATTGGCAAAAGTGCTATTTACGTATGACTTTTTTGTACGATCTTTCCCTAAATTGGCCAATCAAGAGAGAGGAAAATACGGTAGTTGACAAGTCAAAATCGAGAAATCAACTCTGATCCTATTTTCCTGAATCAGTTATCTTTTCAAACACATGGTCTTTACTATTAGCCTGCAGTCAGGTTTTGTTAGGGACATTCGAAAAATCTAAAAAGCAGATATTCGCGTGAAATTAATTAAATCACAATTAATTAGAAACTTCAGGCCAATATTAATTCAATCTGAAAATTGAACAGGTAAAATCATGGGATCCGATTTTTACCATTTTCGGTTAGGATTTCAACTCTTCCAAAGAATCAAACAAAAAAAATAAAGATTCTACTCAAAATTCGGATCGCTCTTTAAATTTTTGAATTGTAGAGATGGGAGATTAACTTGAACACACGTAGGGCTTAATTTTCCACTCCTTTTTTTTTTTTTCATATAACTAGTCTCCCAATTGGACTCGAGGCATCATCCGATAGGTCGTTTCGGACCTCGGAGACACCTAGGATGTACAAAAACTCAAAGGGTACTGCCGGGAACAGGGTAGGAAAAGTATACTTTACCAATTGATGGGTGCGAGGCGTGCGGGCACCAGTATGTTGAAATAAGGAACGAATCCAGATAGCCCGCTCCCAAATAAAATCTTCGGAAAGAATAAATAAATTCTTCTAAATTTTTTTTGACATGGTTGTGTTCTGTTTCCTCCTTTTTTCCATTGACCACTTCCAAGATTTGATGCAAGAAGCACGTGTTTCTTGCCATGCATGCATGCGCGACGATGACGATACAGCTCACGAGCTCAAACTCTTTTCGTAATTTTTAAGGATGATTTCCGTTGCAACAACTTCCTCGAATAAAGATTCCAATCTGGAATCTCCACGAAACATTCGATCTCCCCTTTGATAGCGATTCTGTTCTTTGCTGGATTCCTTACATATACCGGTCTTCCCCGGCTGCCGCAGATTCATCGCAGTCTCAGACGTCCGTAGCTCCCATCTCTACACTTCCTCCCGATTGTCTCCGGCGATGGCGGCCCTGGCCTGCTCCCCCGCGGACCTCCACCCCCTCCTCGGCGGCAACGCCACCTCCGCCGCAGCCGAGTACATCTGCGGGCGCTTCGATGCGGTCTCGAGCAAGTTCGTGGACACGGGGTACGCCGTCGACAACACCTACCTCCTCTTCTCGACCTACCTCGTCTTCTCCATGCAGATCGGGTTCGCCATGCTGTGCGCGGGCTCGGTCCGCGCCAAGAACACCATGAACATCATGCTCACCAACGTCCTCGACGCGGCGACGGGGAGCTTCTTCTACTACCTCTTCGGGTTCGCCCTGGCCTTTGGGACCCCATCGAACGGCTTCATCGGTCAGCACTTCTTCGGCCTCGCCAAGTTCCCGTCTCAGTCTTTCGACTACGGGTTCTTCCTGTTCCAGTGGGCCTTTGCCATCGCTGCCGCCGGCATCACGAGCGGATCCATCGCGGAGCGCACCCAGTTCGGCGCATATTTGATCTATTCCTCGTTCTTGACTGGCTTGGTGTATCCCATTGCCTCTCATTGGTTTTGGTCTGCCGATGGCTGGGCAAGCCCGGCGCGAGCGGATAATCTTTTGTTCGGATCTGGAGTCATCGACTTCGCCGGGTCAGGGGTGGTCCACATGGTCGGCGGTATCGCCGGCCTTTGGGGAGCCCTCATCGAAGGCCCGCGTGTCGGCCGCTTCGATCATTCCGGTAAGGCGGTGACGCTCCGTGGCCACAGTGCCACATTGGTGGTCCTCGGCACGTTCCTCCTGTGGTTCGGGTGGTACGGGTTCAACCCTGGTTCCTTCCTTAACATCCTGAAGGCGTACGGAGAGAGCGCCTCCTACTACGGCCAGTGGAGCGCCGTCGGGAGGACCGCAGTCACCACCACCCTCGCGGGAAGCACCGCCGCCCTCACCACCCTTTTCGGCAAGAGGCTGCTCGTCGGCCATTGGAACGTCACCGACGTGTGCAACGGCCTCCTTGGCGGATTTGCTGCCATCACCGCCGGGTGCTCCGTGGTCGACCCCTGGGCTGCCATACTCTGCGGGTTCGTCGCCGCGTGGGTCCTCATCGGGTTCAACAAGCTGGCCGAGAAACTGAAGTACGACGACCCGCTGGAGGCGGCACAGCTTCACGGCGGCTGTGGCGCGTGGGGGCTGCTGTTCACTGGGTTGTTCGCGAAGAAGGCCTACGTGAACGAAGTGTACCCGGGGGTGGAGAACAGGCCGTACGGGCTCCTGATGGGCGGTGGGGGAGGCCTGTTGGCGGCACAGGTGGTGCAGATCTTGGTGGTGGCGGCGTGGACGAGCGTGACCATGGGGACCCTCTTCTTCATCCTGCACAAGATGAAGCTCCTGAGGATCTCGCACGAGGAGGAGGTCGCCGGCATGGATCTCACCAGCCACGGAGGGCTTGCTTATGAGTACGATGCCGAAGAGAAGGAGGAGATTTCATTCTGAGCGAAGGTGAAGATTTCGAGTGTGGGACTGTTTCGATGCCAAGAGAATCTGTTCTTCGCTGCTGCAGATGATTGACGGACGTTATTCTAGTGGTAAAAAACTGCGATGTACATTCATATGTATAGAGCCTAGGGTGTTCCACTGCTATTCATTGTATGTATTGTCTTGTTCGGGGTTTTAGTGGAAAATCTGTCGTGCTTTATGGATATTTTCTCAGTTCTTCACCAAGCCAAGGGCAGAGACCTTTGCATTACATGCTCACCGACCTCAGCTCAGGTGAACACCTGACCGATTGACATAAGTGAATCGAAAATTCCCAGTAACAACAAGGAAGAAGAGTTAAATATACACTCCATTTCTCTGCTAGAACCGAACAAAGGTGGGATTATCAGCAAATAAAATTCATTCATTAATTTGTACTCACAAGCAATTAGCTGTCCATATCTAACAAACATTAGACTATACAAGATTATGCACACAATTACCTCTGGCTCTCAGATATTTCTTCAAGGAAACCGATGCCACGGATGAATTCCTCATTCATCGTGAAGCATAAAATTCAAGTCAATTTGGCAATACTTTAGATTCACCTCCAGGTGTATGTATGTATAATTCATTCATTATACATAAACCTGAATCTCCAACAAAGATCATCACAATCGGAAATCAAATCACCCCACTATCTGATAGACAACCAATTCTGCCATAGTTGATAGATCTATAGACTACAGTTTACCACTCTCAAGAGCTAGGCAATTAAAAAAGGCAATAAAGAGTAATATTCCACAGTTGATACCCATCTCACATGGTAAAATTACTTTACCAGCCTTCCGATCTTGATCGAGACAGAATGTTGCAAGCAAAAAGCCAGCACTCCAGTCAATATTTACGAGTCACAGGAGGAGCTGAACTGCTCATGGACCTTCTGGTCCTGTCCCGGTAATAGCATAGACAAATCACTGATTTCCAATTGGGAACACCAATGATAAGGTGACTCTCGATTTTGTGTGCCAATTGAGCAGGAAGAGATACGAGAAAAGAACAAATCAATCACAAGCACCTCGCCTACAAGCTATAAAATCAGAGGAGTGTGTGGGGGAATCTAGCGAAAGAGCCTGGGTACTGTTCTCTTGGGAACTTTGCCTTCGAGCTTCAGTCTTCTATATGCTTCTCTGATGTGGCACGGCCTGATTGGGCCAGATTCCTTCCTCTCACTCATGACAATCCTGGCTGCTACCACATTGTATATCAATCAAGAATCATACGAGGCTACGGTAATTCATATGTACCAAAACATGCTTCCAAAGACAGGAATGATACAAAGCAAACAATTGTAATACCTGTTTCCACAATTTCTCCAACAAACATCTTTGCAATGCCCGACATCACAATTGTCATAGGCATTGAAATTTTCTGACTTCCCGTAATGCTGCACAGCAGCTGCATGCCAAAAAAAGAGCAAAATGCCGATGATTCATCTCTTTGGGTTCTATTTCTAATTTACAAGCAAAAGAGTGCACATTAAACAAGCTGCATGAATTACTATAACACTCCCCCCAAGAAAAATTCTTTTAAGCAAAACTCCCTTCAACAAGATCGAGTGGTGTCAAGAGACCAAATATTGTACAGCACTGCCAGATTTGGATTTATTTTTCCAGCAAGATTATGCTTTTGAGTATCATGATATCAAAAATGGTATAAGACAAATGTCCTGAAGAGTAGTAGAAGCTCTTCATTTAACTTACAATTTTACACTATCTAAGCCAATCTGCAGTGATAAAGAGAGGGCAAAAATAAATTGTTTGCAAAAACAGTTGAAGTGAAAGAAGCTAAAAAACACAGGCAAAAATCACATAAAGCGCGCGTAGAAACTATACTCTTTTCATTGTAGCCTTCTGGAATCCTGATCTCCGAAAAGACTCGTATCTGTTCATCTGTTCCTCCGTGAATCGTGACAAAATAGCCCTGAGAAAGAGAGAAGCGATAGTCAATGAGCTACAGAGGTAACAGTAACTTAATAAGCTACTGGAGTATCAAGTCAGGAGACAACAAACATTCAAGTTACATTCTGCCAAAACTGCATGGAGAATAATTCCTATTAATCCTATTTAGGAGCTCTCAAAGAATGAATTTTATCTTCTTAGTCTGGTGATAGAATTAAGATTAATACAACAAGTATATACACTAATGTTTGAGATTGGTATGAGGAAAACAGATTTTCTATACTTCATCAATAGTGAGGCAAAACACTACATGCAAGAGTCACTCACATAGGATTCCATCGCAAACTTACATTTGAATTATGGTCAATTCATAAGGACAAAAATACAGTTAACGCACAAAAATTATCCTCATCAATGGTGATGATCCTTGAGCCAGCAAGTGTTACATGAATATTAGCATCACAGTGCAAACCAGTTGGACCAACTTCTGATGACTTGGAATTCTATGTTCCGCATATCTGTATCAGTAACTTCAGTAACAGATATCTAACTTGGCTCGTTCCTATCTCTTCAAAGCAATTATAATCTAAAGCCAAAAACGCGAACCCTTTTGGCTTGTTGTCAAATAAAATGTTCAACAATATGCTTGTCACAAAGAGTGCCCATCTCTCTCTCTCTGATGGACATCAAACAGCTTCAGCCGAAACAAAAACTTCTGGCTTCGGTTGCTGCTCCTAATAAATTGGCTTCTGTTCAGGCCACCCAATGGTCAGACCTAAACATGTTTGCTCTGTGGAAAGCAAATGCTCTTGCCGAATGATTTAGAAGAAAGATAATCTGCAGGCTACAGTCTACCACTTGAGGCTTGGGGGTAACAAATGCCTTCAACATATGGCAGGACGAAAGAAACTCATGCTCCAGCCATAGTGCCCACAATTCCAGAAGCTGATACGATAATTGTTCCACGCCATATGCACAATTATTCAAGCATGTTCAAGATATGAATTCCAAATAACACCGTTCCCTGTCAGTTTAACCAGTTTGCACCCGATGTAAAAAAACATCCATAAGCTAGAAATTCGTCCGACAAGATTCAAAACAATCTCTCCCACGAAGATTTTCTTTATGTCCTTCGAGACTAATACCCAATATCACCTCACCCACAATAATCCAACATGACCCTCGTAAGGTCAGAGATGAATTCAGGAAAGTGGGCACGTTTTCCTACTCAAGCAGGCAGAGAATGACTTTGCAACCCAAAAAACGAGCTCACATTTTCTTCCCCCGAGGAGAAATTTATAGCATCCGGAGAAACAATATAACTCTACGACCATAGGCAGCAGGCACCAGGAAAACCCAAAAGCAGGACCCGGAAGAACGAAGCTGGGAGAGAAACTCACTGCATCTTGCCCATCTTGGCGGGATCGCCGCCGGGAGCGAGCTTCCCGAGCTCGACCTCCATGTTCTCATCCTCCTCCTCCTCCTCCTCCTCCCGGTTGTTCTTGGCGGCGCCACTCGCCGGGGCCGGCCCCCCGCGCCGCCGCCGCCGGAGGAGCTCGGGGGCCGCGGACGTGGAGGGCACGTCGAGGAGGAGGTCGTCGTCGTCGTCGCCTTCGCCGTCGCCGTGGCCGGCCGCGGCGGCGGCGGCGGCGGAGGGGTCGGGATCGTCGGGCGGGGCGGCGGGGGACTGGGGCGGCGACTCTTCCTGCTCCTCGAAGGCTGCTTCGAACGGGTCCTTGAACTGCTTCATCGCCTCGTGCTCGCTCGCGCGTGCGGTCGGGGAAGGAAGCGATTCGCCTCGCGATCCCGTGGAGATGTTAATGGCGATAGTTTCCGTCTTTTTTTTTTTTCCAAATAAGGATAATTACGCAAATACTTTACCTTTATTCCAATTATATCCAAACTTTTTTATCTTATAAAAAGCGCCAAACTTTTACTTTTGTCAAAATCTACCCAATTCACTTTTCGTCCAATCTTTTAATATTATTTTTTATTTTTTCGAATTTTTTTTATTTTTTCTTTTCTTTTCTTTTTCCTTTCCTTTTCTTTTTTTTTCACCTTCTTGGCCGCGTCCGGCGTGACGCCGCAGAGGCGGGCGAGGCTCGGCCTCGCCGGCGTTAAGGCGAGCGAGGCCTCGCCCAAAGGTAAAACAAAAAAAAAAAGAAAAGGAAAGGAAAAAAAAAAGAAAAAAAAATTTCGAAAAAATAATATTAAAAAATTAAACGAAAAGTGAATTGGGTAGATTTGGGATAAAAGTAAAAGTTTGAGGTTTTTTATAAGACAAAAAAAAGTTTGGGATATAATTGGGACAAAGAGAAAAGTTGAGGGTTTTTTAGGGAATTGGGCCAGATGTTAATAACGATAGTTTCCGTCTTTTTTTTTTTTTCCAAATAAGGATAATTACGCAAATAATCTTTTAAGTTTTTATCTTCTCGTATAATATCGACTCTGAATTTTTAATTTATTTAGTACATGTTATTTTCTGAATTTGAATTAACGGAATGACAACATTGATCATTTTTATATAGTTCAGGGACTAGATTAAACACGTATTGAAAATTTATGCATCATATTGAATAAATTAGATGCTTAAAAATGATATTATACGTTAGAAAGAGCGAAAGGCGATTTAATTCTGACTTAATTTAGATAGTACGAGGCTGGGGGCGAATATGAAATTTCGAAAAGGAAAGAAAAAACATTAAAAGGATGATTTAAGTGAGTGATGCATGTCCCCGTCAAAACCCTTCTTTGGTAAATCTTTATGGATAGTTAATTATCGATTGATTGGACACGATCGTTCCATCCAATCGAAAGCTACACCAATTAAACACGAGCCAAGTATGTAAAATTGGATATTATATCTCTGTTAACTATGTCCAACGAACCAATACGATTTTATATAGAAATGACCAAAGACGAGCTTCCGACAAAATAATTCAAACCAATGTCACGGTTTGATTTGCATCTGGTAAATCCGAGTAATTTCGATTTGAACATAAATTAGAATAAATTCGGAACATAACAAATTCGACATCGGGTCAGAGCCATGTTTTTACACATCATAGTACGCTATACAGGGTATTTATACGTGATCTCGGATATATATGTTAATCGAAGGTAGGCTTTGGCCAGGACCGATGTACATCGCCTTAATCAGGCTTGGCTTCTCATTTTAATTGGATTGATAGCACCTCATCTTGCCAAAACCAGAACAGCTTGGATGGGTGAAGATTTGAGGGACAAATTTGCTTCAGTGATACGGCAAACGGTTTGAGTTTGGACCTGTAGAAATGGAAACTTGCAATCACACGAAACAGAGGGACAACTTGACGTGCTCCAGGAGTTACCATTTGCAAACAGAGCCCCCGTGGATGTTCCGCCGTGTATCTGTAACAAATGCCCCTTAGGATCATAACCTTGTGCGACCCCGACGACAAAAATCACGGTCGCCATCCTAACAGATGAGGTGGGATCCAATTAAAACATCACATTTCAACCCAAAATGTCAAATGCAGCCATGGCATGCCTCAAACTAACCCGAGCTCTCATGATTCCACCCCAAACAACGAGGCCACCAGGTCTAATGCCTTCAAAGGCGTCTGCACTATCTTCTTCGGAAAGAGACTCACAACAGCAAACGCGGGTGGGCACAACATTCAAGCACTAAAAGCAGAACTATATTGCATGTAAGTTGCGTGCGAAAGCAGCAAGCGGCAGAGCATCCTCCATGGATTTTGTTATCAGGAACCCCTATGTACAGGGGAGAACTGCAGGCTTATTTACAAAATACACAGACCTCAGAGCATTCTATACAATTGCAACTCCTTGAAAAACCAACCTTCCTAAAATCACTAGAAGCGCATGTCAACCGGAAGAGGGAAGGAAAAAAAAACAGAGCTGATGTTCCTACTGTAAATAGAAACTACTGTAGCCAGCTTTGCTTCCCTTCCCAAAAAATTGAGGGGTGACCAGTTATGATTGGGTGACACTATTCCAGGAGGTCTCGAAATCAAATAAGAGCATACCAGCATCTACGGCTGCAGGCACGGGGGGAAAATTATTCTCCGGGGGCGGGTTCTCCAACCACCAATTCTCAAAGTCGACACCTGTTGCGCTCATGTCAAAACTTCCAGCGACCGCGGTATTAAAATCTCTTCCAGGCTGTTCCTCATGTGTGGGCTCTGTAGATGGAACGTGAATGCTCTCAACTGCAGGTGGAGCAGAAGGCTTGTCATCTGCTTGAAGGAACTCGTTAATCCAACTGAGGCTATCTGAGAAACTTGGAAATGCGCTAGGTAGGCTGTGATGCTGATGGATGTTTTGCCCACTGAGTGATTGATTACTACCCTGACCATCACTGCTGACTTGAGAAGGTGTCATACTTGAAGAAACACCAATTAAGTTGGGCGAACAGCTGCCCAAATTAGTAGGAGATACTACATTCAAACTGGAAGGAATATTCTGCCTTCTGATATGATTTCGATTAACTATGGTGTTGTGTATTGAATTTGTTGAAGTCGGTAAATAAGGCGTGCAATTGATGTTGTTTGGACCACATGCAGCTCTGCTTACTGCCAGAGGACTACCAACAGGCCCTGTCCTTTTATGTTGCGTAATGGGTGGAACATGACGAGGCCCCAAGTAATTATCTCTTTGACCTCTATCCTTCTGAATGACATGATGTACCTGATGCAACTGTTCTGACGATGAGAGTGGCTGGAATCTGCTTCTCGAGATATGCCCCGGATAGTGCCTCCTGCCACTTTGTATATTACTTGAAAAACTTGATCTGGTTGGGGAAGAACATGGCTTAAAACTCATTGGCCTTGATAGTAAATTTTGTGGTATAGAGTTGGTTGGCGGTTGGCTGTTTATAGGAGGCAGGGCTTGAGTAGGTTGTGGAAGCACCGTAGAGACAGGGTGAGGTAGAAAACTCGAAACAGGCATAGGAGTACTTTTACCCAGCATAAAGTTCTTTCTACAGACTTTCCATTTCTCCTGTTTGTCATTGGCATGACAATGGTCAACATCCGTCAAACCTTTTCCCCAGTAAGCGCATGGTGCAGGTGAATCGCATACGTAACAATGGCACTGCATTATGCAATGCAATACTGTCAGTCACAACGAAATGAATTAGCAAATGATATATGATAACTTGAGAGGGGCTATGAAAATGGTATCTGACCAAGTTACAGTGCTTCTCATGCAAGGTTGAGCCGAAAGGAAATATAACGCAGTCATGCCTTGGATGAGGATAGTCTCTACATGCAACCTGCAACGAAAATACATTTACAGAGTTAATTCAGTAAAAAGGCATGCAAATCTGTCCACTTGAAGCAGTATGAGCTGGCATAGTCGCCCGAGTAAAAGGAACGATATCTAATGCATTACAATGTAAAAGGATTAAATATATAATGTGAATCAAACTCAACTACTAACCCGTAAACCTATAAATGGTACCCTAGACTACTCAATAGAGCTTTTCCTCAGTATCAGTCACGATAGAAGCCCATCGATACCCCAGTCATATTCCATCCGTAAGTAAAGCACTTCATAACTTGCTCGGTGAAGCTCGACAACAACACAATAAAGGCCAGTCATGGAATACATGCTTGGTGAGGAAACTCCAACCACCGACCTGCTCTCAGCTGTTTCTAATATGATTCTCCACCCAATCAGTGGAAGAGGAGAAACATAAATAAATAGCCAAATAATCATCAAAACCGCTTATTCTACTTCTCATTATGAGCCGGCAGTCATGGTCTCTGCTCCCTCATAGGGGAATAACTACATGCACAAGAATATATTGAACTGCACAGTCACAAACTTAATGCCATCTCTACTTCTGCATTGAGCAAACAATCCTTCCCTTGAGATACTTGATTTTTAGGAAGATCATCATTGTTGCTTCGGCTCTCATCTATTAATACAATCATATAGATATTTTGTAGTAATACGTTCAGCATTTTGCAATCCCCATTCCGCCACCATCAGGCATCGGAGAAAAAACTCCCGACTCATGATCCACATCCAGTACCAGAAGAACAGTTAAATGCTTGCCAATCTACCCAAACTGACGCTACAGTAATTCACAAACTAATGTTGCGTGTCCCCAACAATCATACTTGATTATGTAGCAGTGAATGAAGAGGTATATGCAGCAATAAATAGAGGCAGCGCAAGACAATATTAACATATGTGCACAGCCAAGCCACCTATAATACTTCTTTAAGTAGCTCCACTAAAACAGAGAAAAGCTAGGAAGCAGAATCTTCGAAGGCCTCCTTCGATAGTACTCACACAAAAACTCAATCTCCACGTATTTGACACAATCACGTCATCCAAATTCAGAAGTAGCATTGTGCTCTCTAGCCAACCCCTGATCATGCCCAACTTAATTCATGCATGTTAGCAAGAAACCCATGAGATCAAGTAGAATTTCTGTAAAGAGAACTTCTAAACCTCAATCCTGGTAAATAAGCCAGTCCACTCCGATGACTCATGGTAAAACTACACAAGAAGACAAAGGGTCCATTTGGTCCACAGGAATTTTCGGAAATGTTGATCTCCATTATCAATTCGTATTTTGAGGCTATAGCCTTCCGTTAATCATTGCTCCAAATCTGATCGAAACTATACCCTTGAACAAAGCCAAAATTTGAATTTTTTGCAGTCCTTTTGCACTTCTACGTCATAAAAATTCTCAAAAGTGTTCTGAAATTCACCAATCCTACTAATCAAACCAAATCTCTTCTTTTTTCCTTTACTGTAAGTCACTTCTATACTTAATCTTACCCAAGCTGATGTCTTTCGCATCATCTGTCAAAAAGATGATGAATTCCAGAAACTTGGGTTGTGGCTTGCACAATCATGTTTTAGTAGCATGCACTAACAAGGTTGTTTTCTCAATTCTAGCTTATTTTAATCGCGCTAAACATTGTCCCGCAAAACATAAGCAAAATAAACACATCATGCCGCTTCTCAGTCATGCCCTTGTCATATTACCCTAATCTGTGCATCTAACCATTGCTTAGCCATAAACCATAATCACATTCATCATTTCGATAATCATTTGAATAAACAAACGTACACACTAAATGACTGCATACCTGCCCCTTTTCTCCAACAATGAGCAGATCATCCGAACCTCCGTCCACCGCATCATCAGGAGCAGAAACCGCCTTCTCGGGATCTCCATCCAGCACCACGCAATCATCGTCATCGTCGTCGTCATCCGCCACCAGCTTGTTCGGCTTTGACTTTGCATTGACCTCCTTCACCACGACCACTTCATCCAAATCGCCGGTTATCAGATCATCTACTCCAAGGAGCTCGGAGACCCAATCGTAGCTCTCACTGCCACCGCCCTTCGGCGCGTCCGGGACCAGCCCCTCCTCGTCGGAGCTGATATCAAGCACGACGTGACCCCCGCTCGGGTCCATTCCGAAGGGGGCAGAACACAAATCAGCAGGCTCTCGACAAATTCACCCCGAAAACGTACCCACTTACCTGCATGGGTTTCGAATTCCCCCCCACCCACGAGTAAAGGGCACGCGAAAAACCCGCTACCGAGGGAGGGGAAAAACCTAGGGTTTGGAGGAATCAGAGACGTGGGTCTTCATCCAAACAAGCGAAGGAGCGAACCCAGAACCGCGAGCTCATCACGGGTCCGCGAAGGACAGAGCGCCAGAGATTTCCAAGAAGAGGGGTGCTCGCGAGCGGCGAATTGCCCGGGTGGCCCTTTTCGAGGAGGGAGCGACCCACCGGGGCAGAGGCCGTCGAGGGACGACGCGGTCGCGATTCCGAAGGGACGAAGGGGAGGAGGAGGAGGAGAGAGATCTCGGGCCGCGTCGCCCGGCGGCGAATTTGCAGCGGCGGAGGAGACAAAAAGGAGCGAACTTGGAAGAGAGGCAAAGGGACATGCGCAGACACAGAGAGAGATAAAGAGAGAGGGACTGAGGTTTTGGGCGAGTGTGGAGAGGAGGGGGGTGAGGACAAACGAAAGAGACGGGAAAAGTTTGCGAAATGTAAACCTCGTCGGGCCAGTACCGTCGCGGCCGACACATTCCTGGTACCCGAACAGGTTCGTCCGGTACGAGAAAAGTATTTTCATGAGATGGGCTCGTCGCGTGCGGTGTGCCGACGGACAAAATGATACGGTGTGATCGATCGATGACTATCGCCCGGGTGCTGTAGATCGCATTCTATTTTTGAGCATTTCCGATATCTTTCGATCACTCGGTTGCAGCACGTGTCGCTTTTTATTGGCGCCTTACCCTTTATGCGTATGTCTCGCTTTTAATTGACCGGGTACATCACGTTTGTACGGTACAAGAGCATAAAGTACATCACGGTACTGCATTGGGAAAGTTGAACCAATTCGTCGGCCTTCCCCTCTTTGGATCACAGGGAAAATGACACAAATGATTCCTGAAGTTTGATCTAACGTGTACGGGGAAGGCCCATGTGACGTAGATCGCATTCTATTTTCGAGCTTGTACGTTATCATCGATTGCTCGGTTGCAGCACGTGTCGCTTTTATTGGCACCTTACCTTTATGCATATGTCTTGCTTTTAATTGATCGGGCACATCACTTGTACAGTGCAAGAGCATGAAATAACTTGTGGTATTGCGTTGGGAAAGTTGAACCAATTCGTCGGCCTTTTCCTATTTGGAAGACACAAATGGTCCTTGAATTTTGACCCAACATGCAATGTGGTTCATCAATTTTTAATTTATTCAATGTGGTTTCGGAACTTTAACCAAATGCGCAATATCGTCTATGATGTTTTAATTTGTTCAATGTGATCCCTGAACTTTTGGTAAATGTTCAAACTAGTCGATAGACTATATGACAATGTTTAATAATGTCCTTGAACTTAAGTTAATGGAAGGATAATAGAAAAAAAAAATTTAGACCAATGACTAATTTGAACATTAACTAAAAATTTAGGGATGATATTGCACACTGAGCTAAAGTTTCGAGATCATATTAAATAAATTAAAAGTTTGGAGATCACAATGCATATTGAGCTAAAGTTCATTATCCCCTTGAACATACTCAAGAGCTTCATGGGGAATCGCTCTATTCTCGTCCATCATACCATGTTGTGTTTTAGCTCGGGTATCTGGTCGTTCGAGTGATGTATGCATTTTTTCGCAACACCACGACTGATTTCGGCCTATTATGGCCACTGTCGAGAAAAGCACATTAAGTTAATGATTGAATTGATGCCTAGGTGGCCAATCCCGTCTTTAAGATCTCCAAAAGAAGGTGAATACGAAATTTTGAACTTTTAGCGCAGAAAGCTCGCAAGTTACTCCCACGACCTAACCCGAAAGGGCCCCCCCACTCTTTACCTCACATGGCCCCGGGTATTCAAATCGCTTCCTTTGCGTACGACCACTCTCCAACGGCATTATGTAAAATGGCAAATGCTTTTGCTCAAACAAAACTAGATATCCACACTCGATTGGTTGGTTACCCCCGTCCCAACAAATTCCATCAACCTCCAACCACATCTAACCTCTCGACCAAGTGTGACATCTAAAACCATTGCACCCCCTCGAGTAATATAGAGATGGAATTCCCAATTCAAATCTCAAGAAACTCATCCTTCCGACTCTGCAACTCATATTGGTTATATGGTATCGGAGCTTCCAAAATAGTCAAGCCACCACTCAAGTTGCTGTCTTGTCTGCCAAAAGCCTGAGCCTAATCGCCATCCACGCATTCGCACAACTCCTCGTCAAGCTCTTGCTATCCAACTACACTCCATGGCGTGCCTACTTCATGTCCTTGCTCTTGGGGATGATGTTTCGGGTTACATCGACGGCTCCTTCCCACAACCAAGCAAAATCGCCACGATACTGATGGGAAAGTTATCGATCCCGACCCGACATATGTTCTTTGGAACCGCCAAGACTTGCTTCTCTGACACCAAAATCCTGCTTATCTCCGATGCGGCAACCTCATAGGAAGCCCGACACATTCTCAGGAATCCGTGTGCCAATTGTTTCCATGCTCGGGCAATGACTCTCAGAGAACAACTATAACTATTCACTTGTGGCTTGAAATCTGCTTCCGAATTTCTTCACGGCCTCATATCGATTGCTAATGAGGTCACCCTTATTGACAGGCCGGTGTCTATTGAGGATCTCACATTGCAAGTCCTCAATGGTTTCGAATACATCCATTTGGACCTGCAATACGTCTCTGACCAGTTCCATTATAAATCAGTTGCTTACAAAGAATATTTCAAGCATGGGAACGCCACCACCGATCTCCACGTTGCGACCCCCAATTTTAAGCGAAGGTCCTCCCATTCTATTAAGTGGTCAAACTCCACCAAGCAGTCACCTCGCAACTAGCGACCGCAACAACAAGTTCCTCACTCAAATCAACGATCTATCATCATGACAATGTCTCGAATAAAAACCGCACCCACAATCGCTTCCCACATACTTTTCTTGTCTGTCAACTCTATGACCAGCAAGGTCACATGAATAAAACGTGGAAACGCTTTTTGCCAACCCCACGGAGATCCTAAAGTTCACTATGCAACCTCCATTGCTCCCATCAACAAGAATTGGTCCCTAATTTCGGGGCCTCTGATCCTGTTGTTACTGACCTAAGCAACCTCTTGTTGCATTTTGAATGCGATGGTCTGGAAGAAGTCGTCATTGGCGATGGTAAAGATTTGCGAATCACAAAAATGGGATCCACGCACCTCCACACCCCCCTCATCGTTTTTTACACTAGGCAATGTTCTTTGTGTTCCTACTTTCACAAAAAATCTCATCTCTTGTTTCTAAATTTTGTAATCTTAACAATGCGCTAATTGAATTTCCTCCTTTTCACTTTGTTATTAAGTATCGACGCATGAGGACGAATTCCATTGCAGGGGCCAAGCCACAATGATGTTTATCAACTTCGCTCGACCAAACTACAATCGCCTCCTACCCCTGACGCCTTCATGGTTGGACGAGCTCCTATGGTGAATTGGTATTCTCGATTAGGCCACTCGTCTCGTCAAATTTTATAACATATTTTACCTTTTTTCATCGAGTCGAGTTTTTTTACATGTGTGTCGTGTCAATGTAACAGAAGTCATTGTCTTCCCTTCAATGTTTCAAGTCTAGTCAGTTGTCGACCCTTGGACATGCTGTACATTGATGTTGAAGGCCCTACTCTTGTCCCATCCATTGAGGGTTATCAATTTGTTTGCACCAAAAAATGACCGAATTGTTAATATGGACAGACACGTGATAAAAACGTAAATATTATCAAGTACATGACCCATTATTGACAATCACGGGGTCGATATCAATATTGGCACAAATTGGTGATTACTACCGATCTGTTGTCGATGTAGGACAACGTACGGTTGACGATGATCAACAAAGGAATCGATTAATGAGATTCGTGAGCTATCAAGACGTCAAGAGTAAGTTGAACACGCAAAGGACATCAAGCTGCAATTACAAGTTTGAAATCGCCGGAGAATCGAGTAACGGAGGTCAAAAGCAATTGGTATTCGATTTTAAAGGAATAACCGTCTGAAGACAAGAAGATAGCATCATGAGAATATGAGCGCTAAACCGTTGGAAATGGAGAAACATGAAGGCACTACCACTATAAATACCACCAATGGTTTACTGGAGACCCTCTACTCAAATCAAACAAAAATGCAATCTTTTAATTATTTTTACTTTTCTACACTGTACTTTTAGTTTTCAGATTTGCATCGTTAATTAAATTCCAGTGTGTTTCTTAGCTGTGGTTTTTAGATTTGCGTCGTCGATTAAATTCCGATGTGTATATTTATCCTAAGCATTGCGTCGTCGACTAAATTACGGCGTACCATCTTCACGTTCTTAAGCTTTGTCGTCGATTAAATTCCGGCAGAATTTGTTTACGGACGGTTTCGTTGTAATAGCTATACTTCCCTAGCAGAATTTATGCTTGTATAGTTCTATTTAAAGTAAAGCTGTTGATTTCTTCATTTACTCGTTATATTTCTTGTCTAGAGTCACCGCATAATTCGTCTCCTTTAATTAAAAATCGAAAAACAACTTCCGGCAAAAAGATATTTTGTCGCGGGAGAGATTTCGGCGAAACACAATTTTATGTTATTTCGATTGATAATTTCATAAAAAATATACTTGGTTGTATCCACTTCAACAAAAATCGATGTCCATATCGTGTTTGTCAAATTCAAATTGGTCGTTGAAAAACTATTTAGTCAAAAAATTATCGCGGTTTATTCCAATGGTGGAGGCGAATTCACCAAAATTGATCCTTTTTTTCTCCTATCACGGCCCATCTCATTACACCTCCTTATACTCCTCGACATAGTGCATTCACTAAACACCGTCATCTACACATCGTTGAAACCAACCTCATCCTTCTCTCTCACGCTTCCGTCCTATTAAGGTTTTGGTCGCATGCCTTTCTCATTGCCACATATTTCATAAGTCGACTCTTCACACCAATTTTAGATTTTCGTTCTCCTTTCGAGATACTCTTTCATCGAACTCCTGGTAAACATAAACTTAGGGTCTTCGGGTCTTTATGTTTTCCAAGGTTGAAACCTTATGCTCGACATAAGCTTGCCCTAAAGTCTCGTTCTTGCATGTGTTTTTTGGGTATTCAACTCGATATAATGCTTATAAGTGTTTTGACCCGACTTTAAAAATAATATTTTTTTTCAAGGGATGTCGTTTTCGATTCCATAAAGAGTCACAAAAGAGAAGGACGTCAAGTTGATGGTCTTCACCTAATTTTAATGTTTTTTCTGCCATGGATATGTTTTCCAAAATGCCCAATTCACTCAAGCTGCAAGATCTTATTCCGTACAAAACATGGTATAAAAACATAGAACTTGTACATCTCTACATAATAAGTCTAATCAAATTAGTCCCCATGTAATTTAATCCTAAGTATTTGGTAATAAATAATATTTTTTTCCTCGTGAATTGATGCCTTTAGCCGCATTTTCAGGCGTTGAAAAGAGACTCCCAAATCTTTCAACGAAAGCTGCTGAGGTCGAGCCTCGCTTCACACCATCTCCACGTGCGGCCCGCAAAAGATTTGCCGTAAGCCATGCTGATTTTAGGGCTTAATTAATCTTTAATTTCTTGGATTCTATTTGCATGGAGAAAACAAAATTTAATCTTAAATGCGACGGTCCGATCCAGTCCGATCCATATCTATAATCATGGGATAAGTGCACTAGAAATACTAAAACTTATCGCGAAAGTATAATTGAGTCCTAAAATTTTCAAAATGAATCAAGTCCTAAAGCTTGTCCCGAAAGTGCAGTCGAGTCCTGAAACTTTCAAAAAGTATAACCAAATCTTAAAACTTATCACGAAAGTGTAATCAAGTATTGAAACTCTCAAGAAGTCGATCAACGAAATGGCTTAATTTGACAGACAAATTTTAAGATTCGATTACACTTTTTGAACGTTTTAGGACTCAACTGCACTTTCGTGACAAGTTATGACTTAATTGCACATTTAAAAGTTTTATGACTTAATTACACTTTTATTATAAATTCTAGGATTTTTAATGCACTTATCTCCATATTTATTAGAGGGGCGTGCAAAACGAGTCGCCCGAATCGGGAACTACCTGGACTAGAATGAACCGACCGATTAAGTCCGGTTCCCGGGAGTATCGGTCCTGTTCCCGGTTCCTATAAGTGAAACCGGTGTCCAAGCGATCCAATTCCCGGTTTCAAGGGGTAACCGCATCGATTAGTCCGGACTGACTACATATACGATTTTTATTTATTCCAAAAAATAGTAAAATTTGAACTAAACCCATGTATAATCATTTCCCCTTATTGTTGCACCATAATAAGTTATCACTTATCGTTAATATATTGAGATTTGTCAATTTTTTCTTGATGCGGCAGGAAAAAACTGTCCCATTGGACCGGACCGGATTCGGTCACCCTGGTATAACTGGAACTGATGGGACACGTGGCGCGCGATTAAGCCCACAGAAAGTTCCGCGCTGTTTTACACGAAAAGTGATCGGATCATGTTGACTACCGATCGTGATCGGATGGTGCCCTTCCCGTTTTCAAAGTCAAACTTGCACTTTCTCGTTATCTGCAAGGCACCCAAAAAAAAAAGAAAGAGAGGAAACTATCACCACAATTAATTCCTTTTCAACAATTAAAAATACCTACCAAAAAAATAATTAAAAATAATTAGTGAAAAGGGGCAAAAAAAAAGCTAATAAAAACTGCCGCGGGGGTTAAAAATCAAATTAAATTGTATACAATAAATAAACAATATTTTAATTTCCAATTGATAATATTAATGTCGTTTTCCAGCGATGACGAAGCAAATTCAAACTTGCACTTTCTCATGCAAGGCACGGAAAAAGAAGGAGGAGGAGGAAAACTATCGCTCTAATTAATCCCTATTCAATAACTAAAAATAATCAGTGAAAAGGGGCAAAAAGAAGCTGCTTAAAACTGCAACGGCCGGGGTTAAAATCAAATCAATTGTATATATTAAATCATGAAAATTTCGTAATTAGTTTCGACTCATACGCAATCGAAAATTCACAGTTTACATTTCGTCGGAATTTAAAGTATTATTTAAATTAGCGAGAATTATTGAAAAGGAGAATTTATGAATCATTATCACCTTCCCAAGCTCCAAACCTTCGTCATAATGCTTGTAATTTGTCATGGAGTGCACAAACTGCAAAAGACAACCTTCTTCTTTTAGCAGAACGAGAAACTCTCTTTTCTATCGACATTACTGAAGCGAAGCGGGGTTGACGTTCGCAGGTATCGAATCGTTCGTTTCGCGCGATTTCGATCGTTGTTCCTCTGGCATTTCCGTCGCTGGTAATCGCAGCGAGATCGCGTCGTATCGTTATCGTATCGTCCAAACTTCATTTTGCATTTACTCTCTCTCGCTCGCTCGCTTGCCGATTTCCTCCCCGTACCCGGCGTCGGTTTTCCCGTCCGTTGACGTTCCCGTCGGACTTCCGGGATCCCCGGGAAATCCTTCGCGTTCCGGTGCGGTTGTTCGGAATTGAATGTCGTGATTTTCTCGCCCGCCCGTTTGCGATCTCCCAACCGCATTGATTCCCGTCATCATTGCTCGAATTTCGCGCTTTCTGAATCGGGGAAAATGGTGGTCGTGAGCAGGAGGCGGCTGTGCACGATTCGGACGCAACGCGGCGGCGGCGGCGGCTGAACGCGACCGATGGTTCGAGCTTGCTGTGCGATTCCTGTCGTTTCTGGTGTCGTGGTTGCGGCGCGAGAGGGAAAAAGGAATGTCCTTTTTTTTTTTTTGAAGGAGTGACGGTGTTCGCTCGGAGGGTTTCGGTTTGAGAGCGGTGGGTTCGGCGGAAGCGAACGAGCGAGGGGCGGTTTGATGCGCTTTTAAGGGGATTGGTCGGCGAGATGATAGTTTCCGGGGAGTGATCTCGTTGCTCTCGTTAAATTTGAAAAATGGAAGCGAAGGAAGATGGCGAAGCGCAGGAGGAGCGGTCTTCGTCGCCGTATTACGTTCTGCAGCACTTCTCCGAGGAGGCGATTCGAGTGGCCAACGAGGCGATTCACAGCGTTTACACGGGCGGCGGTTCGGGTGTCCAGCCGGGGCACAGGCGCAGCCGGAGCGATGTGATGCACAGGAGGAGCAATAATCTGCAGAAATGGAAGGCTCAGATGCAGAAGGCTTGGCGATGGGGGAGTAGCTCGGACGAGCAACGCCTTCGGTCCAGCTTTAACCCTGAGGTGCTGGCGAACCAGAAGCGGCAGTGGTATCAGCTCCACGCGAGACCTCTGGTACCTTATCTTTTCCTTCTGCCTTTCTCCTTCCTTCTTTTGAACCTGTTCGCTTTGACTGCCTTGCTCAGACTTCCGTGAGTTATGAATGTGATAGAAACAGATTGACATTCGGCAGTTCTCGTTTTCTAATCAGTTAGATAATGCTGCGGAATTCGCCTTGTTGCCAACGAATGAGATGTTCTTGCTAATTTATTGACCTACTTGCTCAAATGGTACACAAGCAATTTTCATCAATTAAACAGAAACCTATCTGGATAGTATTTGGTCAATGTTGTACAAGAGTTAGCGTCTTCACCAGTTCGCTGTTCATGAAGGCTGGACTTTTAGGCTATGTTTGGGAAAAGAAAGAAAAGAGAGGTAATGAAAATTTGGGTGCAAAATGGGAAGAAGTCTGTTGTGAGAGACTTGTGGAGGGAAAATTTAAATTTTCTGATGCTTTCTCTCCAAATTCCATCTTCTTGGTGCTCCCCAACATAATGTTAGTTAGCTAATTAATGGATGACTGATGACGTTTGGTCATATGTTACCCTTGTATTGCTGAATAACCAAATCAAAACAAAAGGAAATTCACAAAGTGTTGATTTTGATTCTTTTTCCCCCCGTCATTAGAATTTATGCATCGGGAGAAGATTGTACGGGGCGAATTTTAATACATTCAACATTTCTGATTCTGGAATGGATATACAGATTCACTTCGTACTTCTAAAAGGACTTCTCTTCCTTTGAATATTAACAATCTTGTCTCGACTTTTAAGGATCACATTGTCAAGAGTTCTGCAGTAAACCCTTCTATGACAAGAAACTTGATTGAGATCAAGTACGGTCAGGAAACATTATTGTTCATAGAGAAAAAAACACAATCTTAAATTGGTAATCAATCTCTTTTTTTACGCTGTTACTAAGAATCCATCATTCCTGTATATTACATGAGTCATGTCTGCTTGAAGCTCGCCTTTTTTTTGTGGTCCTTGAAAGAGTCTCTTTGTGAAGAGAAAGAATCTTTGTTTTTAATAGAGGTAATAACCATACATTTCTAAGACGAATGAAGTTCTTTTACCTCTTGTGGTTTTAGACAATATCATTATGTAGTGTCTCTCTCATCATCTACATCATTTCATTAGTGTTTAGTTGGCTCTGTTCCGTCCTTATTTCACATAATGTGCATTCCCGCCTCATTTGAGTTGGCTCTCTTCCGTCAGTGCCCCAGAATTCGTGAAGGTCAATGGCTATGCACTGTCTAAGCTTTCTTTTCATTTCAGTAATTCGAAGTTGTTCTTGTAGGACAACGATACTTATGTGCCGCCAACCTCCCTCTTTGAACATTTCATCATTGCTGGTCTTCATTCAGATGCTAACTTGGAAGTTGTGGAGGATGCATTTGTCAGGAGGAAAAAATGGGAGTCAGAGATGGCAAAATCTGAATTAATAGACTCAAAATTGTTGCAGAATCGAGGGCCTTCTTTCCCAACGTTGGAGCCTCAGGTGAAGTGTAATGCTTAATAGCAAAATCACTGATCTCTCTCTCCCTCCCCCAAAAAGAATTTGGTGGTCGTGGCAGATATCTCTTAAATCTGCCATTGTGCATGCTCTAACCTTTTAGTATGCTATATGACTGATGATATGGTTTTTAGTTTGCCATCGTGGGTCTGGATATGTGGCTCTTCTTTGAAGCCTGCGGGGCATATATGTTTTTTTTTTTGGTCGGGTGGGCATATTTGTTTTAGCTGGCCCACTAATAGATCGTTTTGCCTGTTACTTGAGCATTTTCTTTTTCAGGAGTCATTTCCTTTGCAGGCAACCTAACGGCAGTCTCTTGTTTTTCCTAAACACAGATACTATTTAAATATCCTCCTGGCAAGAGGTTAGCAATGCGACAGAGGGATTTAGCAGCATTTTGTTTTCCTGGAGGTGTTAAGGTGTGAGACTAAACATCCAAGGGCATTTAATACCTGGATAAATTTTGAAGCTACTCTGCTAGTCATTGCTAAATTCATACATATTGGAGTTTTTTGATATTGTTTAATATTACATACGGAAACTCCCTTTGCATCTTTTGCCATCATTTGTTGAGCTATCTTCTCTTTTGGCAGTCACGACTTTACTACGAACAATTTTGTTGCTTCAATTTTTCCAGGTATCCTGAGATTGCTCCGTGTAGCTACCTCTTGATATGTTTCAAGCAATGCGTTTGACCTACAGAATGAGGTTATTTTATGACAATATTAAGCTTTTTGCCAAATGGGTGTCCAACACGGTATTAAAACTCAGTCAAGGGTTCTAATCCTAGCACTAACTCATCTAATGTTTCTGATTTTCACTGCTATTATTCTGCTCCTTCTCTGCCCTTATCCACATTCTATCTGCACATGAAAGTCATGCTTACACGCGAAAATAAGTTTCAAGTATATTTAAACATACATTATGGGCTCAGATTAAGATTTCGGTTGAATGGTTCACGAACTATACGGATATGATACTTACTGCATTAAATCAGTTGGCACACTATAGCAAGACAGACTAATAGTAAGCTGAAGTGACTAGAACTTGGAAATTGCCAAGGTAAACATCATTCACATGTTGGTTTTGATGAATTAATTCATTCTACCATCAATATTAAGTGTTTGAATGACATGGAGAGAAGTGTTTGATCAAAAGAATTAGCCAAAGGAAGAAGTTTCTTATGGGAGCAGAGTTGTTGCCGAATTGGTCCTGAAAAGAGATCATAGGTTCGTCCGATCACAGATCTTCTAACCATACGGAGGCAAAAGTGATAATACATTGTGTGCTCATACGGAGATACATGGGAGTGAGAAATGGTTAGCTGGTTGGCTAACTCTTTATGGCTACTGACACTGAAAGCTCCACTAGCCCTTCAGATAATTATGAAATATTTAATCTCTCAGAAGTAACGGTTCGTCCTGCGTACGTAACTTCAGACATCCCTCGCGTGCTTTGAAGCTGGTTGATATTGAACTTACATTTGTGAATCAACCCTGACATATCTAATCTTTGCCTTACGTAATGGGTGCAGGCACAAATGCTGGAGAGAACCCCATCTCTAAGTGACCTGAATGAACTTGTTTATGGGCAGGTATATAAGTTTGTTGTATATCCTATTCTCGTAGAAACATAAGTTCGCCCTTCTTGTGAGCCCTAGCCCTATTTAATGAGTCCATAAAGTACGTTTCTTCTCAGTGGCGTAGTGAATATTCTCATTGATGTTCTCTAAGACCATTGAATGTAGAGTATGCTTGAAAAATGTATTGTTAGGACTTTGAAATGAAAAACCTGCTCAAAATGGTGGCCAATATCTGCTCATAATCGATATTTCTTTCTCATCTGCTTTATTCTTCTTGCTTTCATTCATGTATCCTTTTACAGAATAAAGTTGGTGGCAGCTCTTTTTCGGTGACTCTTTCAAATAAAAAAGTTAGAATGGTGTCAGGCAGGGATGAAGTTGGTGGAAACAACATTGACATAATATGCAAACCCACTAAAGAAGTAGTTTTCTTAAATCTCTCCGTCATATTAATTTTATCAATGAGGTACGGGGAGCTCTTTTATTGTAGCCTCTGTAGATGCTTATGTGAAATCCATTTAAGGTTGAGGTGGTAAATGATACGATCGTGACTAAAAGGTAGCGATATGGATTATCGTTAAGGCTAGATCTGAGGAATGGATCAATTTGGGCCTAAGCCAAAATATAGGCCGAACTGTCAAACCTGGAATTGGGCCTAAGAGTTCGCCCAAGCCACTCGAAAAAAAAAAAGTGACACTATTAGAAAATTAGTCGGGCTCATTTGGCTGATAAAGGGAACCATTTTCATTGGCCTAAGGCTTACTTATCCTTTCCATGAAAGGTAGGTTATAGTGGATATATATGTTCTATACAAATTATATTGGTACATGCAACTAACTAGATATGGATACTTACTGTGTAAAAAGGTTGACACTCTGAGATCTGTCATGCAAAATTAAGTTAGCATCTTCTTTAGGTTGCTGCCAGGAAAGCTTGATGTCTCCTAGTATTGGTTATATACATGCTTAATGACATAAATACTCCTTCTGGGCCTTCTTTCCTATACACTTTCATTTTCTATCTTCTTCTTATGATTTGCATTTGCACAATCAGTATAATTTTTCTCCGAAGAGCTCTTTTATTCTTTATATCTCATCTATGGGATGGTCAAGTCTCTTTTTGTTTCATCATTAACTAGTGAATTTGATTTCCGAAGTTCGTCTCTGATAGAGGTATAAAAAGGGTAAAGTGGTCTGTTAGAGGTATAAAAGGTTTAAGTGGTCTTTAGGGCTTATTTTGTTGGGCTTATTTTGTTGCTGATTACTTAATGTATATATGGACTTTTATTGATTAATACAATACAATTTTCTCTTTACATCTTTAGGGCTTTTTTTGTTGGGCTTTTTTTGTTGCTGATTTCTTAATGTATATATAGACTTTTATTGAATAATACAATACAATTTTCCCTTTACAGCCTCCATGTATAATGTGATATTTTATAATTTCTTGAGCTAACAGGAGCATTTGGGCCGGGATGACTTATCATTTCTTTTCTCATTTAAGGTGAGTCTCTTGCTGTTTTCTTTACCCTGTATACTGATTGGGATGCTCAATTTGCTTAAAACTTTGACTAGACTTTGTATGAAGTACAGGGGACTAATGATCTCTTGATGTTAGTGACATTTATTACAGTGGTCTGTTCGTATCATGTTGGTCGTGTGTTTGGTCATTTCATTGTCATGATATGGGAAGAGATCCTAGTAGATTTTTGTATCCTGGCAGATGGTGTCGGTCCATGTTTTCTATTATCAATTTTTTTTTTATTTACCTGTGTTGTGTTATCTGAATTCCTTGAACTACACATGAGCTTAGATCTAGATGTCAATTATGATGGCAATATTTAGCAAAGACTTTTTTCGGAAATTGGAGTAAATTCATTCTCTATATGCCAATGTAGCCAAATTGAAAACCTCTCCTATATAATCTATATAACCAACATCCTTAGATCGTTGTTAGAAACATCTGAGTAGAACTGCTAGCTGTCAACTACTTGCTGCATCCTCTACTCTTTTGTTTGGAGATGAGAATGGCTTAGGCAGAGTTGTGATCAGTTCCTACTTTTTTGGGTGTACATTCCATCGACAAGATGGCGTAAAACAGCTATTGGCTGTTGTTTTATGTCACTGAACATTTGTGCTGTAATTTTGAGCATCATGTAAAGAAAGTGAGATCTCATGGTGGACAGACTCGTGATCACGTTTCATCTATCCTGAGATGCACTTGTTTTCTCCTATTTTCTCGAAACAAAGAGTCTTCTGCCATGTTCTATGTTCTTGTTGTCGATAGTAACATATTCGTACAATTAATCAGTTTCGTTGACAAATCTGTCGGAAGCGCAAGGTTAGTCTGAACTTGCAGGGAGTTTATCTTTTCTTCGTTACTTGTGTTCTCCCATATTCTTGAAGACGAAGAGTTCTGCCATGTTCTATGTTCTTGTTGTCAATTATAACATATTTATACAATTAATTGGTTTTGTTGACGAATCTATCGGAAGCGCCAGGTTAGTCTGAACTTGCAGGAAGTTTATCTTTTCTTCGTTATTGGGTTGGCCATATCCAAGTGACAAAATAACTTTGACAAGGAAAAGAAAGAAAGAGATGTCGTAAACCAATGTAGATATCAATCACCTCAGGTGATCGGATGAAGCATTTTACCATTTTCTGTTTCTAGTGATTGTGGAGAGAAGAAAGGCAATTTTTCCTAATCTCTTGGTCACCTGGTTACATACATTCTAGTTGCAAAAGAAAAAAGAGGGTGATGTGAATTCCTTGGAGAAAGTACTAGTATAGTTGCAACATAATATGACTTCCTTGGATGTGTGAACTGTCATTTCTCTCCTTTCTTTTGTTTCTGGGATTTCATTTGTTTCACAGGATTGCTCCACCCTTCTAACAGAATGTCATGTACTTAAGCAGATGGCAGACAATGCAACTCTTTATGGAGTTTGTTTGCACGTACCAGAAATTGTTCAGAGACCACCTGGCATCGTTGGAAATTCGTCACCTCCTCCTCAGTCATCCGGAGGATGTCGTTTTCTTGTCTCCGCTCCTCGATGTTACTGTTTGTTAACTAGAATTCCTTTCTTTGAGTTACACTATGAGATGTTGAACAGGTTTGTGTTGCTACAGTTGCCTAAACTTCCACACTGATTGACAGAACAGGGATTAATGGTTAACTTTTGGCTTCTGTGTTACCACATAATTCAATGCAGTATCATAGCACAGGAGCGTCTTGACCGGATCACTCGATTTGTTAATGAAATGACTCTCACCAGTTACATTCCTTCAGAAACCAATGCACACGATGTAATGAGTAAGAATGATGAGCATCCTGACAATGACTGTCGTACAGATTGGATGGCATCTGCAATACCTCTTCACAGTGCTTTTGCCCTTACTGCTGCTGCCGCTGGTCTGGCACAAGATAGTGGTTTCTCATCTTCTTCAATTAAGATCCAGGAAACGCAATCGCCTGAAAGTGCTACTGCGAGTGATGTTTCTGAGTTGAATCAAGCGAGGCAAATAGATAACGATGTTGGGAGGTCTACGCTACATGTTGATGACAATACTTCTGAGATCTCAGAAACTCGTTCTGAGTGTCTGGAACAGATGTCTGAATGCTATGAAAATGGACTTAACTCTCCAGAAGTTGGGGCATTCTTATGCCATAGGAACCCTATAATGGAGCGACTGGGGAGTTCTGAATCCCTTTACAGGTAGTTAATGTATAACACTAGCTGCATCCTAACTTCTAATACTGATGGATTCATCTTGATTTCTCTATACTATCTAACAGATACCTTTTTGCATCTCCAATTTTTGGGACATCATCAGCATTTTTACCAGTGTAATGACAGTAATGCCCTGTTGTTCTTTGGCAGTCCAGTGAGAAGTGTGGTATTAGAGGATGAGGATGATGATCTCTTTCCAAATTCGCAAAGGGAACTAAATGATGATGTAATAATGGAGTGGGCAAGAGTGAGTTTGCTATTCTCCCATGTGTTTAGGTAAATTGGGATTTATTGATGTATTGTTATTAGTCTGCTCATCTCTTCGCTATGGTCTTTGGTATAGGAAACTACGAATGATTTGCTCCAGATAGTCTGCAGTTATCATGCCTTGCCTCTTCCACCGAGGGGAGGTGAAATGGTTTTTAAGCCTCTTGAACATCTTCAGGCTGTCTCATACAGGCGACCTCCCGTATCTGCTTTTGGGCTTAGTAAACAGTTGTTAGATTTATTGGAAAATGCCGAGGTAACTTCTTTGTTTGCTGATATTTGTACTTTTATGTTTGATGACTTACCATTTAAGGTGTTATTACTGATTAGTCCAACTAACATGGCTTAACTTGATGAAAGGTCCATGCAAAGATAGGTTTTGCAGAGACAGCTCTTGCGCTCTCTGTATGGACAACTGCAACTATTTGTCGAGTTCTCTCACTTGAAAGTGTAAAGCCCTCAATTCACAAATTCTTGAGTTATGTTCATCAGATATTTAACCTTTTGCTAGATGCTTATGATGGTTCCACAAGAAAGTATATATTATCTCCAGAAAAAGAGTTCTGTCATCTTTATTGCTCCCGACCATGCATGCAAGTTAAGCTTGCTAATTAGCAGCAAAACCTATAGGGAGAGAAGAAGCTACTTTTACACTTATTCCATGATAATCCAAAATTTAGAAATCATTATTTTTTTCATTCAAGATTCGCTAAGATTATTCAGTGTTTTTAATTAAGAAGTTGGATTCAATTCAAATCATGTATTCTCTTGCTTGGTAGAGAACATAACTCCACCTCTTATTCTCTACTCAAACAATCTTTATTTCCCAGTCTTAGACAAATGTGGTTTGGCGTTTTAATGATGTTGGAGGAGTCCATCTAATCCTATAAATAAGAATTAAATCTTTTCCTCGACGAAACCTTGAGTTTCCTTTGTTGGGCTCAAAAGTACTTTTGATTATTCAGGACACAAGAGACGATAGTCACCAGAAAGTAGTGAACATAAGGTGACTTTAAACTGGTTTTGGAGTAGTTTCCAAGAATCTTCTGGACTGTAAAAAGTCTTCCATACAGTTTATGAACAACTTATGCTTGAGATTGAGATTCCTTTCACTTTGGCATTGCCTCTGCTTTTTAACTTTTTGTTATTTTCAGGCTTACATATACTGATCTTGGAAGTGGTTTGAATTTGATATGTTCACACTTTTGTTAACAGGTTTTATGGTTGGTTGCTGGTGTTCTATTAGAAAAACAGATTGTAGTAGTGTGCCCCAATCTTGTAAGTCCAATGTTGTCGTTGGACCTTGATAAATATGTGCTTGTATACTTATGCGTTTCTATCAGCCATGATGGATTGTGATGAGAAGTCCAATTGATGCAGGGTATTCTATCAGCTTCTGTGTTGTCTCTTATTCCCTTGATTCGACCATTTGAATGGCAGAGTTTATTGCTACCCGTAAGTTTAAACTCCAGCTTGTCTTATATCTCCGAAGCTCTATAGTTGCATGCTGTACTTCTAGATTTTGGCCTCTAAATATTGTTTTTGATACGTTGTGATTGGATTTTTAAGATTTACTCTCAGTTGTTTGGTTTTTTCCCTGACATGAACTCATTGAGAGTTCTGCTTGCAGTTTATTGCCTTAAATTTATTCCCCATCACTTAAGCTTTGTAGAGGGAGAGTCTTGGCATATCAGTAAGTTACCCACTTGTGACTAGAAGTTCATGGATTCAAGTCATTGATACACCCTATTTGCTGAAACAAGAAAAAAAAAAAAAAAAAGTAAGGGAAAGGAACAAGTGGGAAAAAAGGCAAAGGGAAAGGGATGGAGATCACAAATGTAACCTTTTTTTCGTAGAAGGCATCAGAATGTTCTTTCTTTTTCTTTCATATTTGCAAATACTTGTATTTTCTTTTAAGATATTTGATTAGTTTAAATTGTTATATATAAACGAAAATGTTTTTGGTATTATTTTCCTCGTTTTGTGCTCAATAGGCAGAAAACTTTCTTTCCTTTCTTATTGCCTATTGTGACAGCAGAGAATGGAGTGAATGGTCATTGGATAGGAAAACAACATAGCCGAATTATTGACAGATTATAGCTGTGGATAGACATTGGCAATGAGGTTGACAGTGGATTCAGATCTGGCTCTCTCTCTCTCTCTCTCTCAGCAGATGTAAAAAGAGGATTCTTATATTTGTTCCAGGACAAGTGTTACTCTATATCTATTTGTTCAATACTCCCCCATATGGGCAAATCCAATGCTTCATTCGGGTCTATCTGCTTAGACTCCACTGGATGTAACATCTTCAAATACTGGATGCAGTTACCAGTATCTCTGGCCTCCTATTCTGACCATAAAACCCAGCCAAAAGAGATTGAGGGATGCCTCTCGTAGAACGCTGCATGGCTAGACAGTCACCTAAGTTCCAAATAATTAACAAGCATATGTCTGTACAAGACAAATGGGCTATCAGTTAGGTACATAACCTTGCTATTTTGGAGAGTTTATTGACTTAAGAGTGTGACATATTCCAGTTATGTCTGATAGAGTCTCACATTAGGCATGGAGTAAATATGGATCTCATATACATATGTGCTCTTCTCAACTAACAGCTTAAATGTTTGGGTTGGAAATCCTCTGACATGATAATGAAACGCCCGTTGAGCCCTGTTTAATTGCCTAAATCCTCGTGGATTTTCAAGCCTAGAGTACCAGTCCACAACACATGCAAGACATTATTGTATGGCTATTATTTGGTGGTGTACCTTGAGAGGGGTTGTTAAAGTCCAAAATTACTTTGGTTGGGGTTAAGATTAGCCTAATTCACTTGAGTACTTTTGCCTCCTAATAGCTTAAGCTTTTGAATAAGAGAGGACGTTAAGTTAAGACTAAACTGGGGTTCCCTCTTCTTGGGATTTATTTGAGATTGATATTATTTATGACTTGTGATCTGTTGCATAAATGCACAACATGCCTGCATCAGTTTGACAAAGTCTTTGGTTTATCAGTTTTTACCATTTTTGAGATACATTGATTGTCTTCATTACTTGTTTCTATGCGGAAACCTTTTCCATAATGTACTTGCATTAGCTGTCAATTTTTTGTCGGTGGTAATTTTCTTGTGAATATCTATTGTTTGCTTTCAGGTTCTGCCTGAGAGAATGTTTGATTTTCTTGATGCTCCAGTTCCCTTTATAGTAAGTTTCTTTTTTTCCAACTCATCCTATTTTAAGTCAGACTTGTAAGTTGGAAGCATAATGGGCTTAATGTTGTTATGATCTGATGGCTTTGCAGGTGGGCATACAGCACAAATTTGCTGATTTGAAGATGAAAACATCTAACCTTGTTCAGGTTAATGTGCTTAAGGACCAGGTTCGTCATCTTTTCCCCCCTTTATCAAGACAAGTGTACAAATGCTTTTCCTCAGGGAACAATGTTCTGATAAAATCCATGTAGCCCTGAATAACCAAAAAATGGCACATGGTGATAAAGGCTTGATTAATTGTTCTCAAATTTGTTGTTGTCATAGAAGTTAAATAATAGTTTTTTGCTGCCAATTCTTTTCATTTGGTAGGATGGAGGATGTTTAAAAGAGATTAACTTAAGAGTGTGGCTGATGAAGCAGACATAAAATTTCATTTTTTCATACTTATAGCTTGTAGTGTTCACCACATTGTTACCCAAATTACTATTGATCATATGCCATGACAAGAATGTTCACTAGAAGATAACAGACTAATCAACTTGAGCATTATCTTACGTGGACCAGCATGATCGAATTAGGCTTCATGTTAAAGTTCTTCACTGACCTGCTGCTGATCGCCCCTTCTATGTACTAATCTATTATTTGTAGAACAGATGGAGTTTGAGAGATTGGAGGGTCTGGGTAATACAAGCGTTTGATGGTTAATTAGAAAAGACTTGTATTACTTTCTCTTTTGGTGATTTACACTGGTTTACCTTGAAGAATGTATATTAGTACTAACGGAATTAGAAAAGAACTGTAGTGTATATGGACCAGCAGGGTAGATTCAGATGGGTGAATAGGAAAATTTTTGCAGTGATTTCTCTCAATTTTCTCCTCTGTTTGATCAGATAATTACTTGGAGATGATTGTAATGATCCATTAGAAGGAAATGGCTTGCATGTTCAAGCTCGTGTACAAGAATTTTTTAGACAATAAGCTGGGTTAATGGCTGGCTGGAACGGTATAATCTGACAAATTGAACTCACTTTTGTAGGTGAAAATGTGTCATTTGCCAGCACTACCTAGGTACAAAGAGCTTGTTTCTGAACTAAAGCCAATCCATGCTAGACTATCTCGTGAAAGCTCAATTGCTAAAAGGCATCCTGTTTATAAGTGCAGTGAAGTGCAGGTACACATGATCCTCACAAAGTTTCTAATCAGTATTTTAGCACGTATATTTCTTACATTAGTAGATATGTTGTTATTTTTGCATCATGTGCCTCTGATTCTTTTTACTTCGGTAGTTACTAATCTGGTGTTGGTGTGCAGGCAGAAGCTGCTAGCAGATTCTTGACTGTAATGAGGAACTACCTTGATTCTCTTTGCTCCGATTTGAAGTCTTATACAATTACTAGTGTACAGTCAAATAATGACAGGGTTAGACTGAGTTTATAATGTTCTTTTCCTTGCTGATTAAATGATAACTAACTACTCTGGTTCCTGGAACCTATATTCTTATTGAGATGTGATTGCTCTGTACCTTTTCAGGTTTCTTTACTGCTTAAAGATAGTTTTATTGATTCCTTTCCTAGTAGAGACCGACCATTTATTAAGGTAAGATCTGCTCTCCTTGAAATCACTATACATGATGCCATACTTATTTGTTGCATTATATCCTCTAGCTTCAGCGTCTCATCGTTTATGCATTAGATTTTTATCTAGGAGTTCATCAAGCAATTAGAAAATTTTAACTGATGAAGCATCTAACCAGGGCATTCTTGAGTATTAAAATAAGACTACATGATTTTGACTGTTGCATTATTCACTTTGCTTTAATTGCTTGTGTTTTTCTTAATTTAACTGAAACTCTAGTATATGGGTATTGATATCTAAAATGTAATCTTCTTCATTCTTTAGCAACTTGAGTTTTTAGAACAAAAGGGTGTGCAATGAACATGGTAATAAAGTTATTGGATTCTTATACTCCCCTTTTTACACATTTCCTTCTTTATTCTTGGTCAGTTTCAACAATTCAGTTATCCAAATGTATTGGATTCATACACTTAAGTCAATGTCAAGGTTTCTATCATCCTACGGCCTTCTCTCAAACTTTTTGGTAGGTTTTAAGATATAAAATATAATTCCTGCCATTATTCAACAGTTTAAGCCTTCGCTCATTCTAATATGATGAGTACCAAGGATTCAAGTCATGAGGGCAGGGGCAAGGTGATCTACAGTCCTCCGAGATTTTATCGTGGGTGTTGAATGACGGTAGATAACCTTTGCAAAAAGTCGAGAGGGATTATCACTGGACTGTCAGTATATATACACACCTCATCTAGCTAACTGTGACACATTATTTATCTAGGCGCAATTTAATTACATGGGTTTTCTGTTTTCGACTTTGTCATTCAACCATTACTTTAAAGATATTTAATTTGTCAATGTCAGGGCATCTGGATTCTTTCATGATTCTAAATGAGGCTTACAGTTATAGAGTTTGACTTGGTATTGCTTTAGAATACTTGCTCATGATTCTCTTTCTCTTGGTCTATGCAGATGTTTGTCGACACACAGATGTTTAGCGTTCTATCAGATGCTGCTATATCAACCTGTGAGAGTAGGCGTTTCTAACATAAATCTCGACAACATTGTGATGCATCAAGTGAAACTTTCAAGGTTCGTTAGAGAATCCTGCTGTAGATGGGAGAGAGACTACTATAGCCGAAGGCTTTAACAAAATTTTAATTTGTAGACTACTGTGCTCCTTTGGACGTCAAGGGCATGCAGATATGTGCTGTGCCAATTGCTCATCAGTAAATCGTCTTGCCTAAATTTAGCAATCATCATCCCTGTCTTTTATTTGGGATGTGATGTTGGGCTTTTTAGGCGTCTCTAACTTGAAATTCTTGTAGCCACTTTCACAGAAGCAGCATGGTTGTGTACACCTTTTTCCTCCTATTTCAAGGCGATCAATCTCAATGGCATAAGAGCTGTTTATTCCTTCAACAGGAGTACATTACTCAAAATAGCTCAAAAATAAAGGAATTCAGATGTTTGAATTTTCTGTGCTATGCATAGTTCTGTTTATACATAGTGTAGTGCTATTACCAATAGCAATATTCGATGAGCCTTTTTTTTCCTCCTGTTATCTTATTCTATTTAGGGCGCGCATGATATCCATTCTGTTTTTCTGTTTTTTTTTATTTTTTTGTTCCTAGGAACAGATTTGGAACATAAATTTGTTTGGTAATACAATTTTATTTTTTTATTTCTGGAACAAATTTTTACTTCAGAAATAGGTTTGGAACAGAAATCAGAAGTAAATTTTTTTTATTTTTCTATTTCTGAAACAGAAATGAGAAATAAAAATTCTTCTCATCACTTGCCTTCACTACTAGCTGGCCACCCACCCGCCACCCCACCGTCGCCGCCGATCTCCTCCCTAACTCCCGTTGTCTGCCTTCCTTCGCCCGCCTAACATCGGCTGCCTCCCAACTTCGGCCACTGCCTCTCGTTGCCGCCCAACACCGGCCACCTCCCATCGCCGCTCGCCTCTCATTGCCATCCAACATCACACACCTCCTGCCGCCGCCCAATATCGCGCACCTCCCACTGTCACCCACCCTCCGGCTGCCTCCCATCGTCATCCTCCACCGCCGGCCGCCTCCCGTCGCCGTCCTTCACCGTCGGCCGCCGTCTTCCTCCGCCGCTCAATGCCGGCCACCTCTCACCGCCACCCGCCTCCCGTCGTCGTCCTCCGCTGTCGCCATCCACCATCGTCCTTGGCCGCCCAATGCCGGCCACCTCCCGCCGCCGCCTGCCTCCCGTTGCCAGTCGCCTCTCGCCACCGCCCGCCGTCAGTCGCCTCTCGCTCGCTGGCCGCTCGGGAAGAAGAAATTTTGTGTCGTTATTAAATAAATTTCTATTTCAGAAATAGAAATTTTATGTCGTTATTAAACGTATATTTTGGTTCAGAAACTCGTCCATAGAATAAAAATAGAAAAATCTATTTCTGATCAGAAATTGATTTCTAAAACAAAATGGTTACCATTCGCGCCCTTAGCGTTGAATCCTCTTACTTCCTTCTCGAAGAGTTACCAGTTTCAGTGAGGATCTATGGAATGATCGTTTCCTACATTGTCATGGTTTTTTTTATGGTTTGACAAGCCCATGGATCCATCTTTAAACCATATTAATTTGCATAAATTTTGTGGTTGATCTTCAGAGCAGCCTGTGGCATTTATCCATTTTATTTTGTAAATAGGCTGTTCTGTCTATCTTTGTGGAAACAAATTGCTGACTTTGATTTCAACATTGCTCCCAATCCTAAGACAGCTGATGTTGAAAAACAATGGAACATGTATAAATGCACAAAGAAAGATTTCACAGCATTCATCACCAATCCATATTGAATGATGCTTAAATCCCATATCAATGATTCCCGCAAAGGAGTCTGAAAGCCAGGCTGTTTTCATTGAGTTCGTCGAGGCTTTATGGATAATTAATTCTCGAGTATGGGTGTGGAAATTCGACTGAATGAGCGTAGAATGTTGAGATGAGCTATAGAGGGATGATTGGGTGAATCAGTTTTTAATTGACGTTGTCAAGTGTTCTCAAAATACTTGCTAAAAAAGAAAATATTTGATTTTCAAAGCACAACGATTGTGCAGTGTCCTTCTCAACAAACCCTTTTTTTTTATAACATAGAGTACTTTCTATAGTTCCAAATATTTCCTTCTTTTTTTCTTTTTATTTTTCCCTTTATTTGTCCCCCCTCAGGCGACATAGATTTCAGAAACCGACCCAATTTTAAAGAAGCTCATCTCCACCTTCCACCATCTTAAAAGGTTTTCCCACCTCAAATCTTCAGTTCTGAATAACTAAGAACACACCCCGCCATTTTCTTTACTGTCCATAGTCAAAACAAGATAACTGATGGAACACTGCTTGCCCAGCATCCTGAATCAACCCAAAGTAACTATACCTAGTTCCGGTTTTCCATAATCAGAGCCACCGCATGAACCAAATTGCCAAAGGCAAAGTCGAAAACAAAAGGAATGACAAAATAACGAAGCTCAGGACCATCTAAATGTCAACCGGCTTCTTTCACTGTTTATATTTTTACCAAAGAGCAACTAGGATAAAAAAAAATAACGCAAAATGCTCTCGCGCACAACAGAAAGACTGCCGCAGTTGTCAAATGCCCCATTGGCAGATCGTTGCATATCATGTGTAGCAGAAATTACCTCCATTACAGTGAAAAACTTAGTTTACATTAACTTAATTGATCTGATGAAGAAGCAAAACAATTGATCCCGTCTCTTAAACCACAAAAACACGATGGACCGCTATGTATCACGTCGCTAAAGGTACATCTCTCAGCAAAGTAAGCCTCCACGAGCGAAGAAGAGAGCAGCTAAATGATACTCTTTACTTACTCTCTAACTGTAATAATATAAACTGCACATCATATGATGGAAAAGGCCAGCTAAATGCAAGAGATTCTTTCCTAGAGAATTCCTGCTTTTAAACTCTGAGTTGATGTCTTGATTAGTTCGAACCCAGCAGACCAGTCAAATTAATTGAGTAAAGAAAACCCATTCTTCGTCGACACTCCAGCTTGATCAACAGATTATTGCAATATTTGCTGGCTCTTCATGTATAAGTAGTTTTATCCCTGGTTATCCAAAGAAATATGTAATCAAGCAAATGCTGCCGAGTCGCCATGAAATAACACAGACAAAACTGATGAACTAGTACAGTAAGCTGCACATTGACACTTCATAATCCAAACATTACCAGTTTTCTTCCTCATGTGTCCGACGACCACAGCAATGATCCAAAAGAAGCACCACAGGATAGGGCATCATTTGTCTTCATCTTCAGAATCAGATTTTGCAAATACAGGTTCAGGTTGGGTTTGGGCATACGCAGGGGCAATGAACTTTGGATCTTTTTCTGCGACGTCAGCATACTTCAGTATAGCTTCTCTAGGATCTTCTTCCATCCACGTCTCCTTAATCATACCTCCTTGCTGCAAGAGGAAGTGGCAATTATCCTCAGTAACCCTTAGAACCTAACTAAAATAGACAAGAATTGAAATGGAGGAGGAAATTCTTCTTTAGTTACCTTAAGAAGATACTGGGTCAATAAACTTCCTTTGCTCGCACCAACTCTTCCGCCATGTCCAGGTCCATTCATGGGAAGCTCTGGTTTATGGGATTTTAATGGATCCTTGAGGATCTTTTCACGTTGACGCTTACGGCTTGGCTGATCCCTAAACAAAGGCAATGCATGGGGGTTGTGAATAACAGGCTTTATCTCAAAGTCGTCCACAGATTTTTTCCTTGGCGCACGAGCAACACAAACAAGAGCTCCTCTCTCGCTGAGAGTTGGATCATAAAGAACGTGAGTTCCTCCTTGGCTTTTATCCCCAGAAGTTGCAAAGATCTATAACAAAGCAAAAGACAATGATGAAGATGGAATGGTCATTGGTCACATTGTAGTAGAAAACAAAGCAAAAGATCCTGAGTGTACACATACACCTGTGCAGTAATTCTATTGAGTATTTTCTCCAGGGTAAACTAGCATACAGTTACATCTAGTACCTGGTTCAGCCTGGGGTGCCAGGCACACTGCACCACACTACAAGTAGGAGAAATCCCAATTCTTGATACCAGCTCAAGTTTAGATCGGTCAAAGAAACACAACAAGCCTCCAGTTGTGGACTCCCTTTCAACAGAAGTTCCAGTCAAGAAAAGCTGCTCGTCGGGACTAAATGCGATATTTGTCTGGGCATAGTGATTTGGAAGATCTTCAAAAACTTTGAGGGCATTTTTTATAAGGCGCAAATCCCACACCTAATGTGTATTAAACATAAGAAGATGAGATAAACTTGAATAATTTAAATTATTTAACAATCAAAACAGGATGTGAGCTTCAGTCGTATCCATGTAATTACCTTAAGTGAACCATCGAAACTTCTTGTCAGTAAAATTTTCCCATCACTGGAAAACTTAAGCCCAGTTATATCATCTGAATGAGCTTTCTCGATATGAATGTCCGGCCTGCTTCCCCATCCCGGCTTAAGGTTCCATAGCTGTCAAATCCAGCAGTCGACAACAAGAAGTGAGTAGCAGATCATAACTGGATGGGAACACAATCGCCATCACACCAGAAGGATATAATCATACACCTTAGCATCATTTCTCCCAATACGACAGAAGTGGGACATAATACCTGTATTGAACCATCTCCGATACCACCTGCAATGCATTTCCCCTCACGATCCCAAGTGCATGTTGTCACGGGTACTCTTCCAGGCCTTGCAAGCTTTGGTTTAATAACCTATATATTCAATAAGTTAGCAAAAGGTACAATTCTAGTCCTTCATTGAAAATAACACAACAAGCAACGAGCTACCTAAAGTGGCCAATTTTTTCTACAATTTGGTGATAAACAGAAGTGGCCATAAATAAGCTCAATATGGGGCAAGAGTATCAGAAAAGCAACTGAAGAAACTCATACATTGGCATAAGAAAAGTCTAAAGAGATTTCATCGTGAGAGAGGGATTGAGGTAAAAGCAGTCGCTCAAGATCGAGAAGGGAGGGGGATAACCAAAATCAGTAGAACTTTCTGATTTAGAGTTATATTTTCTAGATTTTGTCCATCATAATTGATTTCATGCGTAAAAGGAAACGATATCTTAAAATCTGAATGCTATGATTCCTAGAGGAGCGAATAAAGACTATTGCTTATTTCTGCCCGCCAGAACATTTTTTTTTCATATATATTGATGACCCACAAGTCAGACGGATCAAGTGGAAAACTAAGGAAGATTGCCCAGCAGATCTATATATGTGAAGGCAAGAAAAATAAAAATAACAAGCAAACTAGACCAATAGTTCATCATCACAACCTCTTGAAAAATTGAAGTAAACCAGCTGTTAACAATGTACATCAAAAGTGCATGCTTCAACTCCTGAGATGTCTTCCTAGATAATCTCAGTATAAACAGCTCAATCAAGAGCAAAAAAGAATAAGACTCTCAAAGGGAAGAAAACAAATATGCAGCAGTGCAACAACTCAATAACTATATCTTCACACAAACTCGAAGTCAGGATATGAGGAAAAAAAACCTGCTTTTGACTTTTGAAGTCATTCACATCCCATATGCGAAGAGATCCGTCCTCCGATGATGTTAAAATTGTCTCCTTTGTTTTAGGGTGCCACTCACCCCAAGTCAATCCAGATATATGGCCCTTAGTATTTTTCAAATCACGAATATACATGTCCCCCTTCACAAATTCACCTAACGTAAGCCCGTCACGATCATAGATCTGCGTCGTCAAGGAGAATAATCGTCAGAGAAGCCAAGATGCACCACAGCTTTCAGGAAAATGATAAGTACCATTAAAGTTACCTTAGCTTGAGCTGAGCCAGTTACGCACAAAAATCGGTCGGCAGTCGGACTCCAGCTTAAGTTACGGACTTGATGACCTTCAGATGGCTCCAAATCTCTAAATGATGATAGGCGAGAATTCATTCCTTGAAAGTCGTACATCCGTACAGAGTAATCGTAACTGCCGGATAGAACCCGAGAACCGGTGTGGTCAACAGCAAGGGCCGATACAATCTGTTAATTGCATTTTTGTGTAGAAATTTCACCAAGTCAGAACCACAACGTCAGAAAGCTAACTACTACCGAGCTACAGGTCTCAAGGAAATCACTTGATACCATCTACAGGATTGTTTCAAAATCTACAGCCTTTTCAATGTATTCCTAACTCCACTACTCTAGTCGCTGAGAAATCTATAGCAGATTCAAACTATCACAAACAATGACAATATGATTGCTTAACATGCTGAAATCGAAGAGTGAGTTGCCAGATGAATATCTTCATGCCAATTTGATAGAACTTAGAAAGTTACAAACGAAGGAACAGGGAAGAGAGATGGAGATACCTTAGTATGGCCTTTGAGCACGATCTCATTGCTGAGAGGTAACCGATACCGATTCTCCTCTTCTTCCTCCTCCTCGTCCGAATCCACAATCGGTGGCCGCGGCGGCCCAATCATCACCTCTTCCTCCTCCTCATCATCATCACCACCATCTCCAAGGTTCCCAGGAGGCGTCGGCGGCGGCGGGCCAACCATAACCCCGTCGTCATCGTCATCGTCCTCCTCCTCGCCCCCGCCATCATCACTGGAAATCAGTCCCGGCGGCGGGCGAGGCGGGCCTATCATCGCGCGACCACCGCCCTCGCCGTCGCCGCCGCCGCGGGAGCCGGTTCCAGCGTCGGGGCCAGGCCTAGGGTTTCCGGCGCGGAGCTCCTCGAGCCAGGCTCTGGAGGAGGAGAGGGAAGGCAGGCCGCCGCTCTTGCCGCCGCCAGCGGCCGCTGCGGCTGCGGTAGCAGAGGGAAGAGAAGGGGAAGGAGAGGCGGAGGCGCGGCCGGGGCCGTGGCGGCGAGTGGCGGAGTGGACGGATTCGAGGGGAGCCTGGGGCTTGGACTGCTTGCCGAAGGAGAGAGGGAACTGAGCTCTCACGCCGTCGTATATCTCCGCCTCGTCCTCCATAGCTGGTAGCTCCGCCTCCCTGAAGAGAGAGAGTTGTCTTCTTGCAGCTTCTTCTTCTTCTTCTTCTTCTTCTCAAGGTACCGCCATGGAAGCGAAAGAGGAAAACAGAAAAAGAAAATGGCCCTTTTTATTTATATGTTTTGTCAATCTAATTTTTTAATTTAGGCTTTTAATCCCATGAATTTATCCGCTTAATTATTAGGATAATGACACAAATGGTCCCTGAATTTTGATCCAGTATTAAACTTGATCTCTGAACTCTAGCCCAATGCGTAATACGGTCCCTAAGCTTTTAATTTGTTCAACGTGATTCTTCTACTTTTGGTGCATGTTCGTTCTAATCCTAAATCATATGAATATGTTTTATATTGTCCTTCCATTAATTCAAGATCAGAGATAACATTATACATTTTCGTATAATTCTGGAACTACACTGAACTTATACCTAAGGTCCAATGACCACATTGAACAAATTAAAAGTTTAGGAGATATATTGAACATATTGAAAGTTCAGGGATCACATTGAACATTGAGCCAAAAGTTTAGAGACCATTTGTGTTATTTTCCATTAACTAATTCCAACGTTAATTTTATTTTTCGATCAAACTAGTCGAAAAGTTATTGGGGCGGCCTACGTGTCACGACGCCGCGATCGGGTGGCGGGAGTCGCCGAGCACCCAAGTAAAACATTATGTAATACAGTGTCGCCTAAACAATTCGAGTATCTTAAATTTGAATGAAAAACATTAAAAGCATATCAATTATCTCCTTTTTATTTATACGAAGTCGATACAATAGTATCAAATTTTCGGGATATATAATTCTACAATTAAACAAGAGATAAGAAATGGTTGAAATATTTGAAATCCTCTCACTTGATTGACGGTAACAATGTTTATTGGTTATACATAAATATGGACAGTCATTTATGTTTTTTTTTTTTACTAATTTTTAATATTAAAAATATAGCTTTTCCTTTTCGTAATTATTGAAGAGAAAATGAAAATGATTTATAAACCACAGCGAATAAATTCTCTCGAATATTATTCCTACGCATCGCCGCTCACCTCCGCCGTGCCGTGCCGTGCCGCCGTCTGAGCCTCCGGCGCGAGGACCGCCCGAAGCTCTCGCCGGAGCAACCGCGCATCTCCGGTCCGGCGCCGCCGCAGCCGCCGCATCAACCGCCTGAACCAGAGAGGTATCACCACCACCAACGGTACTCGCTCTCTCTCTCTCTCTCTCTCTCTCTCTCTCTCTCTCACTCTCTCTCTGCCTCCCTCCGTGATTATCCTGAAATTGTCATCACGTCCGGCGAGTTTCGCTTTCCGATCTCTTTCCCTGATTGTTCCGACGAGCCTTGGAGTCTGTTCAGCGGTTCTCCGGCGACCTAGCAGACCGTCGATGCGCAGTCTAATTGAATGAATTTTCGCGTAGTGAGAGGAACTTGTCGCTCGGAGTAACTTTTATCCTGTTCAAATCCGAACAATCGCCACTGTCGATGCTTGCCAATTGAGGCGTGCCGGATCTCGATCTATTAATGGCGAGAATGAACCTGCTTCGGCCAATTAGTGGATTCTATGGTTTATGTTCTTCTTTCGAGTTGAGTTGATTAGGGCTTTTGCTTGTTTCCTTTCCTTCAATCTCGGATTAAAAATGCGATGCCGTCATATGAATTATCGGCTGGTCGTAAGGATTTTCTTTTTCTTTAGACATGTAAAAGAAGAAATGCGTATTCGTGTGTGGCGTCCGAAAGGTTACGCCCCGCATCCGGTTCCTAATCGTGCTGAAATTCCACTCTTAGATGCCTCGTTCGTCCCGGAACCGAGAGGGAGAGGGAGAGATTCGATGTTCGATAATTTGCTGCGAAGAAATTTGCCTTCATTGCCCGTGTGTTGGAAACATTTCTCAGAACGAAAGATCTTGAAACTATGCGGTTTAACTTTACTGGAATAAGTTCCAATTGCCTTTAGTTTAAAAAAGTTGTCTTTCCAGTTATCTTCTCCTGCCCACAAAGACATGTATAGTATGAAGATGTTGTATGACCAGCTGAACAGAATTCTATGCATGTTAAAGTTGTGGCTTTGTGGGAATTGAACTGAGGCGACAGCCTATTAGGTCACAATGGAACTTCCTCTTGTTGTATTCACTTCTTTTTCTCAAGTTTTGTGGTTTATGTTCAAGCTAGTTTCGTTCGGCCTTAATACTCATATCATAGATGGCCTATTTGTCCATATTTGCCTCTGAGTGGAAAGATAATTGATCTGTGATTCTTTTTATTTGTGCTTGTTGGCGATCTGCGATTAAATGTTAAACCCCCATATTATCTTCCGTGCTTTTACATGTTGCTGTAGGGCTGATTGAGTCGCGGACAATATGCATCCCCCTCTAACGTTACACCGTCATCCAATGTGTGCTGAAGTAAGTCTATTACGCTTTTCAGATTACTTCACAGCTTAAAAATGCTCCTGCTGTCTGCTACTTCTGCTTGAGATATTTGACGGGTTCAAGTGATCAAGGGTCAATGTGCTTAGACATGAGAAGATTTCTCTGTCCTTGGGATCTCGTGTCACCTCTTTAGATATCTCTTTTCCATTTTTTTCCTCATCTGAGTTTAAGCAAGGAATGTAGGTAGGCTAAAAGATATTGCTTTTTGTGAAAAAATTTAATCTGTCATTACTTTAATTAGCCTGAAATAAGTTCGTTGTGCATGAAAGGGCTCCTGTAGAGCTCAGTTGGTAAAAATGGGAGTGTTCTTTCTTGTTTTCTTTATCTTCTTAAGATAAGTGAGAATGTTCTTTCAAAATTCACCTGAAATCTTCTTTTTGATGTAAGGTTAGTAAGCCTATACTTTTTCACTTTTTCATTCCTATTAAGTAAGTCGTGAATAGTATCAAGAATAGAAAGCACACTTTTCCAAGAGGTACTATTAAAACTTGATGTTTTAGATGTTATCATCATATTTTTGCACGTGTCATCAAAATGCTGGAAATAAGACCATAGTGATTCCGTTTGCCCTCGTTTTAAAAGGTTAAAATCAATAAACATCTGCATCTTCTGCGTTATGTGTCCTATTAAAGAACCAGTGGACTGGATTGACCTGACGCCAATATATTCTTTCCAAGGAAATTTAGAGTCTACTCGATCTTTTGTAAATTTTTGGATGACTAGTTTGATCTTTTCATTTCCTGTTCGTACTGTCCTGTATGCATGTTAGTGGATTCTGTACTATGATCTCATCAAGGATGATGAATCTGTGCACAGAGTCATGTATAAGATTGATGGAGCTATATTACCACCCCCCCTCCTAGAAAGGTTGTGAAAGAACCCGTACTGTTTTGTTAAAATAATAACGGAAATGTTATAAGAAAAGTTGCTGTTCCAAGTTTGAAAGAGGTCTCTCTGTGAATTAACCAATAAAAAAAAATTATCTGTGTTTACCTTAAGTAAAAGAAAATTATATTGGCAATAACCATTTTCGCAAGAGAACTAAAGATGCACTAATCATTTTGCTGGGATTCCAACTATTACATTGAAAAATATATGCCTGCACTACATAAAGCATAGTATTTTCAACACATACTCGATAGTTTGATGGTGTCTCGTTAGGCAAAATGCATTACCTAATTGTATAAATCCAGCAGCAATCGTTCTCTCCTTAGTTAGAAAAGTGGACATGTGCTGACTGAAGTTTTCAATTCCGGCAGATAATTGAACAGTTTCAACAGTGTCACTTAGACCATCCCATTGGAAAATTTTTTGGCGAATGTACTGACCTAAAAGTAAAGCTTGATCGCTGTTTTCGGGCAGAGGTGAGACTTTATTATACTCATAAGGTTATATATTGAATATTGTGAACTCTCATTTGATTTGTTGCATGATTTCAAATTTTCTATAGAAATCCGTGAAACGAAAGGCTAACTTTGAAGAGAGCAAGAAATTGAGAGAGAGGCTACAAGCTTATAGAAAGGAAACCGCCGAGACAAGTCAATGAACAGAGATACTGCAAGATTAGTCCTTGGTGATGGAGTGAGGTCTAATATGAATCAGAATGCTGTACAAATGAGGGAGTTTGATCTTTGAAAATTTTGTGCCGGAGAATTTGTTGCAGCATATTCTTTTCTGTAGAGTCCTGGAAAAAAAAAAAAACTTTGACACCATGAACATGAAGATTGTAAGGAAGGTTTTGCATGGAAAAGGAGATCTCTGAAATCTACAGTGAGCTGATCTTCAGGTTGTTTCAATATGTACTACTAGGCATGCTGAATTCAATTGAAGAACATTTACGAAATAATACCGATTTGATTACGGCTTACACATTGTTGATCGTTGCGGTCGGCACACTTCTGTCTTACGGGCATGCTCTATTCTTGGCCAAATGAATTGTGTACATCGATTTATACAACGGTTGTGGCTCGGTCTCTGTATTCAACATGTCTTGTTTATTCTTGCGTCTTACATTTTATATGTTTCCTTGGTTGGCAAGATATTAGCACATATTTATCCGATACACAAGCTCTTAGCAAGGAAAGACTCATCCGGCGACGCCAATTCGAAGCTAAGGAGATGAATGACAAGTTTGACGTTTCGACTCTTTGACAATTATAGACATCGTGAAAGCATCTCGCTTTGGTCACATGTATTATTGTCCTCGTTGATTACCCCATCTCGATACCGATATTCGGCCTTACCCGGGTTTAGGACAGAGACTCTCAAAGACACCAAGCTGGAGATAAAATTGGTGTCCCAATCGATCCTCTCTTTGCCATGGTGCTCTTCCTTGTAGGGTGCGAGATGCTGGAGATGTCCGATCCTCGGACGAGACGGTATCCTCTAACGTTCGATATATAAAAAAATTAATATCGACCATTGGATGGGCCATGACAAAATTGTCATTTCAAGTTTCATGGCAGCATATAAAAGGGATAGTAGCATCACCCGCCAAAGGTTATTTTCAAATATGCAATGCCCTTCTTAAACTTCTAATTGGTGCAATTAGGTTCCTTAATTTTGGTTTAACTTTATCTTCGAACTTTCAAATGGTTGAATTAAGTCTTGGAGATACTTTTGAGTGCTCAATGTCATTATTGATTTGGAAAAGGTTTCAAAATGAGGAAAACCGCTCATCTAAGTCTAATAATGTCATCTTTTTTATTAAATTTTCGGGGGAAAATTATTCACAAAGTTCTAAACCTATTATACGGTGGCCAATTCAGTCTTATATTTTTTAGTTGTGCTAATTTAGTTCCAAACAATTTGGCGATTTGCCAATTTAGTCTAAACCTTTCAATTGCGCCAATTTAGTCAATTCGACTAGAAACCGTTGACGTGGCGGTCTAGGCAATGTCAATTGTCCTATGTGGCGCGGCCATAAGACGGTCGACGTTGGCTTGGACAAATTTTGCAATTTTAAAGATTTTCTGAATTTTTTGTTTTATGTTTTTTTTGCCACCTTGCTAGCCCGAAGTTAGAAAAAGAAAAGAAAAAGAATTTAAAAAAAAATTATAAAAATTGTCCACGTCAGCGCCGGTGTAACCATGCCACGTGGTACGGCTGATGTTGATTAGATCGCTACATCAGCGATTTCTGACCAAAGTCACTTACCAATATAAAAGTTTAGGGTTTCAAATGTACAGATTAAAAGTTTAGGAACAATATTACACATTCGACGAAAATGTCGGGACCACTAATGTTAGATTGTACGGGTAGAGTAAAGCCAAATGAAATTTGGTCTTTTGACTGCACGTGGTCAAGTGGAGTGTAACTAAAGCATCGAGCCAACACAATTTCCCCGCCCAACACCACGTCCCCCACGTACGTCGTCGCCGTCCCCAGAACATTCACGTCTTTCCCTCCCTCCCTCCCTCCCTCCCTCCCTCCTCCCGGCACAATACAAACTCCCCGTCGTAAAGTCAACGCCGCCCGGTTCTTTTTCTCGCCTCATCGCGCTCTCTTCTCTCTCCCCCTCCTCCTTCCTCTCGACGTTCGGCTGCATCCGAGTCATGTAAGTCAGCGGTCGCAATGCTTCGTGCGCACCCAGGAGTTTGCGCGGTTCGAGATCGTTTGTGTGATGAAGTGTGTGTGTGTGTGCGTATGTGTGTGGTGTGTGTGAGTGTCAGTGATGCTGATCCAATCCCTTTTGGCTCTTTGCTTTTGGTTGTTGGCGGAATGCAGGGAGGGAGAGTTGAGGCCGATGGATGCGGAGCAGCTGAGAGAGAACGCGCACAGGATGGTGGATTTCATCGCGGACTACTACAAGTCCATCGAGAGCTTCCCCGTCCTCAGCCAAGTCGAGGTATTTGTTCGTTCCCTTCTCCTTCGTTTTGCATTTCCATGTTATAGTTGATTAGACATTGCGCGTGCCTGAGAGAGGGAGAGAGACTTGTATATAAGTGATAGCGGTCCCAGAACTTTGACTCAAAAGCGAGGCGAATGTGATATTCTTGCCTAGGAATATGAAAGGATGACTATACATGTTTCTTTACCTTAGCATCAACAAAAGTTACCCTCCCTGGACGCCAGGTCCACATTGGATGTTAATCCGGTGCGGTGAAGGAGTGACGTTGTCCTGAAATTGAAATGCCTATGACTCATTGCCCACGCTCCGTGTTGGGATGAAATTTTTGCATTGGTGGTATGACAGGAAAACGAAAAAAAACCTTTTCTTTTGTTGCTTTCTCTTAAGCACGTGAGAGTTGTACTAAGAAAGTCAATCTGGTTCCTCCTCCATGCAGCCTGGCTATTTACATAAACTTCTTCCGGATTCTGCGCCTGATCGTCCTGAATCATTGCAACAAGTTCTCGAAGGTGAGGTTCTCCTGCTGCTCTTGTTTATAAGATCGTGATGGGTCAAACTCGGGCAGTTTTTATATGGATTCTTAACTTATACTTGCAGCAATATTTCTCACTTGGAATCCCAGATTACATGATTTTCAAAACTTCGAGAGTATCGATCTTTTGCAGTCAAATGGGTATTTGCAGATTATATTGTATATAGAGGCAAATGGAGAGACAGTGTAACACTTGCCAATGGATAAGTTAGCTAAAATAGCTGTTAATCTAAGCAAAGTATCTCTCTCTCTCTATTATATCACTGCAGATGTACAGGCAAAAATATTACCTGGGATGACCCATTGGCAGAGTCCAAATTATTTCGCATATTATCCTTCTAACAGCAGTATCGCGGGTTTTGTGGGAGAGATGCTCAGTGCTGGCCTCAACATAGTCGGGTTCAGTTGGATTACTTCCCCTGCTGCAACAGAACTTGAAATGATAGTTCTGGATTGGCTCGCTAAGCTTCTCAATCTGCCTGATGACTTCCTTTCGACAGGTCAGTTTGTATGCTATAACAGTCTTGATCGCATCAAATGGCCTGCTTTTATTAAATTACTCTACGACATGAAAATGAAAAATTACTTCTCCCCATTAAAACAGTCAGTAGAAGAATCACTTCTATCTTGCTTATGATGATTACTGACGAAGAAACCAAAAAAACTATAGCATCTTTTTGGCTTCGATATTATGGCATGAATAGTTTTCATTTCACATGTGAAGTGTACACTAAGTTTTATGGGCATGGTCTCCATCCACTAAAATGGGAGACATCCCCTGCCGTCCTTGTTCCACGCAATCAAAGAGTAGCTAGAATCACGCATGCCTTTTCTTTTCTGCGTCATGAGCTAACTTAGCATAAGCATTCTAGTAAAAAAATATGGAAATGTCGTTATTCTACAAGCTTACTTTTTTCTAAATCTCTTTTTGGTAACCTGCTCTTGGGACCAGCACTGATCTAATATCAAGGAAATGACGATTTACTGCATCTTCCCCTAATAATTATTTGGACTTTGTCAGATGAATACATTGAAGAGTCATAGAGATCAGTTACCTTTGTGATTTAGTATATGGAAAGCGCAGAGTTCACCCACCCTTAAGTTTCAGAGAGAATGGCTTTGTAGTTTGCATATTTGATGATTTCTGCTTTCTTATGAAGTTAGGTGTAATATTTTTTAAAAGTTTTTTCAAATTGTTTGATAATGAGTTAAGAATGAGGGTCATTAACTTGATTATGCAGTGACTATAATGCATAAAACTTTGAGAAATTCATCTTCTGCATTTAAAGCTGATAGAAAACTGTATCAACAAAACCGAGGAGATAAAGTAGTGGAGGCTTCAGTATATTTGATATGCTAAGACATACGCCAAATATTTCAAAGCCTTCAAAAACCTCCTTCTAAAGTCCAAAACTATGTGCCATATTGGATAGCTTACTGTCAAGTATGACGATGCAGGAGCAGGTGGTGGAGTAATACAGGGTACTGCAAGTGAAGCTGTTCTAGTAGTTATATTGGCTGCTCGAGATAAGTTCTTAAGTAGGATAGGGAAAAGTTCGCTTGATAAGCTTGTTGTGTATTCTTCTGACCAGACCCACTCGTCGTTGCAAAAAGCATGCCAGGTATTCTTGCGTGCACTCTCTTGTATATTCCTGGAGATAATCCGAGACAATTTCCTCATGAAAGAAGCCAGTGGCTAGTTCACCTAGAATGACCTTATCTCTATGTTTCATTTACTAATTAAAATATTTAAATTACTAATGCATTAGGGACCTACTTTTGGTCTTCAGCTAAAATTCGATATATGACACAGGATAGGATGCTTTAGTGCTAAAACATGAAATGGTCAAACCAGGAAAGTAAATTCATGAGTGATATTTTACTTGATTTGGTTATAACTTTACGAGGATATCTTGTCATTGGATTTAACAGGGAGCCCGAGAAATGTAGGGTTCAATATGTATAAAGGAAAGGATAATGGGTTTTTCCAAGATTTCTGAGAGGAGTTTTGCAGAAAACCTTTAGTTTTTCAATTTTGTAGTCTTGAATTTGTGGGTTAAACATTTACTGGCTTGAACTTACAGAAAGTTAAACAAGAATATCATCTATAAAAGCAAGCACTCTTAAGATTCTACCAGATAGGATAATTTTCTGCCGTCCTGTAACGAGAGCTTTATAGCTTTGAGATATGCCATTCGATTAAACAAATTTACCCTTTAAAGTGCTGGATTTCAATCCTCGAACCCTTGATGCCCTCAAATATGTTCACCTAATTATTTCTCCTTCCCTCCTTGTGCTATTTAGATCTTTTACAAGTATTTATTGATAAATGAAACACCATTGTGGTTGTGAGTGGTGATGCAGAACAAGTAGAATGCATCTTCTTCTGCAGTATACACCAAAAAAATGGTAGAAGATGCAAAATGATTTTATAGATCATTCCTTCAATAGAATATTTATTGAGCAGACTATGAACTTGTATTAGTCGACCATTTTGTTTCCATATTTCATGGCAGATAGGAGGTATATATCCAGAGAACTGCAGGGTTCTAACAACAGATGCTTCTACCAATTATGCGCTCTCTCCCGATTTACTTAATGAAGTGATTTCTCAGGACATATCCTCCGGTTTAGTTCCCTTCTTTTTGTGTGCTACAGTAAGTAAGAAGCTTGACATTAGTTCTCATGTTGCTTTTTGTCCATTGACTTCTTGATTCAGCTACATATTAAGCTATTAAGTATACTGTAGGCTGAGTTCCTATTGAACTGGTCAAGATAGTAGGAGAACATAACTGAAAACAATTGCTTTGTGTAAGCTAATTAGGTTGATATTTCTGAAAAGCATGCTTTCATATACACAAATTGAATTTTGACAGCCATATACGTCATGTAAAGTATTACCATGAATTTACAATGATATTACTTGTTTGTTAATTAAACTGTTAGTAGATGCAAGGATGAGACAATTTCAGGGTGGAAGAATCAATGGACTCTTATTGTCCCTTGAGTTGACTTGGAATGCTGAGTCTTTTGTGATAAATCTTATATGTTAGTTTTTATAGTAGTGACATGACTGAGGCTTGTGACAAGTTCTCCACGGACTTCCTTGCCCTAAGAAAATAGTGCTGTAATCGCTAGATTTACAATTCGAGGATGCATTTGATATATAAAAATTGTCTAAAATAATCATAATGAGCAATTATCAAAAGGTTAAAAAATTTCAAATGGGCCATACTAGGTTATGGTAGACTATCGAATGGAGGGTTTAGAATTGGTCTCAAACAGGAAGATAACTCATGCTATCTAGTCTGAATTCATTTGCTGTTTACATACACTAAAATATTAATTCAGTTGAGAACCTTCAATTTATGTTCAGGTTGGTACAACTTCTTCAACGGCAGTTGATCCCTTGCCTGCACTAGCAACAGTTGCTAAGGTGAGGCATCTGATATTGTATGATCGTGTGCTTCTTATGAAGGTCTTAATTTTGGCCTGAGTTGTCAAACCTGGTCCGCAATGTATAAAGGTTGATCCAGCATTATACCTTCTTTAAGCTCTACATAATGCTTTGTCTCGGTGCCACATTCCATTAGGTACTTGTTGGTCAAAGTGGACCCCATCATGCAACCTCTATTCTAGCCTATGAAGCATTTAAGAGCTAGCTTTTCCAAAACTCCTGGTCCGTGAATTTCTGCTGTATTAAAAGGCTTTAATAGATAATTGTATCCTGTGTAGTTAGACTAATACTATTGGCTCATGGTGGGCCACAGTTGGGTGAAGAAATGCTTTTGGACTAAAGCCATTTCTTTGAGATTCTCTGCATCTCTTTTCTCGCTTTGAATTTTGGCCTTATAAAAGGTGAGAAGTTCCCTGTTGAATGCAATTGCTTCTTTACTAAAGAATGGACCCAGGGCAGGATAAGGTGGTGTACCGTTAACCCCTTCCTTCACTATTATAATCTTTAGACACTCCTAATTTGACCATTGTTAGTTGAGGTACCCAGTATTGAATATATCCTCCAACATTTCATGATATCTTTGCTCTTTCCTTGTTCTTATCTGCTTATAAAGAACTGTTCATTTTCCAAACATAAGCCAACTAGTGTTTTTGTAGAGTATGAGAGCTGATTAGATCAGGGTTTACCAGAGCAATCTTTTAGTTAACATAAAAGTTTCTTTTGCATTCTGGTTGTATGAGAAAAGCATCTCTGAATGGGGAATATTATTAAAATTTTTCAGAGAAATGGAATGTGGTTCCATATTGATGCTGCATACGCTGGAAGTGCTTGTATTTGTCCTGAATATCGGCCTTACATTGACGGCATTGAAGATGCTGATTCGTTCAACATGAATGCACATAAGTGGTTTCTGACAAATTTTGATTGCTCCGCACTCTGGATAAAAGTAAGCCATATTCTTTCTATATGTCGTCTGTTGATGAGATTGATGCTCCTTATCCTTGTGTTTACGATGACTCTCCTACATGTCTATATCCTTGTTTACTCTGCCCTTTTCTGTTTATTATTTTTAGCAGAGCGGGCAGGTCTAATTCCTGTAGTCAAAGTGAACTTGTCATGCTTAAATTGTCTTCCGTTCAGGTTCTATTGAAGACATCCTTTAATGCAATCCAGGGCACCGTTTTAATACAATTAGATGGTGCTGAATGAGTCTTTTGCATCATGAGCAGTGGCTAACATGTGAGAAAATAGAGCAAGCAACACTTTGAACTCCTCATAGGGCAAGCAACAACGTTATAACTTGTATTTTTATTTTATAATAATGCATGTTCTAGGGAATAATGTTATTATGTTTTCCACTCAAATGGTCAGTCAGATACAAATAGCGGCAGGATTGGAATGTGGTTTTCATTATTCGGTTATCCAGTTCAGAAGATATTTAGTTGTATCTCTTTCAGCAAGAGCTTTCAACGTTCCCTGAGACATAAGATTCACTGCCTCGTCTGTGTTCTGCAAGAATGATTCCTTTGTACAGTTTATCTCATACCAATGCAATTTCACGATTGAGATTGATCTTTCTTATGAGTGAACATATTGACAAAGTTCAATGGCAATTTTTGGCATCCATGGAGCCATCCATTCCTTTGTTAGGTAGTTGTATGTGCATCTTCTAAATAGATAGATCCTGCCCCATTGGCTAAGGGAAAGAAATTAGTAGCATCTTACCTTCGTTCCTGCTACAGATATAATCAAGCACTTAAACCTGATTGAAGTTGACATATACTCAGTACGAAACTCTGTCAGTGATTTACATGAGATAATGATGGGGATCAAGGTGGTAAACATTGTTCCTAAAGAAGCAGCTTGTTTGTCTTGGCATGGTTCACCTCAGGAAGAAGACTGGCTATGCATTTTTATGAGGATTGAGGAACCAGGAAAAAGCAAAATTTCCTATGTTTAGGCCAGTACTTTTGTTGCTAATACTGCTAATCTCATACACAATTTGCTACACAGTGCTCTACAGTGAAGTCCAAAATTTTTTTCCACAATCATTTTCCATGATCTGTAAACTTTTGTCAAAGTTCCTTATTGTGCAGTCATTAAGTCTTACTATTGAAAATCCTTCTTGCCAATTCTGCAGAAAAACTCCGCTGGTACAAAGTCTTGGAAATATATATGAATTCACTGATTCTTGACCTCCTTTATATCACTATGATTTATTCAATATCTAGTTGAGTTTGGTTAGTGACATCCTCAAGGAGCATTCTTTTATCCAGATAGTGCAATTGCATGTCATTTGCCTTTATTTTTCCTTTCAAATGCTATTTGTTTTCTTTATCAGGACAGAAATGCATTGATTCAGGCCCTTTCTACCAATCCAGAGTACCTAAAGAACAAGGTAATGTTTCACGATGATTGATGTGTTACTATGTCCTTGAAGTTTCATGGAAAAGGGCAAAAGGACACTATAAGTGCCATAACTTGTGTACGGAGATCACTTTGGTGCCATAACTTTTTTTCGGATCACTTTGGTGTCAAGTCGGAGGAAAAACGATCACTTAAGTGTCATAAGTTTTTTTTGGATCACTTCAGTGCTAAAATTTTTGAAAAACGATCACTTAAGTGCTAAAATTTTTTAAAAACGATCATTTAAGTGCTAAAATTTTTTAAAAACGATCACTTAAGTGCCAATCTCCGGCGAGCCATGTCAGCTTCAAAAATTAATAAAAAAAATACCACGTCGGATTTCCGGCGAAAAATTGTGTACGGCACCGGAGTTGGCACTTAAGTGATCATTTTTAAAAAATTTTAGCACTGTTTTTCAAAAATTTTAGCACTAAAGTGATCCAAAAAAAACTTATGGCACCAAAGTGAGCGCCGTACACAAGTTATGGCACTTGTAGTGTTCTTTTGCCCATGGAAAAGTAGATACGGAATCAGTCTACCTTTAGCTCATCACTACCCTCTCTTTTTTCATTATTGCATTGTCCTTTATGCTGCAAATTATTTTCAATACCTTTTCCCTAAAACCTTTAATGTTAAGACAGAAATGCAAAGATTCACAAGTATGTAGTCTACGCGTTACATCTTGGCTTGTGTTTCTTTTTATCATCTTTTGTGCAAGAGAAAGGGAAATTGCCTTTTACTCCGGAAATAAATGCATTTTTACCATTTATACTTGGGAAAGTTTTTACAAGTAAGGTACGGATCAAGAGGATCTGCATGTCTGCTAGAACTAATACGATTGAATAGGTCTTAGATACGTTTCTTCACCACAATTTCCTCATGAATTTTTTAAGCAACTTCCATACTTCTTGGGAGACACTAAGTCTTGTCTTATATCAACACTAGGACTGTTGTGCATTTCAGAGTTTTGCAAACATGAATGCTTTTACTCTCGCTTTTCCTGATTTCAGTAGAATCCACATTCTTCTGGAACTGTTGTACTCACTGCAAGATGGATAAGACAATACTATATATGTCTTATCGCTAATGTGGCCTCCATCTTAATGCTAGTAGTGCTGCGTAGAATTAATCCAAATGGGAAAATTTGGAAGTGCATTCTTTGTCCAGTTTTACAGTGATAAGACTATCTGCAGGCGTCACAAGCAGACATGGTTGTGGACTACAGAGACTGGCAAATTCCTCTTGGGCGTCGTTTTAGGTGGATTTTCTCGACATTTTCTCAACAAGTGCTTGGTTATGTGATGTGCCTGTTGGACTGCAAGGATCGTTCATGAAATAATTTCTTAGTTATTGGCCTATTGGCTAATGGATTATGTCGTACTGATTTCTGCTGTTCTTCATAGATCACTGAAACTTTGGATGGTTTTACGGTTGTATGGTGTACAAAATCTTCAGCAGTACATCAGAAACCACATTGAGCTGGCCAGACAATTTGAAGGTCTTGTCAGTCAAGATCCTAGATTTGAGGTAATTGTGTCTCGTTGTCATAATATGTGATTTTTGTTTCTTGACTAATCTGACACCAGCTATGCACGCCCAAAGCCAGACCTCAATATGTAAACATATCAGCGCACTGAGAGAGAGAGAGAGAGAGAGAGAGAGAGAGAGAGAGAGTATTATCTTTAAAGCTTAATGTTTTAACAATTATGTTATTTCTTTGTTAAATTGTACAAGCAGGTTGTCACCCCTCGAATATTTTCACTGGTCTGTTTCCGTCTCCTCTCTCCTGACAACGATGGAGAAGAAGGAAATAAATTGAACCGCGATCTATTAGATGCAGTAAACTCAACTGGGAAAATCTTCATTTCTCACACTGTATGTTCACTGCTTTCGTTGTACCATCCAAAGATAACAATGCCCTTCGGCATCGGTGCTTCCTTGTAAAGATAAGATACCATCTTACGCATCATACTGATGCAGGTTCTCTCGGGTAAGTACATCTTACGCTTCGCAGTCGGGGCTCCATTGACAGAAGAGAGACATGTTAATGAAGCATGGAAGGTTCTGCAAGACGAGGCATCTAAGCTGATGGCTACTGTTCCAAATAACTAAGATGTTCTTCTGCCATAGAAATCTCAGGACTGACTCTATTCTTGCAGAGACCTCGAGGCTTCTCTTTTACTGGGAGAAAATTCATTAGGCAATTTTCTTAGACATGATATATCCCGGTTGTGGTCCTCTGGGTAGCCAAAAGTGCAATAAAAAGAGTACTGATTTAATCAAATGTGAATCTGTTAACGGTTTCAAAGCACCTACAATCTTTAAACGACGAACTGGACTCGATACAAGAGGATATAGAAACAGCACGAACCGCATCGCTCCTAATAGAACTATCATCATACCCATTAAGGATGTGAAATTATTTAAGTGAAGAACGGTTGAGATTAGTGAAAGAAGTGCAAGCTTGATTGTCCAGTAAGGTTCAACCTCTGATTTAGGTTTTGAAAACCATTTTTCCAAAACATGTTTTGGTTTAGAAAATTCTAAAAATTAGAGGGGCAAAAATCATAGAAAAGGGGGACATGCAGGAGAGACAATAAGCAAATAAATGAGACTCTCAAAAATGAACATGAGATTTCTGCTCCTGGTGGGCTGGATTTGCCCCCACTTCTGCATTTCGCTCTGTTAGTCATTTCCATTGTTAAGATCTCAAGGCTCAATCAAACACAACACAGGCCTAGCTTTTCTTAGTCTTTATTAGACAAACAATGAACCAGTTGGTCCATCATACCTGATGAAAAACACAATCGTAATTTTTCTTAATCAAATTACATCATCTATATATATATAGTGAGCATTATGGCTCACTAATTATGGAGAAGACTAAACTACCCTTTCAACACTCCCCCTCAAGTTGGGGCATAAACATCAAAGAGCCCCAACTTGTTACACAAAGTAATCACTCTACTACCTTGCAATGACTTAGTGAAAAGATCAGCAAGTTGGTCTTCAGTCCGTGTGTATTGAAGTGTTATTTCCTTGTTTTGAATCTTTTCTCGCACAAAATGGCAATCTACTTCAATGTGCTTCGTGCGCTCGTGAAAAACTGGATTTGAAGCGATATGCATAGCAGACTGGTTATCACAACACAGAACGGAGGGAGCTGAAGAAGACATACTAAGTTCGGATAATAACATCTTCAACCAAATCAACTCACTAGTCACATGAGCCATGGCCCGATATTCCGCCTCAGCACTCGATCGAGACACCACCTGTTGTTTCTTACTTTTCCAACTCACAAGATTGCCTCCCAAGAATACACAATAACCAGAAGTTGATCGCCTATCAAAAGGACAACCAGCCCAATCAGCATCAGAGTAGCCAATAACATCAAGATGTCCATGATTCTTGAACAATATCCCTTTACCTGGTGCTCCCTTCAAGTATTTAACTATACGTAGCACTGCATCCCAATGTGTAGTACGAGGAGTACTCATAAATTGACTAACAGCACTAACCGCAAAAGAGATATCTGGTCGGGTAACAGTTAAATAATTGAGCTTACCCACCAGTCTCCGATACTTACTTGGATCATGAAGTAATTCACCTTGTTCTGCATCAAGCTTCACATTAGGATCCATCGGAGTATTAACAGGCTTCGCTCCAAGAAAACCAACCTCACTAAGAATATCCAATACATATTTCCGCTGTGATAATGAGATACCATCACGTGAGTAGGCCACCTCAATGCCCAAGAAATACCGCAAACAACCCATATCTTTTGTGCTAAATTCTGCCTGTAAAAACTGTTTCAATTTTTTTATGCCCACAGAATCACTACCAGTAATGATAATATCATCCACATACACAATCAGGAGAACACACCCAGCAGGGGAAGTAGAGCTAAATACAGAATGATCTACGGTACAACGTCGCAAACCAAACCGAATAACTGCATCACTGAAACGACCAAACCAGGCACGAGGAGACTGTTTCAATCCATATAATGCCTTGCGTAGACGACAAACACTGGTAGACTCCCCCTGAGCAACGAACCCCGGGGGTTGCTCCATATATACCTCCTCTACCAAGTCCCCATGAAGAAAGGCATTCTTGACATCAAGTTGGTGAAGAGTCCAACCATAATGGACAGCAAGAGAGATGAAAACACGAACGGAAGGTATCTTTGCTACAGGAGAGAATGTATCATCATAATCAACTCCATATGTCTGGGTGTAACCTTTGGCAACTAGACGTGCCTTCAGACGCTCAACAGTGCCATCTGGTTGAAACTTCACTGTGAAAACCCAACGGCAACCCACAGCCTGTTTCCCAGCAGGTAACGATGTAAGTTGCCATGTCCCATTATCCTGTAGTGCCTGCATTTCATCCTCCATAGCTTGTCGCCAACCTGGATGAGCAAGAGCCTCTGCAACAGTACTTGGCACAGACACAGCAGATAAAGAAGCAACAAACGAGGAATATGTAGGAGAAAGACAATCGTATGATAAAAATCGAGAAAGAGGGTAACGAGTATGTGTATGACAAGACAAACCACTATAAGGAGTAAACCGAGGATTGGGTTGACCAACACAAGAACGTGTACCTTTGCGCAATGCAATGGGAATGTCAGTAGTAGAATCAGGCTCAGAAGCAACTGGTGGATCAGAAGATGGGACATTGACTGGTGGAGAAGCATGCATATCCAATGCAGGCGGTGATTGTACTACCTCACGTTGAACAGACCGGCGCCGTTGATAGGTCTTGTCGGCGAACTGAAAACTAGGCGATGACGTTGATGACTCAGGCATACTCGCTAAGGGAATAGGCGGTAGTGGAGCCATAGTCGAAGATGGAACATCTTCAGAAGGACCCGCTGTAGAGGAGTAATATGACTGATCCTCGAAAAAGGTTACATCTGCTGAGACATACAACCGCCGACTAACTGGACTATAACACTTATACCCTTTCTGAGTTCGAGAATACCCAAGAAACACACATTTGTGGGCCCGTGGATCGAGTTTATCATGACCAGGAGCAAGACGATGCATAAAACAGACACACCCAAACACACGAAGTGGTAAAGTAAAAAGTGGACTTGTGGGATGGATAGTGGAGAAAGGTATGCCCCCATGAAGCACTGAGGATGGAAGGCGATTTATGAGATAGTATGCTGTAAGAACAGCATGCCCCCAGTACATTTTGGGGAGGTTCATATGAAAAAGGAGGCAACGAGCCACATCCAGGAGATGCCGATTTTTTCGTTCAGCCACCCCATTCTGTCCGCCGCCAGCGTAGATTCCAAGGCCGGCGGCAGTGACTTCTCCGGTGACAACAGTGGCCTCCGGTGGCTAGGGTAACAGTTGAAGGACTAGGGTTTTGTTTATTGGCTCTGATACCATGATGAAAAACACAATCGTAATTTTTCTTAATCAAATTACATCATCTATATATATATAGTGAGCATTATGGCTCACTAATTATGGAGAAGACTAAACTACCCTTTCAACAATACCATAGTTGAATCGGAAGGCGATAGCTGGTGAAGAGGAGTCGCATAATGATGCTACGGATGCTGAGACCGCCTTGCAAATCGCGCTACCAGATAATGCTGCGAATCGTGGTTAGGTAGTTGAACGAGTGAATCATGTTTGAGTATTCGGGGATTCGATAGCTTACATACTTTGTAAATCGGTTCTATACATTAACTTTAGACTGTCGGGTTACAAGGTAACCGTTCCTCCGAATGATCGACTACGAGTGCTTTCATCAAATGAGTTACGTGACCTTTTTTATTGTTAGAAAAGAAAATTTTCTCTACGAAGGAGGTTCATTGTTAGGGCATCTGTATAATAGGTTGATTAAGACAATTCAATCTCAGACACATATCATGCAGGGAATTGTCCGGCCAGTCTTGACTCTACTGTACGGAAGTCAATTCATTCCTAAACTTTTCGATTTTGGTGATTTAGTCTTAAGCCTTCGCTCGAAATTGCAATGTAGCATTTCCAGCCGATTTTCACTTGAAATTGCTGACATGGCGGTGTGCCACACAAAATAGCCGACGACGACCAAAGCGCCACGTCAGCGATTTCCGACAAAAAATTAATCAAAAGGAGCACATTGGAATTTCGCAAAAAAGTTAGGACTGATTGACATTTATACAATAGGTTTAAGAGTGATTGGGTAATTTTTCCTCCTGTCACGCAATAAGGATACTTAACGGTGCACCTCCATACGTTGTTTGTTCTTATGCGTGGTTAGGTTTTATAAAGTTTCCTAGGTAGACAAAATTAGTGCATATTTATATGATAGACAAGCTCTTCAACGTTAAAAATGTCGATTGTGGGATGGAAAATTATCCTCTAACGTTCGATTAATTTTTTTTTTAATATCAACCATTAGACGGACCAATACAAGATTATCATTTCAAATCTCACCGTATGGCAAGGAACGTATAGTGACGTCATTAGTCCATGAACTTTTGTCCAACATGGAGCGCCGCTTCTAAACTTCTAATTTGTGCAATTAAGTCTCTTAACTTCGGTTTAGCATTCAACTTTCAATTGGTCGAATTAAGTTATCGAAATGCTTTTGAATGTTGAACGTAATTCCTGATTTAGGAAAACCCACGATTAGCAAGAAAATCCACTCACCCACATACGAATAATGTCATCTTCCTTTTTTAAATTTTCAATCCTCATCATGTTGAATTGAGAACGAAGAAATGAAATCAAGTACTTCACATTTGTTACTAGCAGATATATCAGCATAAATTTTCCCTGCTGTTCTTTCTTGCCTTAATACAAGCGAGAATGTCAAAGTGATCGAGTAAAACGTAATCTTTTTATCTTATCTAAATAGTACGCATTGAAAAGGAATGTGTCACGCAAATGGAATCAAGACGCGGAACAGAGTAAAAGAAGAAAATCACACAAGAAGTTTATGTGGTTCAATGCCAGTGTCGAAACCTACGTTAACAGGGGGAGAGCCAGCAGGTAATCCACTATCAAACCAGAAAATTACAAATTTATAATCGCTCGTGCTCAAGTGCTTTCCAAACCTCTAATTTACGCCAGATAACCCACGATATTTTCTCTGCACACAAGTCTCTATGAGTTCTAATCTCTCTCTCTCTCTCGTTGATGAGCTCTCAGTCTTCCCCTCTCGGTGCTAAGGACTTGGCACACTCTTGTCCTTTGCTCCTTCTCTGCCTTTTATCAAAAGGTTTAATACCACGAAAAATCCAAATTGATACACCTGTGACAGATTTATTCCAAACTA